GCCAGTACAGCAACATTTAAGCATGACATTTTAAAAAAATCACTTTAATTATACTTTGGTAATTATTTTTTTTGCAGCATCTAATCCAGCCATCAACATTGACTCTAAACATGCCCATGACTTTCTGGCACATGCACGTCAGAGGAGATCTGTGGATCCCAACTGGTATCGCAAAAATCCCGACTTTCAGTCCTACTATCGTTACTATAATAGTATTGGGCACACAGAAGGGGTAAGAAGAATTTATTATTATTATTTTTTAAATAAAGCCATTATATATATATATATATATATATATATATATATATATATATATATATATATATATATATATATATATATATATATTTACTAGTATTAATATTTTTGATAGTATTTTTCACTAGACAAATGAAGACTGATATTATTATAATAATAGAATTTTAAATAAGTTTTTCACAGTTGAAGACTTTAAAAAGAGCTTTTAAAAGCAGCATTATCTTTAAACAGAGCAGTTTTAAATTCATAAGGTCAGTTTAAAGTTGGATGCACTGAAAATAATACTATGCTTTTATTTGCACACAAACATCTAAACTTTAAATTGAGATCCATTTACATATTTCTGATAAATTTAACAAAAGAACAGAAAATATCTGTCAATATAACATGAAAATTGCTATTTGAAATTTTTCCGGACCCTTTGGCAGATATGTGTCATATTTTAACAATACAGTTGCTTCATTTAGATCAATTTAACAGAAAACAAGACTTCTTATCTTTTAGAACTTTGTCTCCCAGTCCCAAGCAAAAAACAAAACATTGATTTGGTGCTCCTTGTAAATTTACACACTGAAAAATTTTGACTTGGTTTTAAAAAGTGGCAGAAGCTGCAGAAGCTGCAGAAATCATGGTGAAAGCCGAAATTTAAGCATGGTTATGACTCAATCATATATTTTTTTTACAAGACTCGGATTAGACTACTCCATTCCTAACCTTTCGAACCTTTTTGGCCTCTTCTCAATTGTCAAAGCTTAAGGTCTTATGTGTTTGAAATGAAAATGTTGAAGTAACTTTTTATTAATGTCTTCCTCAAAAATATACAAAAGAACAATGAAACAATGGTTTAACCAGCCCTCTCTTTCTCTTCTAGCTCTATGAGATCGATAAAATTAGAATGCTTTACCAGCAAATGCGTCATCTGGAGCTCACCTATGGCCCTGACGCATCGAAATACCAGAATACCCTTGGTCTAAAGCCGACCCCTCCACCCACAACTCAGCCTCCACCCCCTACTTTACCACCTGTCTCCAAGATGAATGTTATATACCTGTGCAATTCAAAAGACCCCCAGTGCAAGCCACATATTGTCTACCTGCCCGCCGGTGGTGTGCCTGTACTTTGCGATCCACGTTACCATCCAAACTGTAAACTAAGTCCTGCCCAGAATTCTCCCTCACCACCTGTAATTGTCCCAGAACCAGTGACGACTGTCCCTCTTCCACCAACACAAAAATCCACTCCACCACCACCTCCTCCTCCTATAATGGTTGTCAAAGGAATGGAGTATGACTGTGATCCTTACTGGGACCCTGACTGCCTGATCGATAATCCTCCAAGGCCAGTAAAAATGGTTGAACCGTCATCAGAGCTCCCAGATGAGAAGGTGAAAAAGGAAATTCCAGTCGATCCAGTGCCAACCTATGACCCATATGACTTCAATCAAGACCTGTATGACCCCTTTCGCCATGCTGCTCCAGCTCACTAATGAATTTAGATAGACATTTAGTAAATCTCCACTACATTGATGTTGATCAAAGAAATGTATAATTTGTAATATAAAGTAAACATTAATAAGCCATGGCCTTATTTATATTAAATAGCTGATGTAAGATTTGTGGTCTTTAATTGAAATAAACATGACGACAAGAATAAAGGACATGGGCACAGTTATTACATGCTTCCATTGTTTATTACCACAAGAAAAACTTTGATTTACTCCATGTATTGTGTATCCTTAATACATTTCGCTATTTGTGTCATATTTGTTTAACCCGAATTAAATTATTCGGTCACACAGACGCCGTAAGGTTATGGGGAGTAAATAATAACAGAAACGCAATTTATTGCTGTGATCGAACGAACTAGATGTAACGTCAGATGTGTACAGGAAAGCATTTGTATATGAGTTTCCCTGCGGTGCTGTGTGGTAGCGTGGCCGAGCGGTCTAAGGCGCTGGATTTAGGCTCCAGTCTCTCTGGAGGCGTGGGTTCGAATCCCACCGCTGCCAAACACTTTTTATATTTTATATAATTTTTTACTTATTAGGCCTAGACGCGCACGGACCATACACTGTGGTATATGATTGCCACAATGTTTATATTCTAATTTTGGTAACCATCGGTAAGTTACAACTATAAATACAGTGCAATCTAAACAAAGGCAAAAATAGAAATAATGCCTGCTTCTTATTTCTAAACTTCCTTACTCAAAAACCGCAAATTGTGTTTTACAAAAGGCACCGCTGGGATTCGAACCCAGGATCTCCTGTTTACTAGACAGGCGCTTTAACCAACTAAGCCACGGCGCCACCACGCGTTTGGCCAAAAGATGTATTTTTGAACAAACGCAACAGTAGTTTATGATTCATATTTGGGTTTTAACTGACATGCAGAAATGTCTCACTATCATTTGCAGATATATAATGGTAAGAATGGCTCAAGGTTGGAAACAAATTGCGTGAAATATATCTGAAAGACATTTTTACATCACCTAATATATGCATATACCAAGGCAACTACTTGAAAAGAATGCGACGAGGATGGGATTCGAACCCACGCGTGCAGAGCACAATGGATTAGCAGTCCATCGCCTTAACCACTCGGCCACCTCGTCTCTACGCCGGCGCCTTTTCAGCATAATTTTTTATTGCATACTCTTAAAAATGAATATTTGCTATTGTGGATATATTACGCACGTAAACACATATGAACATTTATTCATCTACAAAACCATTTACATTTGGAATGGAGTCACAGACTTACCTATAGTTTATTTTCTATATCAAGGCTTATAATCTGATTTTGAAACGGTTATTAAAATGTGTCAGACAGGATTCGTAAAGGGGTTGCAGTCCCTAAACAAATACGGTATATAATCACGTATTCATAGAATCCAATCATCATGATCTGTAACCTTATTGCTAAGGTAACAGGTAAGGATGTACCTCACTGATGTGCCACTCGGTTGTCCTCAAAATTGATTTGTAAACCACACATGCTTTTTAAACGACGGTAGTGAAATTTTTTAACTTGTTCAAATTTTTTCACGTTTTACGTAAGTACTTAATCTTATATTTCCCTTTGTGGACGAGACGATCGTTTAAGGATTAAATGTAGGGTAAACTATAGATTTTAAAGTGAGTTTCTTTGTGTTGTCACATTAACATACTGGCGTTTCCTGCGGTCTCATTGGTTGGATTGGAAAGTACCTCTCTTTTCCTTATTTTTCGCAAATAGTTTCTAGTAACTCTTAAATCTGTGTGTACGCACAAAACTTTTATAATTTTCATTCAATATAAGTTACATAACTCTGAAGTTATCTGTAATTTAACTTTAAAAAGCACAGCACATGACTGTGGAGGAGGAGCTCTGGGTGTCCGCCATTAGTTGCACACAGACGGGAAACTGCACCCGACACAGCTGAATTGCCGACTAAAATGTTTTTATTATATATATATATATATATATATATATATATATATATATATACATACACACAATTTTTTAGAAAATGTTCAGTATATATATATATATACTGAACATTTTCAATCAAAGTTCTGTAAATTCTTAAAAAGTAAATATATATTATAAATCTTTTAATAAATAATTTTATCAACATTTTTTTGTAAAAACTGATATTTATATTGAGTATGTAATTTCGATAATACTTGATGTTTTACACTAACGTTATTTGTAAAATGTTACACCGAGCTTATATATTAGGTGACGTGTACAGATATATATATATATATATATTAGTGTTATAGTGTTATTACACGTTGCATTCATTTGTTTTATAAGTTTTTTCTTGTTGACAGAATGTTGAAAATTATGACAAATACCACATGGACTTAGCGCCATCTATTGGTTGAAGCTTGGAATTCGAACGCGATTAGATGTGCCTGTTTGATTTAATTTTATATTAAATTGTAATCGGTGTCAGTATGTTTCTCTGTTTAATTATATATATATAGTAATCGATTGACTCGTACATCAAAAGTTTTCGGGTGGCTTTGATCAATTTTAATCCATGATACAAACTCCTCTGTCAAGGGTAGCGTGGCCGAGCGGTCTAAGGCGCTGGATTAAGGCTCCAGTCTCTTCGGGGGCGTGGGTTCGAATCCCACCGCTGCCAATCTCTTTTCATTTTCAACTTGTTTTGTGCGGTTTCTAATGTCATACATACCACACTGAAGGTAGTAATAGAAGCTGAAATCAGTAGAATCGCTCTATTTGCGAACATTAATTGTAGAGGGTAATGTGAATAATCTAACCTATAACTTATAATGTATGACACAGGGTTCCGCATGTGCTTTAAAACATAACGTTATTATAGTAGTTTAATGTCGCGCCAGATATTTTAATAACCACATATCCATTGTTTCCATCTTCAATTTAAGGTACAAGTAAGCATACGCAGCCTAGCCCACTCATCCAGACCGCCATTTTGTTTGTCTCATCAGTTCTTTGAATTCTAAGTAAATTAACCACGATGCATGTTGTGTGAATACATCCCATGGAAATAAACCCACGTCCTCTTACATATACAGCTGAAAGCGTTCCTCCGGGATAGCCTAAACACGCTCTGTCCCGTCTAAAGAAACTGTCAACAAGCAAGCATCCTCCATCTCCTGTCTCTCACGGTCACCGCTTCCAACCTGCAGCTTCCCGGATGACGAGTGACGTCAACGAGCCATCTTTGTTCCCTTAATCCGAGCATCTATTTTTTATGTGTACATAGTGACAGAAGCTAGTAGCTGTAGAGCGCCCTAATATTAAGGGAATATAAACGAGAGGCGCGGCACACCGGCGGAAAAGATTAAAAACAAATCTTAAAAAACACAAGGACTACCGCTTCACTGGAATAACCTGGAGAGCGCATTATTTATCCCGGAGACGGGGAGAAACGCCTGAAGCAGAGCGTTCATCCACACGCTTCTTGTAGACGCACATAAAACCCGGTTCAAAATGTGAGTACGGTTTTTAATTTCTATATCTAGTTGTGAATGACATTTTAGCAAGACTTATTTGCTCGATTATCAACACAATAAATATTGTTTGGTGACAGAACATATAAATATATACACATATAAACATATATAGGCACAAAATACGCATATAACATATTATAAAATGTTTATATTTCATTTTACACTCGCAATATTGTACATCTTAGCGTTTTTCACTAGACGCGCTGAATTCTAGACGAGTTGTATAATCTATAAATAGGCTCCTAATGCCTTGTGTTTTTCTATTTCATGCCCCTACTGACATAAAATCTGTCTCTATATAGTTAATTGTTGTCTCGGAGGTAGTTTATTTGTAACACCGAGGTTTTTGCGGTTTATTATGGCGTTTGGAATAAGCGAGTGTTAGAATCACGCCTAGACACCGGATTGGACTGGTTTGGCTGGAAATGGTCGCGCGCTTTTAAAATGGAAATAATTTATGAATTGACATTATTATTTGCGCATTAATATACCTTCTTGCCAATAATGCCGTCTTGACGATCATTTCTAAGTCAATTATAAAACCCAAGGGAATTTATCACAAATAGCCCAAGGCCCGTTCTCACCTATCTTTATGTCAGCTACAGATGACATTAAGGTGAAAATAATGAAAATATAGGCTACCCAATGCAAGCTACTTCATAAAACATCACTATACACACGATAAACTAGGGGCGTGATATCCACGCGAGTCGTGGGGGTTGGTGAGAGGACGGCCGTAGGCTATGCTTGCTTTATTTCGGCAAAACATGCTTTACCCTATTTTCTAATTATATTCTTCTTTAAACCGTTCAACATGTTTCAATACAACCAGAGCCTGATACTCATTTATTTTAGACTAGAATGAAGCCCAAATGGCTGTCACAAAGGGCGCAGGTGTTCCTTGGAAGATGGCCGTGTATACTAGTATTTTCCAGGCACGCTCGTTTACTGATTTAAATAATCAAGGCTGTAAATGGCACACACTTTCAATAATATGTCCATGTCATTTTTCCTACTGTAATCTTTTATTTGGGTATTACTGGGCCTTTAGCATAGAATTTTGATTTCATGATATATGCTGTTTATATGTTATACTGTTTGTCTATGTAATGTTCAAATAGGTGCATATTGTTTAGTGAAGTCTGAACAGCTGGCCCAGCTATTTGACAGAATGTATGTTGATCGTGACGCAACAATGACAGAGACACACGCACACTCTTGATGAAGGCCTTGTGTGGGGGTGGGGATGTTGTCCCCATCATTCATATGACCCTGCCTTTACCAGTCGACTGTAATGAAGAGCCTAGAAACAGGATATTTATTAACCCCATATTAGTGTAAAACTAAATGTGCATTCTCACTTGAATAATAAAAAATTGTCAGTGAGCATCAGAAAAAAATGGCTTTGCATAATCATGCCGTTGAGGCACATTAGAAATGTCAGAAATTCACCAATCTCAGTGATGACATGTAACACATTTCGTTTTAAATGGGAAATTTAGCATATTTCACAGCCACACTGATCATAATGAAAGTACAAGAGATTTTGGCTACATCCACACTGACTACTGCTAATTTATCATCAAACTGCAGGCTGTTTGTAAAGATTGTGTTTGAGCTCATAGATAGACAGACAGACCTATTGACAGATACATTATATAAATGAATAAAAAATTGTGACCAAGTGAACCATTAAACTCATACACATCATACAGAGTACTGTTAAATCTTTTCTTGTCAGTAAAGGTTACAGGAGCCAAGAATTATGTCTAAATATAGATTACTGTAAAGGAGCGGAAGCAAAATGAGAAGCAGAAATATGGCTTTTAAACAAGAATAAATATGTGGTCAGTTTGACTCCTCACTGACTCACTCCTTTTATATGTGTAGAAAAAGAGAAAGTTATTTCATAAGAAAAAGTATTTTCTTGTCTGTAAGGAAAGCAAACGGATTAGATCCAGGGATCTTTCAGAGGTGACCTTTATACAGAGTTTTGTCTTCCTCTGGTGGCTGAGATTGGCATTAGCAAGAAGACTTTTCAGAAATCCCCATTTACTTACACTCATCATATGTAAGCTTGTTTTCTCGATGGAAAAACAAATCTTTTACGTTTCTGAATTTGTACAGGTCAGAATTGACAGATATTATTATTGCAAACTCATAATAGCAAGTCGATTTCTTGCTATTCTAATTTTCTGAACTTACTTTTATCACAGTTGTGACTTTCGGGCTTGTTGCAGTTTTCGATTGCTTCTATAACTATTAAATAAAGTACACTCTCAGAAATAAAGGTACGAAAGCTGTCGCTGGGTGGTTCCTTTTTAAAAGCTACACATTTGTACCCAAAGAGTCCCTATTAATACCTTGAGGGTACATATCAGTGCTTTAAAAGTACAAATGTGTAAAATGTTTAGGTTCAAATGTAAGCTTTTGAGGTACCATTGTGGACCCTTTACAAACAAATGTGTATCTTTTGAAAAGGTACCACCTTAGTGACAACTCTTGTAGCTTTATTTCTAAGAGTAAATGAATTCTAAAATGAACATTTAATAAAGAATTACAACTTATAAACTCATAACTGCCTAAAAAATCTAAATCAAACTGTAATGTTAACTTCTCCATGGGACCTTTTGGTGTTCTTAACCCTTTAATGTGCAAGCTATATGCAATCTTTCTTAATGCACAAAATGTGTCCAAAACAACCAATATTCATTCTGTTATTTCAATAATAGCTGAGCGCTTCTTTGCTGAATCTGAATCACAAATATATGTATTTATTTTATTTTTTGTTCACACAAATCACATATATTTTTTCTTTATGAATTTCTTACTTTATTATCAATTTTCCACATATAGGTAAAAAAAAACTCCAATAGAATTCTTTGATATTTGGTCATTTTGCATGTAATGTATAATTCAAAAGGTATGCAAGGAAAAATTAAGTATTGACAATGGAATAATGAGTAATGAAAATAATTTCTTGCAAAGATGGAGCATGAAAACTCAACTGGGTGACTTCAGACCTATTTTGTGCATCAAATAGTTAAAAGAACACTTTATATGGACAATCTTCATAGATGTAAAAGGTCCTTCACAGAGCCAATAAAAATCCTTTATTTTTATGAATGTACAGTACATTTAACAAAATGTATTTTTTGGGGGGGCATCATTAATAAAAATAAAAGTGATTTTCATGTAATTCTGCTGTTACAAATCCCACCAGTAGTAATGTTGAATGACTGTGTGTTGGTTTGCAGGTCTGCCCCAGCCGGAGCCCCTGCCCCAGAAGGAGGAAACCAAGCTCCTCCAAACCTCACCAGCAATCGTCGCTTACAGCAGACACAGGCTCAGGTGGATGAGGTGAGTGAACCCCATCTCTGTGTCTTCCTTCAATGTTAAGTGCATCTTCAAAACTGACGTGTGACAGTTTACCAATTGTCACCTTCACTGTTTCTCAGGTCGTGGATATTATGCGTGTAAACGTAGACAAGGTTCTGGAAAGGGACCAGAAGCTATCAGAACTGGATGATCGGGCTGATGCCCTGCAGGCTGGAGCCTCACAGTTCGAGACCAGCGCCGCCAAGCTCAAGAATAAATACTGGTGGAAGAATGCCAAGGTAAACAACACACTGAGTGCCTAGAGTAAGGCTGAAAATTTTATGACAACAAATCTAAATAAAGCAAACAGTGAAGCTCAAAATAGAGTGCCTGTTTGAATGATAGTTTCTGAGTTTTGAATTGAATGTTCCTCATTAACCAATTGTCTTTCCATTTTACCTATTTTCTTTAGATGATGATTATCCTGGGGGTGATATGCGTGATTGTCCTCATTATAATCATTGGTAAGCAATGAACATTTCCATCATTTTTACATGAATGTTCTGAGATTAAGGCAATTATTTTGATGGTGAAATGTGAACTAATTTTAATATTTAAGTTACAATTTGGTTTTCTATGCAAGCAAAGTCTGTTTTTTAAACCAGTGCTACACGACTAGAGAAAAGAAGCAAACGTGTTGTTCCCTTTTGTCAAAATTAAATGCCTGATTTGATTGTCACTGGTCGGGGTTTTAAAAATACGGAAATATAATTTGAAGATTGTAGCAATAAAAAGCTAGATTTTGAATTACATATTGAATATTTCTTATTGATTAAAGCCACCTTTCCACCAACTTTGACATTCTTATCACATTTTCCCCCTTGTTTTTTCTTCATTAATATCATAATTCTGTTTAGAATACAATTAGGGGTGCTATATTTATCATGTATTATAACACAATAATTGTTGTTTTGAAGATGTGCGAGCTATCATTGAGTATGCCATTATTAGAATGCAGTTGAAAATCTCTCTTTACAAACACCTCTATATATATATATATATATATAATAAATGCTGTTTATTGCTGGTGAACATTCATCTTTTGAATTAATAATTTAAGTCAAAGATTCAGTGATTTATTCATAAAGACAATCTATTACTTAATTTCCAAATGAATCAGTCTTTTTAAAGCAATCATTTAAATATGAATTACTAATTCATCACCACTGCCTACAAACAGCTTTAGTGTCATATTTATTTATTGTCATATATATTTATCCATTATAGGCAAAAATCCAGCCAAGGTTTCCGCACAGAAGTACACTTTGACACTTTGACACTTGTTTAATGATCAGTACTGAAAAAAAGTCCATCAAACTCATACCTGCCAACACTCTTTTTTCTTTCTTCCCGGGAGTCTCCCGTATTTCAGAGCCATCTCCTGCCACCCTCCGGTTTTGTTATTTCTCCCAGAAAACTCCCGTAATTTCACCCCCAGCTCCCCACCCCCGGTCCTTATCTTTTTGGTTTCGTTTTTAACACCCCCGGGTCACCAACTTTGGTATAAGATCTGATTGCAGTGAGTGTCCAAAACAAAACAGTTAGCTCACTAACACCACAGTACAGTTACAAACCCAGTACTTAAAAGTGTTATACAGACACCTCATCCCTGAACACCCCTGCTCCTGGATTTTCAGAGACAAATGTTGGCAGGTATAATCAAACTATATATATATATATATATATAGTTTTTTTTTACCAATATTGAACACCCTGTCAAAAGTTTAAATATTTTAATTCATTCAAGCACAAATTGAAACTTTGCATACGCATTTGGTCGCAGTCTGCATACTATCCTCGAATGAAAATAAATGGCTTACTGATAGTTTGTCAGAGATGGTGATAAAAAAATGGATTGAGTATGAAATAAAACATGGTCCCCTTAAAGCAGTGGTGGGTTAACTTTTAAAACCCGAGGGCCACATCAAGTTTTGCAAACCAAGTGAAGGGCCACATGTCAAATTCTTCAAAAAATGACTTTTATTTATAATGGCAGTGTGCATGGAATATGAAATATCGGACAGAAACATGTCACATTAGCACAAAACAGATTTTTTGTTTTATATTATTAAGTTAAATTTACAAGTCAAATTAATTTGCACTGCTATTTATATTTACTTACCAATCATCATAAAACAATAAAATAATCCCTAATAAAGTATAATAATAATAGTTATTGTTAGAATTTTTACAGTAGAGAATAGAAAAGATATTGTCAGTTATTGATAGAAAAAAATCTCATAATAACATAGTTACTATTAAGTAAAAATTACAATAATCTAATTTGCACTGATTCATCATAAAACTTGATGAAACCACAAATCTTTGATAAAATTACTTTTTGAAGTGGATGTAGGCATGGAAAAATATTCTGTGACAAAAATTTACACATTTAACCAGCAATTATTACATAATTTGAGTCAAATTGACAATAATCCCATTTGACCTTGTATTTATATGCTTATATCAATCATTACAAAACTATGAGATAAAACGGAAGCCTGGTCCCCTCTCTTTGCAAGGGTGTCAAAGTCTGGAGTCTGCTACAGCAAAAACGCGAGGCGCAGCAGACGGTTAAAACGCGAGGCGAGCAAGGCGCATAAGCAGTGCGCAAAACTCTAGCGGCTGTTAGTAAACATTCAAAAGAGGCGCCTCTTAATGCATAAAGTGCGTTCGGTGTGATCAGCCTAACTAATTTTCAGTCATTAACAGTCAAGTGCATTTTAATATCCGAGCATGTGTTCTAATTCTACTGGTTGCGCTAACTGTACCGCATGCAATACTGCCATCACATGGCGTTCACTTGTAACTGCATCATTAATTAACTAATTCTGAACCAAACTTACTCAGAAGCAGCATTTAAAAAAAACCTTGCAGGCCGGATGAAATGTTTGCCCACCTCTGCCTTAAAGAGTTTGTAAGTAACTTTGTAACAATATGTCAACTAGGAGTCGATAGAATTTTAGTAAACTGTGCTTAATATCTGCCTAAACTTTATTTTGGTCCTCTTCAAACATTTTCCTGTCTAAAATTAGCTTTGCAAAAATGTAATGTATTCTACTAACCTAACAACATACTAATACTCTTCCAAGATCCTGTTTTCCAAATACTGACGATAAATCATCTGCTTCTCTTTACAGTGTACTTCAGCACCTAAAGCGCAACATTCCTACCCCACTCTGAGCTCACGAACGCCCAATTCCAAGCCACAGAGAAATCCTTCCCCGAAAAAAAAAGATGGGAGCAACGACTTCTCACAAGAATCGATTTATTTGCCCTCAAAGAGTATAAATCCGCCCCTATCCTGAGCCCCCCTGTGCCCTGCCTCGACTGCCTCCCAGCTGGGCCCCTGTCACTCCTCGTTCGTCCTGTCCGTGAGTGTGTGGCCATGTCTCCTCTGTAAATACCTCCGGCTTTTCTGAAATACTGTTCATACTCCAAACCTCTGATTACTTGTGACAACGATGACCAATTTAAAAAAAAAAAGAAAGAAAAAGAAATCACAACCCTTAGAGTACAATAAGATGATACAGTATATATTCCAAATGTTCTTTGTAGAGTTTTATTCTGATATAATGGTTTTTTGTAGTTTGTGTGTGAGTGTGCATTTGTATATTTTTTTAAGTTTTGTAAAACTTATTTTTGCTTCAGGTTTAAACTACTGCCTCTTAATCTGGGTGTTTGTATCTTGCACGCTCTATTTCACTCTTTCTTGAGTATTGGTGTATTTTTGCACAAGCGATAGACTCCCTTAAGTGAGGTACTGAATCAATATTCCCAAATTTTCCTTTGTCACATGCACTCTATCTCAGACCTACATATTGCCCCCTCAAACCCCTTTCTTTCTTTCTTTCTTTCTTTCTTTCTTTCTTTCTTTCTTTCTTTCTTTCTTTCTTTCTTTCTTTCTTTCTTTCTTTCTTTCTCACCAACAGTACTTACTCTATTAGTGAACTGCCACAACAGACTGGACCAATGACTGTAGATGTTTATCTTGAGTTGATGTCTTTAGTGTCTTATCTCTTAAACATTCCTTAATAGCAGTGTAGATTTATGCTGTCTATCAAACAAAGTGTATTTAATTCCAAAAATAGGTCTTAAACTAACTTAAGTACTTGTAACACAGTCAAACTATGTTTTGACTTGGATGGCGAAGCAATTGATGGCATGTGAAAAATTGGGACTTTAGACCAGGGGTGCCCAAACTCGGTCCTGGAGGGCCTGTGTCCTGTATAGTTTAGCTCCAACTTCCTTCAACACACCTGTTTGGAAGTTCCTAGTATACCTGGAAAGAGCTGGTTCAGGTGTTTAATTGGGGTTGGAACTAAAATATGAAGGACACTGTCCCTCCAGGACAGAGTTTGGGCACCCCTGCTTTAGACAAATTCATTCTGCTGGTAAAGATTTTCAAGGCCAGAGAGTCTCCATACAAAGTGTGGGGGTGGAACCGTCGTCCGATAAGGGGAAATCGTATCATGCACAAAAGCTTGTTTTCGATGGCGCTTATTAAATAGTTAGTCTGCAGGTGCAACCGAGAGAGAACCAAACGCTGTGTTACTGTCTCATAGCAGAACTACTGCCAAACCCATACAAGATTTCATCCGTCGGAAAGCACACAGATTGATCCTACTACTTCAACGTGAGCTAGTTTTGACAGCTGTGGTTCTCTCTCTTATATCTAGATACTGCCTTTACTCTTTCTTTTAATTTTACAAATAGATTTATGTATATTTTTGTGTGTGAAGCATGCAGGAAAGGGATTACATTGTTTCAGGACTTGATGCTGTTGCCGCTTGCACAGCGAGCACCTTTTGTGTCCCTTGCTATTATCCAGCTCTCTGTGTGCCTGTTTGTTGAGTTCAGCTGTAGTTTACACACTGCCGAGCACCTGAGGGGATGCTTGTCTCCTTTTGTGTTTTGCTTTTCTTTTTTTTTTTGTTGCCGTGCCCTTCCTGGTTTGCTTTTACGCATATATTTATATACCTCCATCAGCATCAGCCTTCAGACTCATCCGCCCAATCTGTCGACAAGAAACGAGCCATGCGTGAAGTGTGCGTCTGCACGTGAGCACCCCCTCCCTTTCTCGATTTCCCAGTTAGCGCTATTAGCTTTTTTCACTTTGATTACGCCTCTAGCCAGCCATCGCTGTAGGTACAGGTTGTGTGTTAGGAGTAGTTTGGCTCCGTCCTGACAGATTAGGCTGCTTAGCCTATGGAGGTAAAGAAAGGCTGTACCCATGGAGACATGCTTGCTTAAACTAGAGGGAGGGGACAGATTAGCTGATTGATTGTGACATAAGGCGGAGCCATTTGGTTGAGGGGGCGGGGCTAGATTTGTTATTCCACCAGTGTGTAATGAAACAGCTTGATGTTTACTTTAAGGATTTTTATTAGTTTTTCTAAACAAGCAACCTGCTTGTTTATTTTCATTTGTTCTTCTTTAAAAGGAGATAGCCTTAGTTCATTTTTTCGTCCATTCACTTCGAGTCCCATTCACATTGAGCTATTATATTGAAAAATGACCAAAGACCATGTTATATCTTGCTTATACTGCCAACTGCCATCCAAAACAGGTAAAGGGACAACATTTCCCCAAATCTCTGGTTTTTAAAAGCTCTCATCCAGCAAAAAGAAATGAAAAATCCCCCGCATTTTTCAGGTGTAAGTTCATTTTACTTGAATATTATGTATTTGTAAACAAGAAGCAGTGACTGACGTCAGGTAAAGCAGTGTTTCTCAACCACATTCCTGGAGGACCACCAGCTCTGCACATTTTTCATGTCTCCTTAACCAAACACACCTGATTCAGATCATCAGCTCATTAGCGGGGACTGAAAGGATGGGTGTGACAGACAAAGGAGACATCCAAAACATGTAGTGTTGGTGGACCTCCAGGAATGTGGGTGAGAAACACTGAGGTAAAGCAATTGGAAACCTCAATTTGACGGAAATACCCCAGGTCTAATATCTGAAACAATGATAGCACAACTTCTCCATTATCTGTAATGCTGAGTATGAAACATGAAACTATTTCTTTGTAGCTGTTTAAAGAAAAAAGAAAAAAAAAAACTGTATCGTTTCGTGTTGTAGTGTGGGCTTTATCTGGGAGAAGGGGGTACTTTTTATTTAATTTTACATTTAAGGCAGAAACAATCTGGAATTATTCTAAAGTGTTCATATTACCAAAATAGTGAAACTATATTATATTAGACTCTCAGATTTTTTCTTCCAAGGTTGTCAACGTTTTAAAGGGGTCTACAAAATAATAATACACACTGGGGTAGGATTCAAATTGGACTAATTAGTCAAAGCATTTAAAATGATTCTAATAGGGAACGACTACAAATAATGTATGAGCTATTTTGTTTTTCTTTGTGTGTGCGTGTGAAGACATTTTCCTTTGTCTTAGCACTTGCTGTATGTTTTGTTTAAAACCACGTGGGTTTGAGAGGGATGGTGGGAGTAGATTTGTCATGCCAGCTTGTTGAAGATGCTGCATCTTCTTTTTTGGGAGGGAACCAATGAAGATGCAGAACTTTATCAGACTGACTCTAAAGCCACAGTGATTTCTCCATTACTCACATCATACAGTTGTTCAGTCTTTAGTTGTTTACTTTATTTAAAGCAGAAATTAGATAAGGCTTTACAGTGGTGCTCTGTGGCACAGCTTCAATGTGCTTAGCAAGGAGAGGGTAAATTTTTTTCTATAAGTTTAAATATAAGAAGGTGACCTAAGATTATCAGAGTAATACTGGAAAGTGAACCCTGCCTTATTAAAGGTTAGTGTGTCAAGAGTTTTTTTTTTTCCAGAAAGCTTGTACAGACTAAAATATCAACTTTAATCTGTTAGTTCAGAGAAACATTTTACAAAAGTATAAATCATGTTTGAAGGATTTGTGGACTGAATAAAGAGTATAAACAAGGAGAATTCCAGGGGTTTGCTTCGTGGAGGTCTAGAAACGCATTGAACCAAGAGCCAACTTGCTGTATTGATAACAGTTTATGTTTATTTATTTGATTAATAGAGTTTCGTTTGGAGAGGAAGGATTTAGATTGGTATTACCCCTGTTTGTCTGGCCTCTTTGGAGGGACTTGGCTGGAGGATCACGGGTAATGCGATCTTCAAAATCTGAATTAATGTTGTTGTTATTTTATTACTTTTATTTATTTGTCATAAGTTATAGTGGACTACATATTACACAGAATGAAGTACATTGTAACAGGGAATCATTTGGCAACCAGACATACATGAAACCAATTGTAGAGTAAATCTGTCAATGTCTATTATATGGATAAACATCTTGGGAAATATATATATATATAAATATACATATATATATTGCAAAAAAAGAAAGTTATGATGACCTGTGTTTATTGTTCCGAGTTAGAAATTAAAATGTGTGTGTGTTTGAAAACAATGACAACATAAAATAAATATATAATAAAAATGAACCTGTGTTGTTTGCATTTATTCATTCATTTTCCTTCGGCTTAGTCACTTTATTCATCAATGGTTGTCACAGTGGAATGAATCGCCAACTTATCTAGCATATGTTTTACACAACGGATGCCCTTCTAGCTGCACCTGGGTACTGGGAAACACCCATACACTACGGCCAACTTAGTTTATGCAATTCATCTATAGCGCATATCTTTGGGCCGTGGGGGAAACTGGAGCACCCGGAGGAAACCCATGCAAACTTCACACAAAAATGCCAACTGCCCAGACGGGACTCGAACCAGTGAACTGCTAACCACTAAGCTAAAAAACAAGAGCTAAAAACAGTAGCTGTGATTTTAGTAATTCACTTTTCATCTTCAAAGCATTAAATGAAGATATTTTACATAATAAAAACTTAGAAAAAGTACTTTGGTGTAACTGTAATGTCATCTCATCAAGTAATATGTATGATTTGCTGTATAATTTAACTTTTCTAAAAATAAATAAAAAGCTTTAAATTAAAAATATATATTTCATACCTATAATTAATTTATATTATTGAGCATTTATAGATGTTTATGGTTTGGTAAATCATGATTAAAATTTTAATTATGAGATACTAACTGCACTGTCATTCATAAATCCTCTCTCATGACCTCTAGTGGATGCTCACTTCAAGCAGCTGTTCGTACACATACTTTTGTCAACTGTATAATGAAATCAGAAATACTACTCAGTATGTTTTTGCTCACTGTATAACATTCAAGAAGAAAGGTTGATTTTTATTGTGTAATTTTGTTGCACATAAGCTATAAGCAAATTCTTCAGAGATTTTTAAAAACAATCTACACAATTAAGTCTACCTTTCAGAGGCACAATACAGCAAGCACTAGGCACAGCATCAAAGAGATTAACAATTTTAATCAAACAAATCGCCCTTTCAATGTCTCTTCTGGCATTTCTCCTGTGTGTTATCAGTCAGTAAAATAAATATAAAAATGTAGAGTTTGCAGGATGTGAGGCTGTTCATCAGAACAGTCAAGAAAAAAGTGGATGCCAACCTTGAAAATGTAGAAATCTTTGATGCTTTCCTGTAACATTAGCTCAAATAATACATCAGGGAATATGCACACAGACTTTTCATTTTCAGCCAGCAATCTTCAACGGCTTGTTTCCCATCGCCACGTTTAAGATCTGTTTTTTTTTTTATAAGTGATCTTTACTGCCTTATAGATAATTGATATAAATTGGGTCTCAGACAAGCACTGCATTAAATTCCATTTTTTCCAACCATCTCTTTAAAATGAACATTTATCTTACCTCAGTATTTTGAATAAAGTTTTAGCAGCCTGTTCTGACTGTGCTAACAGTTACATGATCTATCATCTTGTTTATGCTTAATAAATGCTTAGGTTTATTTAATTGATTGTATTTTATTTACATTACGATGTCAATGCTGTAAAAGGAACCTTATAAAATTTTAAATAGTCACAGAAACCTTTCACCGGAAATGTATCATCGGCTGAAAGCACTATCTGTGCATATAGCCCATCAATATTTTTTATATTCTTAGCTGCTCAGGCTAAAAAATGACCAGCTAAAAGCAGCTTGACCAGCCTGGTTTAAGTTGGACATAGCGTGGTCAAGCTGGTTTTAGCTGGTCATCTCATCTTTTACAGTCTATTGTCATCTTCCAGCCTGACCAGCTAAGACCAGACTGGAAATGGCTGAAAACCAGCCTGGAAATGGTCAAACTCCTTTTAAAACCAGGCTGATCGACCAGCTAAAACCAGCCTAGACAGATTTAAGCTGTTGTTTGTTTGTTTGTTTGTTTGTTTTTTCAGCAAAGAGGGAAAGCAAAAAATGGATAAATATGAACAAGTTGATTGAAGTGTCTAACAATCATCTGTCTATCTATTTAATAAAAATGCTATGTAGATAATAATTAAAGGCTTAACCTATCAACATGGGAAGTAAGTAGGCCTATTTAAGATCTAAAGCATGGAAATCCATGACTACGCTTAACTAGTGGCGATAAAGATGCCGTCTGTTCTTATCCAGCCATGCTTTATTATGCTATAATTACAACCAGCTGACAGTACACTATTCTGTACTATGGTATTATTACCCACAAAACAAACTACGGCACCGCCCCTAGTACATTCCTGAAAGCGACGGCACTGTTTTGAAGTCGCCCAAAACAATGGCCAAATGTGAAATTCAATTAATTATAACACTTTGAACAATTATTTATAGAACAATTATTTAAGGATTTTCAAGTACATATCATCCTGCCATGTTGTTGCTGTTTGTTCAAAGGCAACAAACGTGTGTCCAGCTGCGATTTACTTACTCAAACCTCCTATTGGAGCTGTACAAGAGGGGAGGACGGTCATGAGATGGAGATTTTGCACAGTAGTAGCTGGCACTGCCCTCACACACCCACATGTGTCAGCGGCAGGTGGACAGACACGGGCACAGGCACGAGGAACAGAGCGCACGACTCCGAGCAAGTGTTTATGTTATAATCATTATAAAAGAAGCGCAACAACAAACGGCAGAACCGTTGAAAAAATCAATCGAAGCATATGTCGATATTATTATATATATATATTGCAACATAAATATTTTAATTACTTGAATTTTACTAAATTTGAATTTTTATTATTTTAGTATACCGTTAACAGCAACCCTTTATGCGCCTCTATATTAGTTATTACGGTTGAGAGGAATTAGGACTTGACATTTCCTCGCGTCCGCACAGCTGAGAGGGAAACGCGAACAATAACAGCCACGCCCTCTCGACCAATAGAAGCGCAAGTTTTTCGTTACTGGGCGGATTTTACAAGCTACAGGCGTGGTTATGATAAATTATCAGCAAATCAGAGATGGGAGTTGCTTGCTACACGTGAATTTTGTTCCCAAGCAAACAGGAATGATGGTGGTGTCCGTGCACGGGCTGATGATATTCGACAATACGGGAGTTACAGTACTGAAGTACTGTACTGCACAGGCATTTATCCGGATACGACCTTCAAAAAGCTGCCTAAACTAACGTTACATTTCACATGTGCTTAAAATACTTTTATGAGGTAAGAAAAGCTGTTTGTTATGATGATATATTGGGCATTGTTTTGATAGTCTTGCGTCGTATGTGTAACAGTTATAAGTGACAGCTGAATCTGCATTTGACAAAGAAAAAGCGCCTAACTCTTATTTTTATAAAAAAAAATTGTTTATTATTTCCGTGCCTCTACTGAACACGTGCTATTTTATTTTGTGGGATTCAGAATGTATTTTATACTATGTGTAGGTAGTGCATTATGTTGTAAAAGTTCATTTAAATCTATTTCATTTAGCCTCTGACTTATTAATTCTGTGCATGTGAAGGGTTTACTTTAACATGTTATGTCTGAAACAACAATTGTGAAAATAAAAAGTCAAAATTATTGTTTAAATATTGTTCATTAAGAGTATCGGATATAAGATATTTTGTATGTCATTATTATGGACATTTCCTGGTGCCACTAACGTTAAACGTCTCTGATCAGTAGTAAAACAATTATGGTCGTTTTGCTATGTGTTTTTGGTATCACCATGGCTTTTATGGCTTGTTACAGGACATTTAAACTTTAATATTAACAACCTGATTTTTGTGAGATGTAGCTTAATGTGCATGCTGTTTAAGTGTATGTCTGTCTGCATTAAATGTCGTAGTTTCATTAAGTGTTTGTGTATGATGTCATTAATTACACAGGTCTACAGATAGAGGGCTCACATTTAGTTTAACTCAAGTTTTACTCCAATCAATTTTTTTAGGGCCATATATACTTGCAAAAAAAGTATTGAACAAAATAAATAAATGCAAATCTCCAAAAATCGCCAAGCGAAAATTAATTTTGAATAATAAAAAGTTTTGCTTATATAAATTAAGAACTGCAAAGGAAAACATAATTTCTGAAAAATACAAAGCATAAAAATAACTGCAAATAAAAATCAAGCAGTGCAAAAAAAAAAAAAAGTAAAATTAGAAAATTTTTAAAAATCAGTTTTTTTAAGTTGCAAATTTTTTTTTGCACTGCTTGATTTTTATTTTCAGTTCTTTCTTTGTTTGCAAATTTCATTTTTATTTCTCAAGGCTTAATTTTCCCTTTTGCAGTTGTTTATTTTTTCAGCAAAATTCATTATTATTTTGATTAAAATATTTAGATTTTTTTGTTTGCAAACTTTCTTTTATTTTGCAAGTATATACGGCCCTAGATTGACTCCAAAGATTATCAAAGAAGATTTTTTTGCGGAATTTTGCTGATTAAAAAAGTCTAATTCAACTACTAGTGGCATTTTGTGAATCAATAATAATACTAATATAATGATAACGACAACAACAACAACTATAATGATAAAATGCAGACAATAAAAAATTATACTCATTACTCTTAATGATATGTTTGTAAAATAATGATCTGACATTTAAGGTATATTTCAAGTTTCTCCTCCCACACAGTAATGATCAAGTAGGTTTCTTTAAAATGCTTGATGCACAGGAAATACAACATCCATTGAAAACCAAAGTTGTCAAGGTAAAGCAAAGCAGGTGAAAACGGAATATATACATGATAGCATCACGCAGTTGCTGCAGATTTGTCCGCTGCACATCCATAATGCGAATCTCCCATTCCACCACATCTCAAAGGTGCTTTATTGGATTGAGATCTGGTGACTCAGTGAACTCATTGTCATGTTCAAAAAACCACCAGGAGATGATTTGTGCTTCATGACATGGTGCGTTATCCTACTGGAATTAATGGAAGTACTGGAAACTAGTAATGGAAACTCAATCAATGTTAGTTTCATGCTAAGCAAACAAGCACCATTCTACACACAGTATATTAGATTATGCATAAAGCCATGACTGAAGTCATTTACAAGGATCATTTACAAATTTCTTTGTTAGAATAATTTTAGCCCAGTGATTCAGATCATCATGGACAGAAATTCACAGTACCCGGGCCAACATCTTTGTGTGGGATATATTTTCGTTGCCTTTTAGATCTATAGACCATTTTGAGGGATAAAACAAAATCAATGGTCCTAACATAATTCTTGTTTTATTTCTATAGCTTCAAAGAATCTGAAAAGAGCCATATATTCATAAATAACGTTATGATAGCTGTTTTAACATTAAGTTATGATTGAATTGCCTCTTGTTACAGTTATGAAATAGTTTGATAACAAGCAGGAAATGTTCATCGGCCAGTGACATGACCACATTGAAATGGTCTACAGAGAATGATTGATTATTAATCAGTGAGAAAATCTTTATTTAATTTAAAATTAAAAAATAGTCATCTAAAATTGTGTTTTAAATAATAATTTAAATGCTAAGGTTTTTCTATTGGTGAGTGTGTATAAATTGGTATTTGTTGAGTGCATATTTCAATGTTACCCTCTTAGCAACAAATATGGCATTTTTTACTGGGATTCAGAAAATATGCTATTTGCAGTATAGCATGTTATGGAAAGTGCATTATGGAGTTTAAGTTTAGTTAAATGTTTTATTAAAGTTTAAATTTAAATCTTTAAAATGTATTATGTGCAGATGAAGAGTTTACTTCAATGTATAATGTCTGAAATAACTTTTAATATTTAATGTCGGAAAATATCAATTCAAAATAAGTGTTTAAATAATTTTTATCTATTTATTTTTTATTATTAGAAAGTGTTTTTTTTTTTATATAAATGCTTGTAAATTTGAACTGTATTTGCCATTAAATAGCCAAAGATGCTGATATGGCAATAAACTCACTCCATGCTAAAGTCCTGTGCAGTGTTTACTATTAATTTTTCATATCTCTGTTGTTGCTTATTCTATTTATTATTATTTCTCAACAGATGGTTTGCAACTGTAAAGACATCTAAACGGATGAACAGTAACACTCTTGTTTCAACTCAGCAAACAATTAAGATGACCTAGTAGTTCGCTTGTGCAAGACAGATTTGATAAATACCTCATTATGAATAATAACAACTTTCAAGCGCCTGCAAGCTGTGGCGGTTTCGCAGATAAAGCAGCTATAGAGATGGATGAAGAAGAAGGGCAAAACAACATTTCACCTGCAATGACCGACAATCAATCTCTATGTCCTGGGCTGAACATCACGAATGAATCTCAGCAAACACATTCAGGTGACACCGATGCCCAGTCCAGCGGGATCGACTCAACGGAGAGGGAGAACGATGGACGTTTGGGACATGGAACCTCAACCTGTAGCTCACTGCACGGAAAAGGCTCAGCCACAGAGACGACGGAAAGCAAGAGGTATGGAATGTTTATGTTGAAATATTTTCATTAGAGGGATAGTTTATCCTAAAGTAAAAGTTCTGCCATCATTTGCGCACTCGTTGCTTGTTTCCAACCTGTTAGAGCTATCTCTTGTTGAACACAAAATAAGATTTTGTGAAGAATGTTGGAATATGAAGAATGTCATAGTGAATTTATCCCTCTGCGAATGTCTTTCCAACATTCTTTAGAAATTATTTTGTGTCTGAAAACAATTGGAGTAAACGTTGAGTAACTTTCATTTTTGGGGTGAACTATCTGTTTAAGGAATTCAGGAAATGACCTATTGCAACTTCACACAAAAAATAAATATATAAAGTAAAAAAAAAAAAAAAACTGATTTATTGAACAGAAACACTACCGGTCAAAAGTTTGGGGTCAGTAGGATTTTTAAATGTTTTAAATAAGCTTATTCTGTTCACCAAAGCTGCATTTATTTAATAAAAAAGTACAAATTGTAAAATTGCTAAATGTTATTGCTCTATGAAATAAGTAGTTGATCATTTAATTGATTAATTTATTTCAGTTATTTTTTTAAAGGTGAATTTTCATCTTCATTACTCCAGTCTTCAGAGACACATGATCCTTCAGAGATCACTATAATATTAATTATTATTGTTGTTTTTATTAATATTATTATTAATGGTAATAGTAATAAAAGCAATAATGACTTGAGTAATAATATTTAATATTTTAGTCACCCAATATATATTTACAAATAGAAAGATAATACTTTTAAATTCATGCAATATATATATATATATATATATATATATATATATATATATATATATATATATATATATATATATATATATATATTCATGATAAAATATCAACATTACATAGTGTTAGAAGGTACACATTATGTTGATCTCGAATAACTTTTTTTTATCAGCATATTTGAATTAAACGTGAACTATCTATCATATCTATATAAACTATCATTTGTGAATGATCATGGGAGTAATTATGCTGAAAATGTTGCTGCTAAAGGAATAATTGACATATTACATAAAAAAAACAGATCTGTTGTTTTAAAGCAGGACACTGGAGGCATAACAAAAAACCCTTCAGAATACAAATGTGAAAATATCTGTAAAGTTTAGTGTATCCACAGATAACTGAAGTTCAGTGTTGAAGAAAAACTCTGTTTGAGAAAAAGGCATAAAATATGTATGGTTAAAATCTACAGACATGAATTGACCATTTATGGTAAAAAAAACATATTTGTAATTTTTATTTTTGTATTTTTCTTTTTTAACCAAGAAAACTTTATGGAATCCAAAATGCAGAAAGCCTGTTTGTTTGCCGCAGTGTCTATTAAATTGTAATAATATTTTACAATATTACTATATTTACCTGTAGTTTTTTTATAAAAGGTAATTGATGTTGACCTCAAATTGATTTTACAAAAGCGAGTTTATATATAATACATATTTAAACAGAAAGCATATTAAATGCAAATGTCTGCTTTAATGTTTGAAATAATATGAATACCAAAATATTAAATCACATACTTATTCTGACCTGTTCTTAATTATATAAGAGATTATGTATCTATTACAAATATCTTTTATATAAGAGAATAAGTCATGTGAAATTGTATTACAGTGACTAAACACCCTTGAAGGAACACAGTTAAAGGAAGTTTAAATAAAGCAGTTATTTAGGATTTTGTGGCTGCACTGCGGTCCTTAATGAGAGTCCATTAAAATGTCAATGAATTATTTTAGGTCTAAATATGTGAGACAAGATTTTTTAGTATGATAACTACTTTTACACTGAATGACATGTTAGTTCCTGTAAATCATGTTCAAAAGGTATGTTTTTTTTTTCTCTCTAAGAAACAAAAATTAAGCAGGGCACATTTGAATATACACGTAATTAAAAAAAAGCTGTATTACACTACTAATGTTTTGGTGCTCGAAACTTGTTTGACTTGTATAAAGATAAAAATAGCTTGAATGCTATTAAAAGTCACTGCATCTTAGCCAAATCTGTAAGTATAATTCAGTGGTAGTTATCTTTGAACCACTTTAGCCAGCTAAAAGATAAAAACAATGCGTATAGGGAGGAGGCATATAAATAGCTCACACATTTAATTTTAATAACCCAATTGCAGGAGTTTGGTTAAACCTGGTACAATTTTCTTTCCTGGAAAAGGTTTTCATTTGGAACTGGTTGAGGCGTTGGCACAATGATGAACCTCTTATGGCAAATTAAAACTTGTACTTGTACAGGCTGTGCTTTTTGTTATAAATATTAGGCTTGTTTGGAAACTATAAGCTAAAAATAGTTCCTGGTTTGAAGCGGGAAAACAGAAGTAGTTAAAGTTTGCATCAAAATCATATTTGTTTGTTCTGAAGTAAATATTCTGGAAGTGGCAATTTAATTTTCATCATATCAAAGTCCATTTTAAAGTCTATTCAATTGGTGGCCATGTCTTTAAAATGGTTTATGTGAACAAAACTTACAACCATGAGCCATTAGATACACCACATCACATAGTTTACAATAAATTACTTTGTATTTGTTCCAAATAGTTTTTAACATACATAATGACTTCATTCTAGCCTGAAAGATTGTGTATTGAGCATCTTTCTGTGGCTTGAACGTAGTACTGTATTCTCTATATGAAGAGCTTTAAAAACATGGATGAAAGCTTCACTATACATTTGCAAACGTCAAACTCATTGCTTGCGGTAGAAAGTTGTACCACAGTTCTTAAAGTATTTTTTTATTGTTTTGGCAAACATGAAACAGATCTCAGATCAGAGTATCTTAGAGTGACAGATCTGAGATACAAAATTGATCATTATACAGTGCTCAGCATGATTGAAATTGAAAATGAATATTTGTATCCATTTCTCAGTGAATATAGACAATGTATTTTGGTGCGTTTAAACAAAACAGATTTATTACATGGATATATTTATTAAAATAATATTTTAGTCACCAAATATATTTAGAAATTGAAAGATAATACAATTAAAACCAAACAAAATATTGTTAAAACAAATACAACCTACAACATTCCAACATTTTTCCTTTTTTTTTTTTTTTTTGCTTGTCTCGAATTTTTTGCTCTTTTTAAAATTTGTATTTAATATTTTTTTTATAACATATAAATTTGGGTGTACTAGATTTGCCTTCAATACTGACTAATCTAATGTATATGCACAAATATACTATTATATAGCTTTCTATTAAAAATATAAATTTAGAAGATTTTATCTTATCAAAAAGTAAATTAACAGAGAAATTAATTAATGTCAAACCATGCTCCCTAACATTGAGAACACAATACAAATCTATATTCAGTAACAGAGTAACTTGATAACTTGACAATAACTAATTGTAAATTTGTAAAAATGTAATTATTCTGGCCCTAATTTTTATTAAAATGGAACATTATCTTCTATAATATCAAAATGTAAAACCTTAAATTTATTGCTTCAATACTATGTTGAATTGTAACTGTGTTGTTTCTATAATAACTGAGAAACACTGTTGGCAAAGCACAGCATTGACCATTTATAGAACATGTTGTATTTTATTGTGGGAAAATTCTATTTTTATAATTAGCGCTATCATGTTATTACCCTGCCTTTTCATTTATGCAAGTGCACTCCCTTACAAAGTCATCCAAAAATGTAATTAATTCTTTTATAAATAGAGCTATTCACTTATCTAATGAAATTGGTTTCATATCCAGTGTATGTCGCAGAAAAACAAAAGCAGTGTAAGTTTTCTCTAATATCGAACGTCCCTAGTGTCCTATTTTTGTATATGAAATGTTTAACTGTATTTAAAATATTAGCAAAATTCAACTATTATAAACTCTCTTTCCTCAGCTCAAATGGAAACAGTCCGTCTCCCCCGAGCAGCTCAGTGTCATTCAGTCTTTTGAGCGGAAGTTCAGAGCAGGATCATTCGACATCCCAAGCATCCAACAGTGACCAACCAGCCCGACTTCAGACCCAGAGAGAGCTGCTAAAAGTCCTGCGTGAGCTGAAGATCCACATGCCAGCAGAACGGCGCAGGAAAGGCCGATCTAGCACACTAGCATCTCTACAGTACGCACTTAGCTGTGTCAAACAAGTCAGAGGTACGTGAAAAAACAAATAACCCCCACCAATAATACAACCCCAACATTAATTTTACTTGAATGAGCATATGTGTGAGGACTAAAAGGGTGTGTTTTGTTGTTTTGCAGCTAATCAAGAGTACTACCATCAGTGGAGTGTGGAAGAAAGCCATGGGTGTTGTTTGGACCTGTCATCATTTACTATTGAAGAGCTAGACAACGTTACGTCAGAGTACACCCTTCAAAACACGGTACGCCCGGACAGGTTACCATGTACACCTACAATATTGTTTACAACTGGTAAGCTTTGCCTATATTTGATCACTTTCAGAGGTAGTTTTTGATCAGACATTTAATCAGATTGCTTTAGTAGTTTAAATAAAGTGTGGCAAGATAAGAAGGAAGAGTCTCAATTAAATCTAAAAACAATCTTGCTCACAAAAGACATTTTTAAACAATTGGTAATACCTGGTGGAAAGCTTAGGCTTCTTGGTTGACCATCATTTATGATCATACCACAAAAATTGCATGTTAAAAGTATAGTTTACCCAAAAATGGAAAGTTATTCACTCTTTACTCATCCTCAAGTGGTTTCAAACCATTGTACGTTTCTTTTTTTCACTGAACACAAAATAAGACATTGTGAAGAATGTTGGAAACCAGTGAAGAGATTATATTAATTATCAAAGAGTCAAGGATAACATATACACTTAATACACTTTAAACTCTTATTTTGTCAGGCTTTCTTGTAAATTGTGAGCTAAAAGTTATAAAATAAAATAGTTATAATATAAAATAGATTCTGCCTGGTTTGAAGTGGGAAAACAGAAGTAGTTCAAGCTTGTATCAGTATAATATTTTTCTGAAGTAAATGTTGTGGAAGTGGCAATTTAATTTTTATATAAAAGTCAATTTCAAAGTCTATACAAAAAAAGACACTGTGAAGAGATTATGTCAACCATCAAGGTCAAGGACAAGTACAAACAAAGACAAACTATTTAACTGCTGGTTAACTTTGAACTACTGGTTATGGCATTCAACATTCTTTAAAATGTCTTCTTGTGTTCAACAGAAGAAAGAAACTCATATCATGTGATTGTATCAAGTGGAGAGATAACACCAATAGTCTCAGGTTTAAGTCTAATGCATGATTTCTTCCTCTATTTCTCCTCAGGACACGTTCTCGGTGGCGGTGTCATTTCTGTCTGGTAAAGTGGTGTACATCTCATCCCAGGCGGCCTCTCTGTTGCGCTGTAAAGCTGAGAGGCTGCAGGGGGCGCTGTTTTCAGAGCTGCTCGCGCCTCAGGACGTCAGCACCTTTTACAGCAGCACTGCTCCCAGCCGTCTACCGCCGTGGTCCTCCTGTGCTGGAACTAGTGAGTGGGCTTAAAAATTTTTAAATATATATATATTTTTTATTACTAGCATATGTTGTTATTACCATAAATGTTATTAAGCAACTGTGCACATGTTTTCATGTGCCTCAACTAGTAATGCTGGCAGAGTAATAGTGTATTTTTTTAGGCATGGTCTGGTATGGGTACACTACTGAAATTGCATTGGGTCAAGGTTATGCCTCACAAACATGTTTTTTTTATGGTAATTCATGTGATTCTGTATCATTATTGGTTAGAAAATGCTGCCAAATGGAATCGGTTATTGACAATAATATTAGAAAACGATTTAACATGAATGTCTAAATTGTTTTTAAATGAAATTGATGAAATTGACAAAAACATTTAATTAAAAATTCATAAAATTCATTAATTCATAAACAAGTGGCAAATATGAAAATAAAAACTAATTCTTAATATTAATATAGTTAATATAATAATGTTAATACTATAAATATATCATTAATATAACATAATATAGATATAGTTCATATAATATTGTTAATAATATAAATATATATAATTAATATAACATAATATTAATATAAATAAAACCACAATACTAAAAGATACTGAAATAACACTGCTGCTGAAACAATCAGTTTGCAGATGTTTTTGTCTTTTTAATCTTACTATTTCATTTGAAACCAGATGTTCTGATGCTGTGGATTGCATACACAATACTGCATTTTAGTGTAGTTAAATTTTTTAAATATTTTTATTGTGAAAGTAACTTTTATGAGCTTGAAAATATTGTAAGTATGTGAGGAGGTAATAAAACAACAACAAAATTGTAATTTTAATAATGTGTTATTTTGTAAAAGTTGTCCAAAACTGTAGTAAAAATTCTGTATATATTAAAGCCCCTTTTGTGTTCAGGCTCACAGGTGGACTGTGCTGAGGAAAAGTCAATGTTTTGCCGGATCAGCAGAGGCAGAGACAGCAATGGAGAGGTGAAGTATCACCCCTTCCGTCTCACACCATATCAGCTCACTCTGAGAGACTCCGACACGTCCCAGCCTGAGCCCTGCTGCCTGCTCATCGCAGAGAGAGTTCATTCTGGATACGAAGGTAAAACAAGACACATTCATGTACACAGCACATACAGTATCATTCAAATTTTTGTGGTCAGGCAGATTATAATTTTTATTCAGCAGTATAATATTATTCAGCAAGGGCAAGTAGAGACTTTTATGCTGGTACAAAACAATTCTGCTGTTGATATGCTTCATATTCATCGTGTCATGGTTTCCAGAAAAATATTAAAGTTAAAAAATATTAAAGATATCATATTTTAAATATTAAAGTCAAATCCCTAAACCGTTGGATCAGAAATTTTAAGAATGTTTTTAAGAAGAAGGATCAGGTTATTTTAAGAAAATTTGAGTGATTTCTGTCGCTCAATTGAAATCTATTCATCCAAAACTTTAAAATATACATCGAACAACAAACAATCTTTAAAACATAAACTGAATTCCTGAAGGGCTGCAGCTCTGCACAGTTTTGCTCCAACCCTAATAAAACACAGCTGATTCAACTAATCATGTTGTTCAAGACTACTAGAGACTATTAAAGCTGAGGTTACATGGCTAGTCCATTCATATGCACGCGAATGCATAACGCAAGATCGTGCAACAAGTTTCGCAGTTTGCTTTGTTGGAAAGTCCAAACTCTGACCTGTTAAATTGCATCACATGATTGCGTGAGACCAATCGAAGATCATAACATGACCTCTCTGGACAGAAATTTAAAATATGGACCAATCGCTCGCTTTTTAAATGTCTAATCATCTGTGCAGAGCTGTGGCCCTTCAGGAATTGAGTTTGAGATGACTGCTTTACAGCATTCAGATTTGGTCAGGGAAGGTCAGTTCTGCTTGCTTGATAAGTGGGAACCAATGTGGTTTATTATTGTATGACACATTTGAGCTTCTGTTTATACTTGCAGATCAGATAAAATCCAAAAGTAAAACTTAAAAAGCGAAGTTGTCTCTTAAGAAGTTGTTTTGTATGGAAGCATCAGAATTGTGGATTGCATGACTTCAGTGGTTGTTCAAAATCTGAAATAGATTACATGTTTGGAGCAGCATGACATCCTCACTTATGAGCCTGAAAATGTATGTTAAAGCTTATACATTAAAATTATTAGCATATTTAAATGATTTCTGAAGGATTGATTACCTCAAAAGTGGTGTAGTGTGGGACGATCACAATAATTTGTTACATTATAAAATATATTATAATAGAAAACACTTCATTTAAATTCTAAAAGTTGTTTGCAGGATTACTATTCTTATTCCTCTTACAAAGAAATAAATGCCTTGGTGAGCATAACATAAGAGACTTTTTGTTAAGAGATTTGTTTTGTTAGCTAACTGAAACCCAGACTCACTGTCATGAAAGCATAATCTCCAAACTCAAATAATTCAAGAAACTTCACATACCATCTATTATAGATTATAATAGCTTTAAACATTGTTCTAGTATCACTTTAATTACTCTAACTACATCTTATTATTAGCCAAACGTGCCCTTAATTGAACAATCACCCTTATGTAATATTGACACCTAATTAAACACACCCTACTCTCTGTTATTGTTGTCTGTCTCAGGTTCTGATGTGTTTTGCTTTTTTGAAACAGCGCCTCGTATCCCAGCAGACAAGAGAATATTTACCACCAGTCACACCCCGAACTGTCTCTTCCAGGAGATTGATGAAAGGTTCGCATGTTTTGTCACAATTTAACCATCCATGTCTATTTTGGAGTAGTTGCAATAATTTTCTCCCCTCTCGTTTGCAGGGCTGTGCCATTATTAGGTTATCTGCCTCAAGACTTGGTTGGGAAACCGGTGCTTGTTTACCTGCATCCAGAAGACAGACTGCTCATGGTGGCCATTCATAAGAAAAGTGAGTCGTTCATTCTGAATTCAGTGGTGAATGTTTGCAAAGTAAGACTCGTTAATCAAATTTTCATCTTCGCTAGTTCTTCAGTTTGCCGGACAACCTTTTGATCACTCGCCCCTGCGTATGCGTGCAAGAAGTGGTGAATATCTGACCATTGATACCAGCTGGTCTTCCTTTATCAACCCATGGAGCAGGAAGGTGGCTTTCATAGTGGGACGCCACAAAGTTCGAACGTAAGTGAAAATAAAAATATTCATGAGCTAAAACAGTTATTTTCGTAAACTAAAACCAAAACAAAGGCTAAAACTATTGGTCAAGACTTGAATGAAAAACTAAAACGGAAATTTGAAAAAAAGCTTTATTGTGAAGAAAATAAAAAACATGTTTTCAGATTTAACAAACATGCATCCTCTTGGCACCAATAACCTTAGTGGTAAAGTTTACTGTAGTGTTCATGATGACCTGAGTTTGATTCCCAACTCAAGGATCTTTGCTGATTCTTCCACTTTCTGCCTGCTCCCCACACATTCCTGTGTTCGCTCTCCATTGTCCAGTCAATTAAAAATTATAAGCAATTAAAAAAAACATTCATCCTGAGGTGTAAAGAAATCATCTGGTCTCATCTGAGATTTTTTAGGGAAATACCTGTGGATGGCACTTCTTGTACGTCAAAACATCAGTCAAGCAAATGTCCTTCTCTCATTTCCTTCAGCTTTGTTGCTTTATACATCAGGGTTTGCCACAGTGGAATGAACCACCAACTTATGCAGTATATGTTTTACACAGGGGATGCCCTTTCAGTTGCAACCCAGTACTGGGAAACACCCATACCCACTCTTTCACACACATACACTACGGCCAGTTTAGCTTATTCAATTCACCTATACCACATGTCTTTGGGCTGTGAGGGAAACTGGAGCACCCAGAAGAAACCCACGTGAGAACAGGGAGAACATACGAACTCCACACAGAAATGCCAACTGGCCCAGCCAATAATTGAACCAGCGACCTTCTTGCTGTGAGCTGACAGTGCTAACCACTGAGCCACAAAAACATTGCTGTTAGATGATTTCTACTTCTTATTCATCTGCTGAAATGTTAACCAGACATGTTTAAATACATCATCTATGATATGAATAGTTGTAGCTTTCTTTAAACTATTATTTTGTTTTTATTACCAAGAGGTTTGCACAGGAGTTGATGTAAACTATTCATCAACATTGTACTTTTGCTCTGAACTGAAGTGTTCCTTTAATTCTGCTTAACTAGAATAATTACTAAATATGAAACTAAAAAGAAATAAATGTGCTCACAAAATATGTATGTGTTTACAATATATGGTGATAGACTCGTGTTCATTGTGTGGATATATAGCATCACTGCACTTCAGGCATCCTGAGTTTGAGTCCTGGATTGCAGACCTTTCCCAACCTTGTCCCCTCTCTCTCCAACTTCACTTTCTGTCTAAATGTTATCCTATCATAATCAAGTAAAAAAAACTTGAATAAATAAATGAATTAAAAAGTAAGTAAAATGTTATTTATAGCCAAATTAAAAATAATTAAACTAAATAATTAAAAAATATATAAAGCTATAATAACCTTGGCCAAAACGGAGATCTAGTGTTAAGGGGTGTAACAAAACTCACTTTCGTCCTGTAGGAGTCCGCTAAATGAGGACGTGTTCACTGCTCCTGAGGGTGAAGAGATGAAAACCATGTCTCCAGATGTACCGCAGCTGAATGAACTGATCCACAGGTTCCTGGTTCAGCCCGTTTACGGTGGCAGCTCACAGGGGTACGGCAGCCTGGGCAGTAGTGGCTCACATGAGCACCAGCAAGGTGCAACTTCCTCCTCTGAGAGTAATGGACATACATCTGAGGACCAGATCAAGCCCAGGAAACCAGTGAGCTAATTTATATTGATCAGTCCAGATCGTGTACACATGAAAGCGTTTGAATTTATACAGTGCTCAGCATAATAATATTTTTCTCCATTTCCCAGTGAATATAGGCAATGTATTTTGGTGCATTTAAACAAAACAGATTAATTAAACTGATATATTTATTAAAATCATATTTTAGTCACCAAACATATTTAGAAATTGAAAGGTAATACAAAATATTGCAACAAAAAAATGACAACCTACAAAATTTCAACAAAATATTTATTTATTTATTTATTTTTTGCTTATCTTGATTTTTCCTCTTTTTTTTCTTTTTTTTTAATGTATTTAATATTTTTCTATAACATCAAAATTGGGGTATACTAGTTTCTGAGCCGTTATCTTAAGTTATTTTGTTAGATAAGCTCCAGATTTGGCTTCAGTACTGACTAATCTATGCACAAATATAATTCGCACAAATGTAATACTGTATAGTCTAAAATACTAATTTAAATGATAGATTTGTGAGGGGTGTACTTTTATATTCTGAGCACTGTATAATGAAACACTAGTGTAAAAAATGTTTCACCAAGGGTGAATTTGGTCATCAAAAAAGTTAAAATAATCATGTTGTAAAAAATATTATTTAAAAAGTTTTAAAGGACCATTTGTGGATTTACTATATTTTTTAATGTATTACTGTGATCGCACAGATGAATTATTAGTAGCCATTACTTCAGTTTTTAGTGTCACATGATCATTGAGAAATAATTCTAAAGCTGCTAAAGTTTTACATGTGAAATGTTCATCTTGGAATAGAAAGTTATATTAAAAAAGCATTTATTTTATTTATTAAGTTTTCACTGTCACTTTTGATTAATTTAATATATCCCTGAGAATGTAAGAATTTATTTATTTATAAAGCATTTACCCCAATTTTTTAATAGTAGTTTAAATACAGTAAGCACTAGTAATAGTTCTGTTGTGCTGGGTATATTTAAAAATGAAAAATATTAATTGTGTCCAATCAACTGGTTGAATTTTTTGCATGCACAATTAACATAAAACAGTGTTTTTTTCCCTTTGCAATGCTAAATGTGTCAGCTTTTCAAAAGCTAGCTCCCATGTAAAAATTGTGCAATCTTTATTTCTTCGTCCTGTCTAGATGACATTTGAGCAGATTTGTCAAGACATGCACATGGTAAAGACCAGCGGACAGCAAGTTTTCATTGAATCACGAAACCGACCACCAGCTCTTAAACAGGGCAGCTTAGGTAAAAAGTTTCAACCAATAATCACCTCACTTGATCTCTTTAGCCTGAGGCCAAATTTTAAGTGACGTTACTGCTATCATGTTTCAGAAGCACTGGCAAAGGCAGCAGATACAGCAGAGGCCTCTGCTAGAGATGGTCTGGCAAGTTTAGCACTGTCCAGTCCACCCAGGAAGGAGCTGCCTATGATCTACTCATACCAGCAGATCAACTGCCTGGACAGCATCGTACGGTGAGTCTCTTGTCTGTATTAGTGTTGACAAATAGTTTAAATTGTGTGATTTGTATTTTATTATTATTAAATAAAATTATTTAATTACATTTTTAAAGCTTATTTTAAGAGACAAAGTATGTTGAATAAAACTTTTTTGGCTGTATGTGCGGTATGTGCATTGGATATGTAGTGATCTTATGTACATCACTGTTGTTTAGATATCTGGAGAGCTTTAATGTCCCTGGCACTGTGAAGAGGAAGTGTGGCTCTTCCTCTTGTACAACCTCTTCTACCTCTGATGATGATAAACAAAGGGAAGGAGCTGGAGCAACCCAAGGTTAGTAAAAAATTACTAATGCAATATTCACCCAACACCACCTATAAGTATTCAGGAAGTCAGAGGCAGAGCAGAATCATTAAACCAGTTAATTTAGGTATTCCTTCAGTATCTATTCATGAATGTTCTTTGTGAAGATGTGCAGAATTCACTCTTCAGTTCACTCTTCCTTTCAAACATAGCAGAGACTCTTGTGGTGACCGAGGGGTCAAAGGTCGTTCCTGCAGCACCGGCACACCCTCTAACCCCTCTTGCTCTACACTGTAAGGCCGAAAGCGTTGTCTCAGCCACTTCGCAGTGCAGTTTCAGCAGTACTATTGTTCACGTTGGTGACAAGAAGCCGCCTGAATCAGGTCTGGACAATGACCTATGGTATTGTGGTCTTGTATTTTATTTAGTGCTATTCTCAAAGAAGCTATCTTTTCTGTTTGATCTACATCCAGACATTGTAATGATGGAGGAGCCACCAACCACCCCAACAGCTTCCACGTCAGCTCCCGCCACCTCTGTTGCCTCTCCCATACCTGTAAATCCCCAACCAATGCCTTCCCCCACTGCAGCTGTGCATGAGAAAGAAAAGGAGAAAGAGAGGAGAAGTGGAGGAAGCGCAGGGAAGGGTCTCACGAAAGCCGTGTTATCCGCACATACTCAACAAGAAGAGCAAGCCTTCCTCAACCGCTTCAGAGACCTCAGCCAGCTGCGGATGGTCCAACCTAGTGGGCTGCCACCACCACGCAGATGCACATCTATACCTGGAACAAAAGGTACCTGAATTGTGCAGTTTTCAAGAATTTGTTATTTCGACCCATGCACAAGATGAAAAACTCTCTTTCTGGAGGGCCACAGTCCTGTAAAGTTTATCTACATTCCTAATCAAACTCACCTTTAAAGACAGAACCAATGTTTTTAGGATTACCTGAATATCATTGGTAGGTGTGTTTGATTAGGAATAGAGATGAAAGGTAGTAGCCCTCCAGGACTGAAATTGAATATCCCTGACTCCCTTTTTATTTGATTTTAGGAGTGAACAGCTCCCAGAACTATCCTTCTGTAGGCAACACCAGCAGTCGTCGGCATGGCAGGGGTGGGAAAAGACAGAAACATCAAGTAGATGGCAACATTCCAAACAATACCCCAATTTCTGCATCTGGCCCCTATAGAGGACCTAATCCTGCTCAGATAAGACCCAACTTCCCCTCTGTCCAGCAATCTTCCAACTCTTGGGCTCCATCTGCTGCATCCCAAACCAACGGTGCTCCAGTGGGTACATCTTTTCCTCCAAGCTACATGACCATGTTTCCAACTTCCTCACCATTCTCAGTAACCCAGATGGGAACTGATCCTTCCCTGCAAACAGGAGTCCCTAGATTTCCAGCGCAAGGCTTTCCTTCAGTGATGCCACCAGTCATGACATTCATGATGCCCAACTACATGTTTCCACAACTCTCTAATCCAGGATCACAGTTGAACCCAGCCAACTCCCAGCTCAACGCCCAAATGAACTCCTTTGGGCAGTTCCCTCCCCCTGTTGTTCAAATGAGTGTACCAATGTTCAATCCTGCAATGGGGCAATTTTATCCTTTGGGCTCCCAAATGAACCCTGCTATGCCTGCAATGATTCCCCAGCAGTTCTACAACCCAAATTATCAGTTAAATTTTTCCAACTCTCCATCAATGCCTGCTGCAAATGTCAGCACTACACCACATGGACAGTCTCGCTCCAGCACACCCCAGTCCACTGGGCCACAGGCTGGTGAGAGGGATGGGGCTGGATCTCCTTTGTTTCAGTCTCGATGCTCTTCCCCACTTAATCTTCTACAACTTGAGGAATTGCCAAGCAACAGAACGGATGCTACACAACAGACTCCACCTCCAGGGGGTGGGGCAACACAAGGCGGTGTGGTAGTGGTGCAAAATTCCAGCAATCGCAGCAACACTCAAGATGCCAAACTAAATGACCATGTAAGTATTAAGGACTATTTTAAACTCTTTGGTTTTTCCAGAACCTTGCTTCTTAGCTAATTTGACCTAATTTACTTTAGCCTGAAGTCAGTGAGTCCAACCAGGATGCGCTGTCAACGTCCAGTGACATGTTGGACCTACTCCTGCAAGAGGATTCCCGCTCAGGCACTGGGTCATCAGGGTCAGGGTCAGGGTCTGGCTCCTTCGCTTCTGGATCAAATGGATGTAGCACATCTGGAAGTGGCACTAGTGAGTAATTTGTTCCTGTATGCTAAGTTCTTAAAGTGATATATCACCAATGTACTGGTCACTCATGCAATTCCATTTTTCCCCTTTATAAATGTTAATCTTAGGGAGCAGTAATACTAGCAAGTACTTTGGAAGCATAGACTCCTCAGAGAATGACCAGAATCACAAACCAGCATCTGGAGACCTGGGAGGGGAACAGTTTATCAAATTTGTCCTGCAGGACCCAATATGGCTCCTCATGGCCAACACAGATGACAAGATCATGATGACATACCAGATTCCTATCAAGTAAGACCATTTTAACAAAGTAAAATTGTTAGTCAGTCTTGCAAATCTAGATTTCGACTACTGCAGAGTACAGATCCAGTTATGTTCTGACACCATTGCCGGTTAATTGCAAATAACCAAAACCTTGCTCAGAAATCTTAATAAGCTGGTTTTAGTACTGTATACATTGTTGTTGGAAGATAGACTACATCATTTTGTGAATGTTTACAGAGACAAAGATTCAGTACTGAAAGAAGACAGAGATGCCCTGAAAGCTGCTCAGAAGCATCAGCCTCACTTTACAGAAGAGCAGAAGAAAGAATTAACTCAGGTTCACCCGTGGATTCAAACTGGCTGCCTACCAAAAGCCATTAACGTTACAGTGAGTAGCTCTTCGAATTACACAAAGTCTGTACTCAAAAGCAGACCAATTATTTTCTTCTTTCCAATGCATTCAGATTTAATAGATGTAGTTCTGATGCAGTTCTTAGTGTGTATATCTTTTAAAATGAGTTATTACCAATAATTATATGCAGTAATATCCTACACTTTACTAATTCATGATGGTGGATGAAATTAACTCTTAATTATATTGTGTTCAACACTGAATATTGATTGAAGAATGTTAAAAATGGTTTAGTCTAGTTTATGGCAGACTGATATTTGTTTGCTTATGTATGCTTCTAAGAGTATTTAATTTGTGTAACAACATGTTGACAATATTTCACACAACTCATGCAATTTAACTTACCTTGCTTGTAAGTTAAAAGTTGTTTCTTCTTTCACAGTCTTGTACAGGATGTGAATCTCCCCCAGATTCCTCCACTCTTCCTCCATTTGATTTGGAATTCCATGAAATGGATCTCAATGTAGTTTTGAGGGAAGAGGCCAAACAAGAAGATAAACTTGCAGAAACAGCCTTTCCCTTGAGCCCCCCGTCATCTGATAATGAACAAAGAGACAACCAGGCCAACCTGAGCACATAGTGGACCATTACTGAAGTAAATGCTACATCATCAGCAAAAGTGAAGCAGGACCGTAGACTGCTGGACAGTGATTGGTTGGGCTTCTGCCTCATTTGTTTTAGGACCAAGTACCCTGTTGAACCTATGTGGATGGTTTTAGCTGGTACTTTACTGGTCATATGTTGGTCTAAGCAGCAAAGAACCAAAAGAAACCTACCTTACAATTATTTGCTGTTTTTTTTTCAACATTCTTGAGTTTGAGAAGTTTATGATGTTGAATTCACTCAGGTTGATCAGTATCAAGGGCATATTTTCACATCCTTCCTTGAAGGTATGTGTAGCTTCATAACCAGACTTCTGGTTAGGGACACATTTGAGTTGTTCATCTGTTGGACAAGGTGACTGTTTAAGGAAAAGTGTTGTTCCACTATATTGTGCTTCCAGGATCTCATAATTATTCATGAGCCTGCCTGGCCTTATCCAATGACTGGTGCTGTTTCATAATTATTCATGACACCATGTGACTGTTTTGTGTTTTAGGCAGTTCATCAAACTGTGATGTTTTTTTTTTTTTTTGTTTAGTGTTGAGAAACGAAAACATAAGTGAGGCACTTATTTAACAGACACTGTTCCTTTGCCAATTTCCCATCCGTTTAACATCGTTCTTTAAAATGATGGACAAGTAGACGGGGAAAAAAATCCTAGTTTCTCTTACCAGTTACCAGCAACCACACTTTTCTCTCATGCTTCTTTCCAAGGATTCAATTTGTTAAACCTTAACTGACTTGGCAAGAATAGTTTTTGGCCCCAAACAGAAGGTAAACCTTTTGAAAGGAAAAAAAAAACTGAGAGATATAAGATCTTTATAATCTAATGCAGCCATAATTTTGTATACTAAAATATGTTCCCATGTGAACTTACTCTGATTTAAGATTCACCAGTTTTATGGGCAGCACTCACACAGGCAGATGATTGTGGCTGGACACTCCTCAGGCTATAAATTGAAAGCAATTGTGAACAGAGGCACTTACTTGCAAATGAAAGGCACTTTACTGTTCCTGATTAAAAGGGAGAACGGTCGCTGAAAGCCAGCAGCCAAAGCTTACTTTTAGTGTTCATACAATCAAAATGCAGACACATATTAAGTTTGCTCAGCTAAAATAATTAGCATTCAGATATTTACTATGTTTTAGTTTTTTTCCACTGGTAAAGTTTTTAAAAAACTATTTATTTGTACAAATAAAATTAATATTGTGCATTTTGATGTGCGGCTTTCAGTCACAGGGATATAAGAAGGTTTTGATATTATTAAAGCCATAGAAGGGAAATAATGCTTTGATGATAGATGCAAGTCTTGCGTCTTAAAGCCTCTCAGATGTGCTTGATGCTCTTTTTGTTTTGTTGGATGTTTCATAGAAGTACAAGGTTACTTCTATTATTTTTTTTAGGTTCCTGTGTCTTGTTTAGTTACTCAACAAATGCAACACTGTGTTATTTACATATTTAATTTACTTGTCATGTTTCCTGTTGCCCTCAGATTATTTTATGAGGGTTTTTCAAAAGCTTTTCTGGGAAAGCAGAAAGGCCCAATCAGTTTACATGCAGTACAGTTCTTTTCAAAGCTTCTGTTGAATGTTCAGGAATTGTAAATTGAATTTATACATTTACCATGTCCCGAACAAGCATTTTTTTTTTTACTTAAACGTGTTTAATATGTTTTTTTTGTTTTTGTTTTTGTTTTTTGCCTTTAATCTAAATAAATACGTTTTTTATTATCTGTTTTGACCATCTTTTTACTACCATACGCGAATTGATCTTCATAACCACAAGAGGGCGTACCAATTTATCTGGCAACATTCACTAGTCTTGACATTGAGTGTGCTCTGAATTATCTTCAGACAATACAAATATTTTGATTTGCTAATAAGATTATGGCTCGTCTTTCATTTTTCAAATACTTTAAACTGTTTCCCAGCCCAAGTTGCTGAATTGAATGTGCATATGAATGTCTGAGAGAGGCGACACATGGAGAAAAAGAGAGCATTCCACTTTCTTTGCCTACTTTCCAAAGCTTAAATCTCAACTTTCCCCGAATCAAGAATGCAGCTCAGACTGTCAACTTACTCTCATTTCCACATCCCAAACTGTTCAGATCGGCAAAACACAAAGAGTTATAAGCTCTTCTTTCTTTTTTCTGAGAGATACACTTTAAAAAAAATGTTTTGCTGTTTGTTCAAGCTACTTGTTTAAACTGAGCTGAAACAACACAATTCCTTAGGTTTTTTTTGGCACAACCTAATTGTTTTATATTCAATCCACTTAAATTAGTAAAAAAATAATTTTTTACAGTGTAGGAAAGAGAAGTGAGGAGCTGTTTGTTTTTGACGTCGTGTGATTGAGGGTTTCTTATATAAACCATAATGAGAGAGGAGAAGACTGTAGTGGTGTGTTTCATCCCAGCAAGCTGTTTGCAGGGTGTCCATGGGGTCCTAAAAGTCTTCAATCTCAAAAGCTAAATTTAAGGCCTTAAAAGACTTAAATCTATTAAAATAATGTGTTGTAGGTCTTAAATCTTTTTTTAACACGTCTTAATTTTCCTTTTTTCGTGTATTGCTACCCAATCTGGCCATAAAATCATATGTAGTCATAAAATCCCCAACAATCCTAATTTCAATAAAGTTTTTAACTTCTTATTTAAAAATTGCATTTTAAGCATATTTACAATGGTGGTTTAATTACTTTCCTTACAGTAACATTTGTTTAAAAGTTCTTCATGTATTTACTGCTGAGGACACTAAGCAATATTTTTATTACTAAATTATTATTATTATAATATTATTAAATGAATTAAATTATAATCATTTTTGGATAGAGCAGCTGATAATCTTTTCAAACTAGGATATTCGAAAAAAGAATCCCTAGTAATTAGCCGTATAGTTGTATAGGTCTGAACATTTAATTTATATGGTCTTAAATGTCTTAAATTAAACTTGGTGAAACCTGCGGAAACCTTGCTTGTGTAATGGGCAATGACTGTTCTGCTTTTCCAATTGTTTTCACATACTTAGCTTCTTCTTTTTTTTTTTTTTAATTTAAGCATTTTGAATAGCACTTAATCATATATAGTTAAAAGTTGAATTATTAGCCTTTTTAATTTTTTTCTTTTTTTTTCTTTGTACAGAAGAGTCTTGAAATATATCTAGTCAAATATCATTTACTGTCATCATAACTATTAGAAATGACTTATTAAAACTAATATGATTAGAAATGTGTTGAAAACATCTTCTCTCCGTTAAACAGAAATTGGGGAAAAAAATAAACAGGGCTAATAATTCAGACGGGCTAATAATTCTGACTTCAGCTATAAACATTATTATTCTGTTCATCAAGCTAGCATATACATTAATGAAATCAAATATTTAAATACTTTTTTATTACATATTTATTAATTACTTTTTGTATGTGGTTTTAAATGAAATTATCACTCCAGTCATTATTGCTTTTATTACTTTATATAACTATATATTATAACTATCATTAATATTAATAATATTAAACATAACAATAATAATTTAATATTAGAGTAATTTCTGAACGATCATGTGACTGAAGACTGGAGTAATGAAGCTGAAAATTCATCTTTAAAATTACTGGAATACATTTTTTAAATTATAAAATACTTATGAACAGTTATTTTATAGTGCAATAGCATTTTACAATTTGGTCTGTATTTTAATAAAATAAATACAGCCTTGGTTAGCAGCATAAGTTTTTAAAATGTTTTTTGAAACATTTAAAAATCTTACAGATATATATATATATATATATATATATATATATATATATATATATATATATATATATATATATATATATATATATATATATATATATATATGTATATGTTATTTGTGCATTATTTGCTCCCCTCCAGCCATTCAAAACTTATGTTTTTTTATCCATTAAATACAAAAGATGTTTTAAATAGTTCACGCTGCTTCTTTTTATAAATAAGTAACTTAGTTACTTAGTAAATTACTGATGTCAAAACATTTAGCCTTTAAAAAAATTTTTTTTTAATTTTTACATTTCTTTATACAAATTTAAAGTATACATATAAATCATATGTGTTTATTTACAATATTCATAAAAACTTTGAGATCAGTATGATTTGTAATGCTTTTAAAAAGAAGTATATCCTTCTCTCCAAGGCTGGATTTATTTGATCCAAAATAGTTAAAAAGTTGAAATATTATAGTTTTTTTTTTTTCAATTGAATGTATTTTCTAGCTTTATTTATCAGCACCATTACTTCATTTTTCAGCATCACACGATCCTTTAGAAATCCTCAGGACATAAAGGGACTTTAAAGCAATATAACAAAAAAGTTTCACATTAATTCATATAATTTTCTTGCTAAATCCTATTCTATCAAATGTTATTGTAAAATCCAAACTTCAGATCTACTGCCTCCCCTAAAATCCCCTATCAGTGTAATTCGACTATACAGTACATCCCCCACTAAGTTCATTCCTCTCTACAGTATTTCTGTCCTGTCCCTCTGCCAAGAATACATTTTGATGGATTGTTTTTGTAGTGCTCCTCAAACCCTCGACCTTCCTCCAGGTCTTTTAGCCATTGTTGGCCCCAAGAGCACCTTCTCCTCCCTCCGCGGCCAGATTTCTCACTCCTCCACCCCCCAGCAAACTCCCACGTCACCACATTCTTGTGCTTTCGCCTGTCATCACAACCCCAATCACATCCCAGAGAGAGCAAACTCAACCAGACGCCAAAACCAACACACTCTTAACATTGAATTCACATTATAGCGTTTGACTGTGTACTTTGCTAATGATGCTTTGCTTAAGATCACTATTTAATATTTACATCATAGTGATTGGATATCCTGTTCTCTTTTAAGATCTGCAGTGATTTCTTTTTTTTTATTGGATTTATATTTCTTCTGAAGGTTTTATGTGGATATTTCCCTGAACAGGCCTCTCTGTAATGTCGATTGAAAGGCCGGAGTTGCAACAGAACACCATAAAGGGGTGAATTCTTCAAACGCTGTGACTCTTTCTGCTTTTACTCTGACCAGACACACACACACAGATAACATGAATGTGAGGTCGCTTATCCCAATTACAAGCAGAAGTGCCTTTTAATCTTGAAGGAATGTTCTGGGTTCAACAAAAGTGAAGCTATAGTCTCTGGACAGCATCTGCTGTGTGTCGAGGAAAAACACAGAAAACTATTTTGCTGTCCTAAAATGACTGTTGTTGTGTGTTTGTTAGAGTTTCTACAATTAGTTTAACATTATAAAATATTCAAATGTTGCCTAAAAAATTGAGCTACAGAAGCAAAATTAGATTAAAATAAGAAAAAAAATCTAATAAAGTGTAAAAACAAATAAATGAAACTAAATGACTGTACTAAAACATAAACAAACCAAAAATGTAACATTTCAACATATTAATGACTGAAGCACAAAGCATAAAAAATAAAGATGTAAAAAAACTAATACAATAAATAAACTAAATTTCAAATGGAAAAACAAATTACTAAAAATAAAAAACGAAAACATACAGAAGTATTAAGGCCATCTTATGCAATTTGTAACTTTTTGATTCAATTTGTATGAATTCGTGTGATATAATTCGAATAATTTAATACGATTTGCTCATCCTCCAATGACAGTTGGGTTAAGGGGCCGGGTTTCGGTGCCATGCTTCCTTTTAAAAATCGTGCATTATCGTACGACTGAACTCGTATGAATCAGCCACTAAAAGGAAAAAAGTAAAATAGCTACTTTCCTCATGAGATCAAGCTGGAATTACTTTTCTCAGATACCAAACAATTTCTTGCTCATTGTAATTTTTTTTTTACTGTTAAAAATAAAAAATGTGAACACAAAGCCTGTCTTGAGTTGCACAGTTATATATAGGAACAGCCAACAATACATTGTTATAAACCAAAATGATTATTTATTCCTATATGCAAAAATGAAATATTAGTTTTTAAGTAAGGCTCAAGGGCAAAAATAGAATCTGTGGAAATCTGTGCAATTTCTGTTCAGAATTTTGTAAAAAAAAATCAGTAGATTTATGCTGAATGATTTTGAGAGTAGGAAATGAGCCTACATTTCCTACTCTAAATATATCATGGCCTCAATTTTTGATAAATAATACATATTGCTAATTGATTTAATTAATTAATTAATTGCTTAATTTAGACATATTTAAAAGTGACTTTCTCAGTAATTAGATTTTTTGAACCCTTAGATTCCACCAGATTTTAAAAAATTTTTTCCAGATTGAGAATTTTCATCCAGATTTTTTTTCCAAATCCAAGTCTTTTTCCAGGCATATCTTGGCCATATGTTGTGCTATTCTGAGACACAGCACATCAATGGAAATAATTTGATCAGCTTTTTTCAGATGATGTACAAATCTCAATTTCTTTTTTTTTTTTTTTTTTTGTAATTCAGTTTTTATTTCTGAAAATAAAAATATACAGTTTTTACAATCAGAGGAAGACTTTTAACAGCTATTACCCTGTATATATCCCCCACCTCGTTATGTATATATATATATATATATCCAAATTTATGCTCAATTTCGATTATCGAATTAAAAAATAGAATCGTCGATGCTGCCACGCCCCCATGTCACGTCAGCTTGGCTTGCCAAGTGGGAAAAAAACAGGCTTGTTGAAGTGCTTGTTAAACTGCAGAAGCAGGAGACCGTCGACAGAACTTAAACCCTCTCCTCTTTCAATGAAGTCGCCGGTGTGTAAGCATTTTGGATTTCCAGTGAGTTATTTTGACAACTTTCATGTTGTTGACAAAAAAAACAACACAGTTTTGCAAGCTCTGCTATGTACGTATTACGTACAGTTCGTCCGATAGACAACACCGGCATCGCGATCCTCCGCCCACCCCCATTGCAAATCCGCTCGCGAAAAGTACACACTCAGGCCCTGTTTACACTGTCTTTGTTTTTAAATGGCATTTTAGAACGACAACGATTTGACATCCACAGTGGCGTGTAGCATATCTGAGCAGCCCTCCTTCCTCTCTACCTCTGAAAATGCACATCACGTGACCACACTGACACAGACATGCTCACAGCCATGGGCTCGAGACAGCAGGTCCAGGCAGTCAGAGGACTGCTTCAATCTTTCACTCACTTGTACTTAGTCATTTTAGCGAACACCTCAGATACTGTTGGCTGGTTCCTGTTGTTTGTGCGTCTTTTTTACCGACGCCATTATAACGACACAGATCACTGCCTATTCACGAGTCCCGAAGAAAAAAGTGATTGACAGGTGGTAATTATATGTGTATCTTGCCTTTATTCATTTACTGTATGATTTGTTTATGGGTAAAACAAAGACCACACAGATCAGGTAGTTTAAATGGTAGGCTACAAATAATTAATTGGTCATTAATTAATTAATTATTCATAATCGAAAATCGAATCGAATCGAAAATGTAATCGAATCGAGGATTTGTAGGATCGTGACACCCTTTATATATATATATATATATAGTTTTTCATATTATCATATGAGCGTTAAGTGTCTGAGATTTCTTTGATGTCACAAATATAGATTTTCCCCACAGTTACAAACCTCAATTAAAAAAAGACCTTTATGTCTGGTTTTGTTGTCCTGGTTGGCATATTAGCTCAAAATAGTTTTTAGTTAAAGGGGACCTGATATGCAAAATCACTTTTATATAAGGTTTAGACACAGTTGTGTGCCAATAATCAGTGAATATAACCAGCTTCTAATGGTCAAAATGTCTAAATTTAATTTTTTATAATCAGACTTAAAACAATCTGCAGAAATATTGATATTCTCTTTTGGTTTGTGTCATCTGAAGAAAGCCCCGCCCTTTAGTGATGATCACTTTCTCCCTAGACATTACGCCCCATTCACACCGGGTGTCACTGAATAGGTGACGTCAAGTGTTGCCGAACTGAATTGTGGGTTCGTCAGTGATGCTTTAGCGGCGATGCTCACTGTAGAAGTTGGGAATTTATCAACTTTTCAAGCGCCAATGGAAGTATCAGCCAATCAGATTACTTTATGTAAATTTACTTTGGACTTACTTCATTGGCTGATGCTGCTATGACGATCGCGTCAGCCCCAACTTCAGACATGTCAGGTGTTGTCTCTGAAGCCCAGTGTGAATCGAGCATTAGTCTCGATTTTGAATCTGCCACTATGCTGATGCGCAGGCATGTGTAACTCTGCCCTCTTTTGAAAAGCACACAATCTCAATTGAATTTAAAGCGTCACTTACCAAAATAGCACAAATATAATTAAAGCCTTAAAAAAGGACTGTTTTAAAACATTATTGGTTTGGTTTCTTGAGCTGAGGGACATCAGAGACTTATTTTACGTCTTGAAAAAAGGGATATAATAGGTCCTCTTTACATTTTATTGTACAGTTCTTTCTCACTTAAATCTAATTAAATCATTTACAAATTTAATAACTTAAGACATATTACACCCCAATCCAAAAATACTGGTCTTCCTCAATGTTTAAGACAGTTTTGGCCTTATTCAACTTCGTTTTACAAACAAACTCAGCATTTGTTTCTTCATGTATCCTGCTTTTATTGATGCAGCATTCTTCCCTTTGGCCAAAGTCAATGAGGCTGATTCTCAACCCAAAGTTAACATCTGGCTCTAATTAAAACCTTCCCCTTGCTCGTCCCCCCCATAGCGTCACTTTTTCAGTCCCTTAGCATCCCTCCCTCAAACCTCCTTCTCCTCCTTCTCGTCCCGGGTCGTGTGTCCTGTGGCCGCATCTGCATGAGGAGCTCAGTGCTGCTGGATATGGAGCATTTGACTGTGGTGTGGAGTTTGTGGCTTCTTCTGTCTCTCAGTTTTGGAGGGGTCTTGTGTCAGACCACCAACTACACCAGGTGTGCGGTAGGGCTGTGAATGAGAATAAGCTTGGTGTGCATGTCAGGACAGCTCTTTGAAGCTATAAATAACCAGTTTTACAAACCAAAAAGGTTTCTGTCGCAGGAGCTGTTTAAACTCGCTAGCTTTTTTTAGATGCCTGGCTGTGTGTCATTTTCATACTGTAAATGCTTGAAATGTTGGTGAATTTGAATGTGGTTTTAGGGTGAACTGGGTCAGTTCATCAGATCCAGCTTTCCTCATACCTCAATACTTATTCTGGAGTACACAGAATTCAATGACTGCTCGATGATGACTAGATTAAGCAATCTGACTCTTGCTGGAAAATGTTTATGCTTACCTTTTAAAGGAACAGTATTTTCTTTTAATAGTTGTTTTATTTTTAGAGATTTTTTGTAGCCAAATTTTCATTTAGTATCTCTATATTTGAGACTTTGTAGAATGTTTGTGCTGCTCTTTTTCCTTAAAATGAAAGTAAACAAAAAATGGCACTACATGCGCAATGCATCAAATCTAAATTTACGATAGTAATTTTAGCTTTTGTTTGTTTACTATTTTATTAAAGAGCTCCAATTTTGCCCGTTTACAAGATATAAAATCAGTCTCTTGTGTCTCCAGAATGTGTCTGTAAAATTTCAGGTGAAAATATCCATCAGATCATTTATTATATCCTGCTGAAAATGTCAATGTTTGAGGTCAGAGGGAGTTAGGTGTTTTGCGCCTGTGCCTTTAAATGCAAATGAGCTGGTTTTCTCCGCTCACTCTTGGGACATTTTCTTTCAGAGTAGGATAACCAGGGTTGGATGTCAGGATAAACACATCAAAATGACAGGCAGCAACTCAGACATGAAACCGAGACCCACCGTCACAAATACTATAGCAAGATGAATGCAGTAGTACGTGTTTGTTTAACACGATGTGCTGTTTTTGCTCATCTACTCAAGGCTAATGTAACAGAATGCCCACCAAACAGATAAATGTGCTGCTGTATAAAGATCAATTATAGCTAAGTTACTGTGTAAAATAAACCTGATTTAACGTCCACAAATCGGGACTCCTGTTGTTTGATTGAAGCATCCTCGTTTTTAGTTGTGTACATTTTGCAGCTGTGGTGATTCCAGAGTTTCTTTGCAAATCCTGTCTTGTTGACATGATTATATGTGTTTATACTGAGACATGGTAATGTGCCCCTGTCAATCAATATCAGTGGGTGGGTAAAAACACTTCTATCACGGTATGGTGGCCATCACAATTTCATGGCAATTCGTAACTTTTTTATTGAAATTGTAGGAATTGATATGATCCTATTCATACAATTTAGTGCGATTCGCTCATCCCCCAATGATGGTTGTGTTTAGGGGGTGGGGTTTGGTTGCCTTGCCATTTTCCTTTTAAGATCAGGCTGAGTAAACTTTTAAAGTCAATGGGATTTTAATTCTATTTTAACATCAAGAACAAAGAACTTGTTTTGTTTATATTACTCCAATATGACAGTGGACTTACAAACATTTCTGTTTACAGTATACAGCCTCCAAAAGTTGATTTTGCATGATAAGTGCCCTTTAAACAAATAGCTCAGTCAAAAATGAAATTTTCATTTAATCAATTTTGCTCATAATGAAAATTTGTAGTTAAGCCAAAAATGCTTTTAATTCCGTGTCTTTGTTGGAGCTATTTAGACTGTTTGTGTTGCTCTCTTCTACACATGCAGTGAAAGTAATCACCAACAGCAAAAACAGACACAAATAATAAATACATATTTTTCCACATTCATTCCGCAAAACTTCTTAATATTCTGTGTACAATTGCCTCATGGATGATTTTTATACCATGTATATGCTGTAAATGCTTGTCAAACAAGGTTATATCAGAAGCATACATACAGAAACAACAATGTGAACAATCGCATATGTGTCAGTTTATTAGATGTGTGAATTAGCAGTTTTTGGACATAGTGATAACACATGATGCAGTTTAACACAACTCGGCCAGCCAATATTGAACTATTTCATCACTGGATATTGTGATTGCCAGAAGAAAACACAATCAAGATGTTCGAGAGAGTTTACTGATACAAGGAATAGTCCTTTGGAGCGACCTTTGTACTTTTAGAACCTTTTGTCATGCTAAAATAACAGTATTACACACTAAACGAAGTGTAACAAGCATAAAAAGACAGCACAAATTATTTGAATCAAATATTCATTCATTCATTTGATTTCCTTCGGCTTAGTCTCTTTATTCATCAAAGGTCGCCACAGCAGAATGAACCACCAATTTATCCAGCATATGTTTTACACAGCACATGCCTTTCCAGCTGCAAACAATACTGGGAAACAACCTTACACACTCACTCACAAACATACTGCAGATAATTTAGTTAATTCAATTCCCCTATAGTACATGTCTTTGGGGGAAACTGGAGCACCCGGAGGAAATCCACACAAACACAGGGAGAACATGCAGACTACACACAAAAATGGCAACTGGCCCAGCTGGGGCTTGAACCAGCGACTTTCTTGCTGTGAGGTGACAGTGCTAACCACTGAGCCATTGTGTCGGCATTATTCAAAATATTATGCACCTAATTAGTCTTCTTTAACAAGTACTCTATTTTCCTGTGGCAGGTTGGTATGTTTGCCTATTTTTATAAGCGGTAAATATTTGAAAATATCACTTAAACAGTAATGTGCCATAAACATCCCCTTTGCTAAATCTGTCATTCTGTGGGAGCGACTGTATAATGACTGCTGGCTCTGCACCATCACTTTACAAAAGAGCTCTGTTTTATTTTGCTGTGCCATAGAGTTTAAGTCTATAAACATATGTTGCTGCAGACGTCAGCGAATATTATGACAACAATAAAACATTTCAAGAAAGTTAGAAAGGATTTTGAACTGTCAGTGAGTTTAGAAATACTGCCTGCGATGTTGTAAACACTGAATTAAAGCGTCTGCCTCTGTGAAACTGCTTTCAAGCTGTTGCTTACCAAGTTCATAATTTAAAATAAGTTTTTTTAGATGGTCTTTTCAGTTAGCAGCACTTGATATAATTAAACTGGTGGAAAGAGTTCAGATGCAAACACTTCCAAGCGTCAGAAATTGTCTTTTAAAATTGGCATTTTACTCAGCCTCCTGCAGGTTTTTTATTTTTACTTTAAGGCAAGGCAAGTTTATTTATATAGCAAATTTCATACAAAGTGGCAATTCAAAATGCTTTACATAAACAAGAATAAAAAAGACAAGTATGAGAAAATAAAAAACAAATAATAAAATGTTTAAAAACAGATTAAGATGTGTTGAAACAGGTTATAAAAGAATGAAAAAGAAAAGAAAGACATAATAGTGCTATCTTTTAGACGTTGCACAGTGCTCATTTAGTAAAGGTACAGCTAAACAGATGTGTTTTTAGTCTCGATTGTGCCTAATGTTGGAGCACATCTGATCATTTCTGTAAGCTGACTCCAGCAGCGAGGGGGGTAGCAGCTGAAGGTGGATTCACCCAGCTTTGACTGAACTCTTGGAATTTCTAGTTTATTTGATCCTAATGATCTGAGGGATCTATTAGGTTTGTATTCAGTGAGCAAATCTGTAATGTATTGAGGTCCTAGGCCATTTAGTGATTTATAGACAAGTAAGAATACTTTAAAATCTATTCTGAATGTAACTGGGAGCCAGTGTAAAGCCCTGAGGACAGGCGTGATGTGCTCTGATTTTCTGGTTCTGGTCACAATCCTGGTCACAGCATTCTAGATGAGCTGTAACTGTCTGTCTTTTTGGGAAGGCCAGTGAGGAGGCCGTTACAGTAATCCACCCTACTGCTGATCAAAGCATGAACAAGTTCCTCTTAGTTTTCACTGGAAGCAAAGCATCTAATTCTTGCAATGTTTTGAGATGATAGTATTCTGATTTACTGACTGCTTTGACATGACTTCTGAAACTAGGATCTGACTCCAGAATCACACCAAGATTCTTGACATTATTTTTTGTTGTTTGACCTTTAGAGCCAAGGTACACATTCACCTTGATAACCTCATCTCTGTTCCCAAACTCAATGACTTCAGTTTTCTCTTTGTTTAACTGAAAAAAGTTTTGGCACATCCAATTGTTAATTTCATCAATGCATAGGCAGAGGGTGTCAATGGGGCTGTAGTTATTAGGCAGTAAGACTAAGTAGATCTGAGTGTCATCAGCATAGCTGTGGTAGGAGATTTGGTTCTTTCTCATTATTTGGCTCAGGGGAAGCATATAAAGGTTGAACAGGAGAGGTGCCAGAATTGAGCCTTGTGGGACTCCACATGTCACGGGTGTCCACCTCGACCTATGGTCTCCTATACTGACATAGTAACCTCTCTCTTTAAGATAAGATCTGAACCATTTGAGGACCGTGCCAGACAGCCCAGTCCAGTTTTCCAGCCTATCTAGAAATATGCTGTGATTGTGTCAAATGCAGCACTGAGATCGAGCAATACCAGCACTGTTAGTTTGCCTAAATCTGTATTTAGGCAGATATCATTGATTATATTGGCGATATCATTTTATGGCAAAGAAGTTGAGTTATTATAAGTTTCACATTATTTCTCAATTAATAATGTGCCCTTTATTGTCTTTAAAGTAAAATGTCTAAGGTAGGAGGCTGAGAAAAAAATGATCATTTAAAAAAAAAAAATCAGATTGCACTTAGAAGTTTTTGCATCTGAACTTTATCTTAGCAAATTATTACTACAAATATGTCATGTACTACTTTGTACAAAGAAAATGGCATTTTCTTGGCAGGAATATTCTATTAATTTGTATTCGCAACTTATTGTGTCATTTCTATTATTTATTTTTTGCCTCAAAACAACTGATGTTTTTCTATAAATTAAGGTTTACAGTAAATACAAAAACCATATCACTTAACAATATTAGATAGCTCATACAAGATTGTATTAGCTAATGCTTTACTAACATGAATAAACAATGAACAGTATTACAGTCTTTATTGATGTTAGTTAGCATTTGCTAATGAAAATACAGTTAGGTCATGCTAACTCATGGTGCACGAACTAATGTTAAATTATCTAAATGCATTAGATCAATAACTATATTTATACAATCATTGTTGATATAACATTTGATATAGCATAATATAAAATAAAAAGCTAGTGTATACAGTGAACCAATCTAAACTAGAAAAGTAAAGTTCATAGACAAACTTTATGTTGGCTTGAGAAAGCCTCGTCTGAAAGTTTGATACAGTTGACATAGTTAAGTACATATGTTAACATGTTTCTTGTATGAATTGGCATGTTTCTTGCTAGACAGTTGCAAGAGTGTTCTGAGTGGTTGCTAAGGTGTTGCTAGATGGTTGCTAGGCGGTTGCTAATGTGTTGCTAGGCAGTTGCTAGGGTGCTCTGAGTGGTTGCTATGGCGCTGCTAGGTGGTTGCTAATGTGTTGCTAGGTGGTTGCTAAAGTGTTCTAGGTGGTTGCTAAGGTGTTCTAAGGAGTTGATAGGGTGTTGCTAGGTGGTTGCTAAGGTGTTGCTAGACAGTTGCTAAGGTGTTATGAGTAGTTGCTAGGCATTTGCTAATACAAATTAGCATGGTTCTGGCATGAATTAGCATGTTTATAGCATAAATTAGCATGTTCTTAGCATGAATTTAGTATGAATTAGCATGTTGCTAGTATGTTTATAGTATAAATTAGCATGATGCTAGTATGTTTATAGTATGAATTAGCATGATGCTAGTATGATTAGTATGCCGTTAATATGTTTTGAGCATGAATCTGTATGTTGTTAGTATGTCTAATGTAAAGTCAATGGCAATTTGTTTCAATGGACGTCTATGGGAGAGTTGCTTTGATGCTGTCAGTGGTTGCTAGGGTGTGGCTGGTAAGTTGAAAGGTCATTGATGATTGAGAGATTTGTAGTCTGATTTAAATGAGCCCAACCTTAAGTCTGTATGACAGTCTGGCACAAAGGTATGAGGTCACAAATTTTGGTCCAATGTTAAGTCAAACAGTTTTCGAAAAACTGTTGGAAAAGATGTAGCAACCTGAGGAGGTTGAAGGTATGGTATATGTTTAGTGGTTGTAGTATTAATGGTCTAGAAGGAGATGCATGTAGAAATCAAATTACTCTCAGAAGAAGAAGAAGAACACGTTTATGTAGTATAACAGTATGTTACCTTTCTCAAGCCACCATAAATGCAATGATAATGTACAATACATAATGTATATACTGTGCTTTGCTATTAAAATCCTGAAATACATGAAAATCCATGGACCTTTATTAGCTTTTAAAATTATTTTGTATAAATATCTGCCGTCTATTTAACTGTATTTTGACTGAAATCTCATGACAGATAGCAAAAGCAATTATTACAATTAATGTATGTAGTGCTTATGAATCTTTAGTATTTATGTATCTTTAATAGCAGTAATTCAGTTGTTGTTGGTCCATCTGTGTGCATCTGTTTGTACTTTGTGAGATTGTGTTTTGCAAACTATGTCTTGACTCATGTGTTTATTGTGCAATATAAACACATTCATATGAGCCATTCTCTTATAGTGAAATCTCTCTTTTTCACCATTCCTCGCTTTCTCAGGCCCGTGTTTAACTGTGGAGGGGATCTGGTTGGAGACTCAGGCTTTGTGGGAAGTGAAGGATTCCCATCGTTTTACAAACCCAACAGCAAATGTACTTGGTACATCACGGTGAGTTTACTCTGATTTCACACTCAAGATTCACCAGATTACTTGAGATAGAAGGGAATTCTATAATTGCAGATACAATCAGCATTTCAGAAATTATATTAAATAATCAATGCTTGCCAAACACAAGTCACTTCCTTTTTATCATTTAAAGGTCCCGTGAAATTAAAATAAAATGTTTAAGATGTTAGTGTATTGTTCGTTGTTAGGATAATTAAGCTAGTGTGCACCAAAACATTGATAAAAACCGTGTTTAGAAGACATTAAACCGATATAAACATCTCAAGCTTTTTGTCACAATGCCTAAATGTATCAACGGTTTTATTCATGTCAGTTTCTCATGAAATCATGACCAATCAAATGCTCTCTAGTATCTGACATGCCCCGCCCCCTTCAAGACGCTTCACATTTGATGTCCTTGAGCTCAACCACTACAACTGAAAAAAAAACATTAAACGCTATTGGCTGTTTTTTAAAAGGGGGAGGGGCTACACTGTCTCTTCATATTTTGGTTGAGATTATGCCAAACTTAAAAAAAAAACGCACATTTTAAAGCATTTCCAGAGAAGTTTTAAGAAACAGCAACACAAAATATTCCTTTATAGTTTTGTTGGTAACCTCAGTAACTTTCAACTCTGGTATAGACTGTCAACACTGGTATCCTATTAACAGAGTGTGATGGTAACATAATTGACCATTTCAATTATTTTAGTTTTGTCCAAAAACTCTCTTTCGTGGCAAAGATGAAATCATGATTAAAATACTTTGCTGTGAGATCAGTGATGGACTGTGTTAATTTATAATACTGAAATAAAAGTTTGACAAAATAACTTTTGTTGAAAGCAATTTTCAAATCTAAATATTTTCTCAGTGAGAGCACACATGACTTTAGTACTTCAGATATGATCAGTGAGGAAAAGTGACATCATTTCCTGTATCTTACAAAATTGTGGAAGCTCATTTCATCAGTTTAACAGTAAAGTACAGTTTGGTAACAGAATGGATGTAAGATTTACAGATACATTTTATAACAGGAAATTTGTTTTAAAACAATGTAAACTTGTAGAATTTGAGAAATGTTTAGGGGTTTATAAATAAAATAAATGGAATATTACTGAAGTAAAATAAAACAGTTGAGGTATAGGCTTATTCTGAAAACGTAGCCTTGTATACATTTCTGGAGATTGCAAATTATGTAGCCAGAAGTACGTATGGCTGCATTTCGTCTTTAAAACAAACAATACAGGCTGGTATGACACCGTTCCTTTTCGCACTTACCAGCTGACCACTTACCTCCCTTTAGACAGCTTTTCTGATGTTACCAGATTGTCCAGTAGCTTGCCATGTGCGCTGGTGGACTTAAGACGCAGAGAGGAGTTGACCAGGAGTTGACAAAACATAAAATAAACAAGTAAAAAACAGGGTGAGAATGTGGTAAAATCTGAAAATTTGGTAAAAATCAGGTGAGGGCTTTTCCTTTTTCTGGATTGCTTTTTAAACTGTCGGTTACGTTTAGGAAAGGAGGGTGGGTCAGTCAATCGGTCAGTCATTCAGTCAGTCAAACAGTAAGTCGACAGCAGCTTCTGGTGGTTTTACACGAGAACAGCTGGCATGAATGGCACTCAAGAGAGAAATTTGAGATCTGAAAAAGCGTAAACAAAAAACTGCAAAAAAACAACATATCTCCTTGGACATATTTGGTGCTCCCCAGGAATGTATATAGAGGTACATTGTCAGAATGAGCCTTAGTTGCAATTTACATGATATGTGATAAAAACATGCACAAAAAAATTCGAACAAAATGTAAAAACTTTTTTGCAGGAAATGCTATATTGTTAGGATTTATAGCATCTTGGTATCCATGCCATTGAGTAATTATTCTAATAACATAACCAGTTGAGGAAAAAAATAACTGAAGTAAAAAAGAACTTTAAACAATACATGAACGTGAAAATATAAAATCTCTTCTAAAATATATGTGTGGCTTTGTATCAGGTCCCAGAGGGCAATGTGGTGATGCTGTCCTTCAGGATTTTTGATCTGGAAGCTGATCCTCTCTGCCGCTATGACTATGTGGATGTTTATAACGGACACTCAAACATGGTGCAGAAGCTCGGTCGCTTCTGCGGGACATTCAGGCCTGGGGCTCTCATCTCCACGTCCAACACCATGATGGTCGAGATGGTTTCAGATTCAGGAACTGGAGGCAGAGGGTTCGTGGCCTACTTCAATGGTGGAAAACCACACGTGGATGGTGAATTCATGCTTATTAAAAATTAAATATAAAGAGCCAGATTTAACAAACTTAAACTTAACTTTAAACGGACTAAATAATTTATATGTTTTAGTTCTTAATTTACCAAAACCCAAAACGTTGTGAGTTTGCATTGAGATTGTGCTGCTCATGTAATGTTAATTAACCATTTACTTAAAAACCTTTACATTGTTTTACAGTAAAATACTGTTAAATTCTTTTGAGTGCTGTTAAGTTCATCAGTAAAACTTAAATTCTTGCTATGATAATTTTATTGTTTAACTTATTTGTGCCCAAATGAATTTCTGAATAGTTTCATACATAGTTACAACAATGGTGACATCATAAACATTTGTTTTTAAACCTATTTTACTTTATTGTAGAAAGAAAAAAAATATGCATATCACAAGGTTAATGTTTGCAGCCTCAGTGATCTTTTCTCTATTGATTTGTTTTTTTTTTCTTTCAGAGCACCAGTTTTGTGGTGGGAAGCTCACAAAATCTCAGGGCACGATCAAAACTCCCAATTGGCCAGAGAAAAATTATCCACCGGGCATCAGCTGTTCTTGGCTTATAACAGTGGAACCAGAAATGGTGAGGAAAAAACATAACCCTGCAACACTCACGGATCATTTTGAGTTAATAATTCAATGCTCAATAGTGGCGGCAGGCCAGACAGTTTTTGTAGCCTATTCATTCAATGATAAAAAAAATAGGCCTGTTGGGAAACAGAGACATTTGAGATTGTATCTGGGATACTTTTAAAAACTTATATAAGAACTTTTCCCAGAAAGCAAAATCATTTTCTGATGTTGAACTTTTATCCAGGTCAACACTATCACTGTCAGTCCATATTTCTAGTGCAATAATGTTCTTTGTACTATTGAAATATTGAAATATTACTATTATTATCTTTAATACTTTATTATATTACTTTGTACTATAAAAATAATATTAACAAATGTTTCTTTCAACATCTGTTCACTGAAATGTTCCTTTGTAACCCTAAAATGATTCTTCTTTTGCATCAGTGTCCCACTTATGCTTTAATGCTTGAACCAAACTGTTTTGTTTATTGAATTGAATCACTGTCAAGATTATGTTTGAGGGTTTTTTTGTGTGTTTCAGGTGATTGAAGTGAAGTTTGATAAGTTTGATTTAGAATCTGACACTTACTGCCGCTTTGACTATGTGGCGTTCTTTAACGGAGGAGAGAAAGACGATTCGAGGCGCATCGGAAAGTACTGTGGATACACTGCACCTCAGTCAGTATTCATTTTTATCTCATTTGCTGTCATTTAACTGCTAAAGAAGCTACATTTTACTATTATTATTAGGGCCTATACATTAGGCTCTTTATGTATTAATCACTTATTTATTGCAACTGTGCAAAAACATTTTGAGAGGGTTCCCACTCTTAGCCAAGAAAATGTACCGTTTGGGTGGCTGCAATGTCCTCTCTATGCCATATTTGACAGCTCGACAGGCTTTACACTTAGCTTTTCTGTCATCTTATTTTTTTGTCATCTTTGTAGTTGTTTTAAAGTCAAAAATATTCAAATTGATATTTTCTTGGCATGTTAGCATTAGGTAAGTGACAGCTTAATTGATTGCCAGCTGATAGGTGTGAAAGAAATTAAACTACAGCAATATGTGCAAAACAATGCAATAATAAATACAGTTTAGCTGACATTTACACTGTTGTAGCTTAACAATTAAACAAACAAACAAAAGGTTATTTTAAAATAGAAATGATGATCTCTGTTGAAGGTATTTGCCACAAACCTTATTCTAAATTTATTTTCAGATGGGGTGGTTTGCCAAACTAAAGGTTAACATAGGCCAAATTTGGTCTGCAGGCCCTATGGGCATCTCTGCTTTAAAGAGTTTCTTAATTTAAATTGAGTTAATTAAAATTTTAAATTCTGTTGTTAATTACTCTTATTAATTCTGCTAATTTCAATTCCCTTCAAACCTTCATTATTTTCAGAAGACATAATATTTCATCTGAGAGCTCCCTCATCCTCCATAGACAGCAATAGTCCTGAAACATTGAAAGTCCAGAAAAGGAACTAACTTCAGTGATGTAACTGTAATCATACAAAGCTCCAAAAACACCTTTGTGCACAAAAAAAATCTGCAAAAGATACTTTGTTTATCAAATATCTTCCATGTCAGATCAAAATGTGTGCTTACTATAAGCAATACAATGCTTGCATGTGGCAATAGTATCTGGATGCAGCCTTTATGATGCAAGCTGAGATTGCATCTCTTAGAGATACAATGTTAGACTAATGCACTCAACGGAGGTAGTGTTGTCACTGTGACGGGTAGCGTTAGTTGAGGCCATTCAAAAGCATTGCATGCAGCTCAGATTGCATCTGCACCGAGTCTGCAGCCAGACCCCTCTCGCATGTGGCACTGCTGACTTTTATGGCAATACATAGTAGCCTACTCCCCATATAAAAAAGAGATTTTTTTTTTAATTTCTGGGTGAACACTTTAAATTAATTTGCTCATACAAATTTTACACCACCACACCAAATTTTACTATGCAACATTTTTTTGTTCAATTTGCAGGAACATTGTTACGAATAGCAACGTGCTGTTAGTGCAGTTCGTATCTGACCTGAGCGTGACTTCGGACGGATTCATGGCGTCATACACCAGCATCCCGCGTGGTCTCCATTCTCCGTCTGCAGGTGGCGATGTTGTGTCAGGACCAAGAGTGTCTTCAACACCCACAAAACCTAAAATCATCCCAGCAAAACCTGTCGTAACAACAGAAGCGATAACTACAACTACAACCACTACTACAGAGGCACCGGAACAGCCAAAGCCCCGACCTAAACCAGTTAGACCCATTAAACCTGTGAAGCCTCCAGTCCGTAAACCAGAGCCTGAAAGACCCAGACCTGGTAAGGAAAAGATGAGAGTAGCACATGATTCTGGTTATGGTTGATTGTAAATTGTTTAACCTCTTTTTTAGCCACCGAAACAAACCCACTGTGTGCAAAGGCATGTAAAAGAGATGGAACTATCAAGACAAGCTTCTGTGCAAGTGAATTTGGTAAGCAACCATTTGGTACTATTAGAAGCATTAAGAAATATGTATATCACAAAATCTGCTAAAAGCTTGATTCCTATTGATTGATGAATATCTAAGGTATGCAGTTATGCAACTTTTTTAAATTCACTGTAAACTACGGCTTCTTGGTTCCTATTGCTTTAATAGTATGTCCATTGTAAACAATTATATGATCTGTAAGTCATGACAAGATACCTGTATACACTCAAAGAATGATTTTTGCTGCTTCTTCAAACTACTTATTTAAAATGAGCTGAATCAACACAGTTCTTGAGTTTTTTGTGACAACTTAATTGTTTTATATTCAATCCACTTAAACTTATAAAAACAATTAAGTTCACTTAATTCATTTGTGTTGGAGGGTGTGGAACCCAGCATTTTTAACAGTTGATTTTTATGTCATATGTTTATTATTACTTATTAAACCATATTTCATAATTTTATTTTAACAGTTTATTGTAATTCACAATAAAATGATTGATAAGACTAATTTGATTCAACCTAATTTAATTACATTAAGCGTCTCTATAAGTTATTTGATTTCAGTTCTCCTTGTAATGTCTTTTGCTCTGTTTTTCAGTGATCACCGGTACACTGACAGCATTGACTGCTGGACCTAGAGGAAGTATGCAAGGCACCGTGTCCTTAATTAAAGCCTATAAGACTGGCAGACTCACAATCACCCAAGCTGGAGAAACCATGTCTGTCAAACTCATGATGCCCTGCAAGAAATGCCCATTGCTGCGCAGAGGTACAGTATATGACCACTAAACATGTGCCCACATTCAACAATTAAGTATATGGTGATAATGAACATGCACAATATTATTAGTATTAGTAGTAGTATTAGTATTTAACAGTAAACAAGTTAGAAGTGGTGTTCCAGAGCCAGTGCTTTGCTTAACTGGTTAGTTTAATAGTTTGAACATTAATATGAAAAAAGTTTTATAATTTTATAATAACATGACTATTACAGGGCCTTTGTACATTTCAATTGTGCAATAAGTCTCCAATAGTTAACATTAGTTAAGTGAACTAAACTATTTAAGTAAACTAAACCATGAAAACTACAAAAGCTTTTATTAAGCTGATGTTAATTTTTTATATTCTTAGAATCGCTTTATTAAATAGAGTTAATAACTAATATAATTAAGCATTTCTATTTAATATTAACACAGTAACTACTAAAGTGAAATACTAAAACTGTTCTTCTCTCAATGTTTATTTTAATTGGAATAACATTAGTTAGTAAAACTTTCTTGAATTATTTTATAACATGTTCACGATTTTATTGGTTTGAAACATTTATTTACTCTGAACATGTATATAAAAATGTATTACACCTTACAGTATTTTTAATATACCTGCTAATGTAACTTTTTGCAGCAATATTGTATTAATATATCTTGATCAAAGCTTCACCAATTAATCAAGGCAAAATGTTACCACCATAAGCCTAATGGCCACATATGATCTCATAAATACAAGCAAAAGTCCATTTGACCTACATTTATTAGTTGTTAGTAATTATTAGTTATTAGTACTAATATAGTTATGGTAACTAAGAACTTTAGCTTTTTTGAATTTGATTGTAATGCAGTATAATGTGCACCTTTAAAGCTGCTTTGAAACACTATTTATTGTGAAAAGTGCTACACAAGTAAACTTGAATTAATTTCTTGCAATCTTCAACAGGTCAAAACTACATCCTGATGGGTGAGGTGGACGATGAAGGCCGTGGTGTTCTCAATCCTGGCACTTTCACAGCTCTTTACAAAGCCCCACATCACAAAATGCTGACCAACATCAACAACCAGCCATGCTGATCTGCTCCCTCATATATCCATGTAAACGTGAGCAACATGTGGAGAAAAGACACTAGATGAAAGCAATGGCTATGGACAGTGATTAGACAAGATAATAAGAGGTCTTGTTTGGCTTGCTCAGGAAGTCATGCAAAACTTTTCTGGACTGATTTGATTCAACTATGGTGCATTCCAAACTTGATAGTTTTTATAGCTCGTATAGACAACACAGAGATGTCACTAAATATATGTGTAACTTATGATGATGTCATCTGATTTATATAACACAATATTGCATTGAATTTGACACTGTGTTGTTTTATTGACAAGGGATTTGTTTTCATTCATTGAAAGCTGGTTTTGGTTCAAATACATCTTTGACACAGATTTAAACCATGAGCACATACTAAACTGGTGATGTGGTTAAAATAACACTTCTCTTTTCTACCTCTTTTCTCTGTTCATTTGTTCAGGAAAGAGCGTCATGTTCTGTAGTTTACTCTGGACAGTGTGTAAATTTATTGTATACATTAATCTAACGTGCTTCACTGCTGTTAGTGGTAAAATTAAAAGATTTAAATAGTATTAGTAGGTTGACATTAAGTGAAAAGCTTAAATTTAAAAGGCAAGCGAAATAACAAATGTTGTTTAGCTATAACTGAAATATGTTTATACTTTAAACAATTAAATTGTTTGGTGATAAAAGCTGTATAAAATTAATATCTAAATACATAATAGACATACATTGAAATATAAAAATACACATACAAACACTTTACAAATTTGAATCGATATAAATGTAAAAAATACACTATAATTAAAACATACTACAATATAATTATACTAGTACAATATAATATCTCCTAATTCATTAATTTTCCTTCGGCTTATTCCCTTTATTCATCAGGGGTCACCACAACGGAAGGAACCGTCAACTCATCCAGCTTATGTTTTATACAGCGGATGCCCTTCCAGATGCAACCCAATACTGTGAAACATCCATACGCACTCATTCACACACATACACTGTACCATGTCTTTGGACTTGTGGGGGAAACTGGAGCACCTGGAGGAAACTCGAACACGGGGAGAACATGCAAACTCCACACAGAAATGCCAACTGACCCAGCCAGGGCTCGAACCAGCGACATTCTTGCTAACCACTGAGCCACCACGTCTCCTATATACTGTCTAATTATACAAACTAAAACTGTAAATAATAAACATGGGAAAATATTTTAGAAAGTCATACGATAAGTTAATATACCTTTAGTAAATAACGTTTTAAGAAACTTTGATATGTAAATGTCAATGATTGAATTAAACATGGCATCAGCCTTATCCCTTGTCAAAATATCTCCAATAGGATTTCTGTATAGGACTTCAAGTGGAATTTGTGTCATATACTGGAACCTTTCCTAAAGGATTCCAATAGGATTTGTTTCTCTCTTAAACACAAATGGCTTCATAGCGTCATCTAGTGGCCAAATATTTCTACCTATACTCAATAAAAAAAAAGCTAAACTGACTGCAGTACAAAAACAAACACACCACAATTAAATGCATCGTGCAAGTTTGCAGTCATAAGCTCTGGCCTATCATCACAACATTAGATGCTTACAGACATCCATCGACGTCACTTAGGCCTATTAAAGTGGATAATGACTTGCAAAGGCACAATGAGTTAATTCTCATCCCATGTCTGGCAACTAGGCAATTTATATCCTGTCTGTCCTCTCTGCGTCCTCCCAGATGAAAAACATGGCTGCATCATTTCTTATCTGAACTCTGGCTAATGGCTTAATGTTTACACGCGCCAATTACATTGTACAGTGTAAATCCACCTTGTCGGTCGAGTTTAATATTTATCCGAAGATTATAAAAGGGGTGAAGTAGCAAACATTTACAGTTTCTTTAAATTCTGTATTATTCAAGAATATGAACAGCGTCAGTTTATTGTGTACAATTATAATGACAGTTAACAAGTTTCCGATAGAACGTTAAAACACTGAGCAGACATTGAAAGCGAATAATATAGTCTTAAAGGGATAGATCACCCAAAAATAAAAATATCAGTGTTGAATTTGGACTCAATGGTCGTTGAGATTCACCATAGGCTATTCTTGTGCAACTACAAAAGTGTTCTTGGAGCTTTGATGATTACAGCTGAACCTTGGAAGTCACATTGAATGTTTCGACAAGGATTTTGGTCCCTTTTGTGGACCTTAAACGTCTTGAGCGGACTGCTGCTCTTTATCAAGGACAAGAGTTTATGGGTTCTTTGGGTTCTGAACGAATGAGATTGGAACGACATGAAGGTAAGTGATTAATAACAGTTTCATTTTAAGGATGAACTACTCCTTTAAGGAGATTACCATAATGTGCTAGATTTACATTACTAATAACTGTGAGTTTTCTGTTCATCAATTCAGACCCCCACCCCCCTCCCCAAAAATCCAAATTTTTTATAGAGTGCTTCCGAATATATGCCATTCATGAAATATATGCTTCAAAAAGGCTCTTTTACTCCTTAGGAAAACCAAATAGGACTAAGCCTAACTAATTTTAATTTGCTATATATAATTTGCTAAACTGATGTCACATTTAATTCAATCATTGACATTTGCATATCAAAGTTGCACAAAACTTAATTTATAAAATTTAAACTTAATTCAGGACTTTATTTCAAAATTAATTTACCAAGTTTAATATTTATAATTTTATTAATATTAAACAATACTTTATTTTACTAGCCTAATTTGTATTATATTGTAGTATGTTTTTAAAAAATATATATTTAGCATTTATTAGAATTTTTTATGTGTATATTTTAATATTTGTATGTCTAATATTTTAGATATACCATTTTCATTCATCTTCTAGCACCAAGGATTATGTATAAATAATATTATAGTATTATGTAAAAGTAATATAATAAAAGGTACAAAACCAGAAAGGAGAAAACTACATACATACCTACATACTACAACAAGGGCATTGCTTTGATATGCAAATGCCAATGATTCAATTAAATTTGACATCAGTTTAGCAAATTAAATAAAGCACATTAAAATTAGTAGTAATATATATATATATATATATATATATATATATATATATATATATATATATATATATATATATATATGTGTGTGTGTGTGTGTGTGTGTGTGTGTGTGTGTGTGTGTGTGTGTGTGTGTGTGTGTGTGTGTGTGTGTGTGTGTCTGTGTGTGTGTGTGTGTGTGTGTGTGTCTGTGTGTGGATGTGTGCACAAAACAAAAGCTACAAGCAACTGAATATGACAAAATTAATGATGAATTAAACAACAATAAACTCTTTTATTACAGACTCAATCTGCTTTTAACATAATTGGACATTAGGAAACCAAAATATATAATTACTAAAAATGGTCTATTATAATTCCAGTTATTCATACAAATCCTTATTTTTTTACCTGAATACATTCATAAACTTCTGAAAAAACAATTGTTTCCATCTAAAAAAAAAGTGACAGGGAAATCATACATCCAGGACCAGGTAATCATAACAAAACACACACATACACCATATCCTTACAAAATCCAGCCCTGACATTCATCACTCTGTCTACATAAAAACATTTCATTATATTCCAACAGTATAAGAACAAAACAGGTGAATGCCGGACCTGACAGAAAACACTGTGACATCTTCACTAAATACAACAGGTTTAGTTCAAGAGTCTAGCAGGCTCCTACACTATTGTTCAGGATTGCTAGACTCTAGAGTCAGGTACAAGGCGGAGGATTCTGGGAAAGGAGCCCAGAGGTCAGCAGGTGGCATCAATGATATTGCCATCCATCTGGTGGCGATAAACTACTCGTGCTTTATGGGAGAAATAGACGGGATGTGTGACGCTTTCCACTCCATCGTAACCCCAGGAGACTGTTGGAGAAAAGACAGGCGGCACCTCGACAGATGGTACTGTGAATGATAGGAGAGGAAATTAATGTTTAAGAGACAGACATTAGGAGGATATCAGAATGGTGATATTTATTAAACAAAGTGACTCACCAGGCGGAGGAGGGCATAACCTGCCTTTACCTCGCTCTTTACAGCGTTTATACCAGGGAAAACACTGCAGGACTTTCTTGCCCATGATTCAGCGAATAGAACAATCTGGAGAGAGAACATGCGGTGTAAGATCTACTGACAAACTTGTCAGATTTTAGACACAGTATGGAAGTTTACATTAATATTTATAGTATTCATTAATATTTATAATATTTATATAATTTAAATGAGCTTAATAATGTATTAATAATTGCTTAAATGCGTAATAATTATATTATATTATATTATATTATATTATATTATATTATATTATATTATATTATATTATATTATATTATATTATATTATGAACTTTACCACAATGAAAATTGAAAGTCACACTGTTATATTTGGTGTAAATGTCTTGAAAGTAGCCTAATTAAACTCCCATCTCTCACAGATATATATATATATATATATATATATATATATATATATATTTTTTTTTTTTTTTTTTTTTTTTTTTTTTTTTGTATCTCTTGAGAAGTTTAAAAGACTTAATATTTCAAAGCAAACCAAACAAACACTTACAAAACTTAAAAGTAAAATAAGAAAAGTGCCAATATATCATAGATCTACTGACTGATGAACATGAAGTTTCAATAACATTGTGTTTTTGATGCTTATCTTATTTCTCTGACCGGAACAGAACATTAGCTGAGAGGTGAAAGTGCGAGATTTCTAATGGCTCGTAGAAACAAAGAGCTCATTCATCTTAAGAGGATTAATCCTCATTCGTGATTGAGGTTTGTAACGGTAGTATATTATTCTAGAGGGGCACACAGTTGTGCTCTGTGACCCATTTCAGAGGGCTGGAACAAACAGTCGAGCCAGAACAACCAGATCTGACACCACAATCAGTATCAATCAGTCAGTGTTAAATGTGGACCTGAAGTACAGGAAGGGAACGGTTTTTAACTGAACACTTCGATTGCATAAACAAAGAACAGAACCACCCTGTATTGAGCAGACTATGATTTATGAATCTTCTGTAAATTTAGAGAATTGTCTTGATGTGTCAGGTGTATGGTATTTAGATGCAAAGAAATAATGTGAGGAAATGAACGTGTGCTGAAAATAAATTAAAGTCATTCAATTTTAAATACTGAAACATAAATAGGCCAAAAATTCTACATTTATAAGATGATGATAATAAAATGAAATGTAAATGTAATATTATAATTGATATGATTAATTTTATATCAATTGATATTAACTACATTTACAATGTCTTGTATATGATTAATAATAAAACATAATAACAAAATAACATTATACTAATGACCATTTAATAAAATATATATTAAGAACTGTTGTTAATGTTTGGAGTTTGATGCACAGCTTCAAACTAGCCAACCAACCAACAAACCAACTAACCAACCAACCAACCAACCAACCAACCAACCAACCAACCAACCAACCAACCAACTAACCAACTAACTAACTAAAATAAAAATAATAAATAAACAAGGGCTTTTGAACAATTACAGAATTGATTATTTATTTTGTCTATGGCACTGTCTTTTAATCAAATGTGCTATTTTTCTTATGCATTATGGATGTTACATTAATAGCCTAATTGAATATTCTTTAAGAAAATAGACATGTTTAATATTTGGAAAAGACACAACTTGATTAAAGTTTGTTTAATGTAGCTAAATGCACAGTTATTTGAATTATTACACTGACAATAGAAAATCATTTTATTTGGCAGTATTATGTGAAATAACTAAATATTACTCTCGCATTAGATAAATGATAAATAGATTAAAAGATAGAAAGGAAAGGAAATTTTTTTTACATTATTGAGATGTTATACCATCTTATAAAATATTTTTTACACAAACATAGGTCGTACTTATACATACACATACTTTTTTACACTTTCTTGTAATATCCCACTGAGGCTATTGTTTATTTTCACATATTATAGGAATTTCTAAAACAAATTTTCAAACTAAACTGCCTTTATAGGCTAATCTGTAAAAATCCTGGGTTCCACACACTCGATTTGTGTTAGGACAACATAAAAGAATAAAGTTAACTTATTGGTTTTTACAAATTTAAGTTGATTGAACATAAAAAAATAAGTTGTTCTTATAAACAAATCAAGAATTGTGTTGATGTAGTATCAAGTATTTTGAACAAACAGCAAATATATATTTTTGAAGGTACACTTTGAAAAATGCAGGATTTCACACTATTATTTATGTTGTCCCAACACAAATGGGTTAACTTTCAACAAATTTATGTGGATTAAACATAAAAAAGAAATTAAGTTGTCCCAATGAAATATCAAGAAGTGTTTCGTTTCAGGTTAATTTAAATAAGTAGTTTGAACAAACAGCAAATATAATTTTTGAGTGTATTATGAAGACGGTCCTTATGTCTGGATCATATATCAGGGTCCGTGACATGAGCATTTCTTGCCAAGATCCTTTTAGAGTCCAGTGTTTATAATGAGTCCGCTAATGCAAAAGCCCCTTAAATGAGTACCGGACCTGGAGCCTTTAGATGCCGGAGAAAGAGGCTTTGCCGTTCTATGAAAAGTATCTTACATAAAACTCTAGCGAGGGGAGGTCAATCCCTCATTGAAGAAAATCAAACCAGAGCAACAAACACACATCACAGATCAAATAAGTTCAGATCCAAATATACTTAAGCACACCGCGAAAACATGGCTTAAGGCTTTCAAAATTATTAAAATGTTCATCTTTAATTGAAGAATATGCTCCAGTGTCATTTATAGATTAGACTTTACAGTGCACGTCAGGAAATCAAGTCTCAAGCATGATATTTACTATTCATAATATATAATAGATAATATAGCCATAATATATGACCTTGTTTGCCTACAACTGCAACACTTTGCCTACGTCAGTCACACATTAGCTATCCATTAAACATGACTTGTTAGAAACGCACCTGTAGAGAAGTGAATCAGCGCACGTTTTATCCAGTGGTCTGCAGGATCTGCTCCGTCTGAAACTCTGGCTCCATGAGATGCTTGCGTTGGTCGTGGTGTAGATCGTGTTGACAGCGTGCAGGGCTTATTCCCGGCGGACACTGATGCTGCTGTGACTCTCTGCCCCTCTGTTCCGTTACCTCGGTTGCGTATTAAAGCTTTGATTGAGCGTGCGCGGAACGCCATGGGAAATTTCCACCGGCTGAGGCTTTAAATAACTAATCCTGCAAGCCACAACAAAAGCTCTTGACCTCAAAAGTGGCTGAGAACATTTTAATTTTTTTTTACAGACAGTCGCTTAGCAAATCTGTTTTCTTTGTCTTTGCAAATCTTAATAACTGTAGTTAAAGTTGCAGGTTTTGTTTATTTATTTATTGTCTGACAGGTACAGAGATACATTGCTGACAGTTTGCTGCGAGTTATTATTATTATGTGTTACTGTAGTTTAACGGTTTAAAAGAAAAAATCTGATAGGGTCGCGAACTGTTTAATAGCCAATCAGAAAACAACAATTTGGCGCGAGTTTATGATCGAACAATAGATCAGCACCTGTTTTGAGCCAAACAGAGAATAACAGTCAAGTTCTGCATGTTTGGGGTTCCTTTCTGCAATGCGGAAGATATTAGTTGTTTTAGGACATTCATTTGCCTATAGGTTGTAATAACAATCAGGAGTAAACTGTCAAACTACTTGATGTACAAACAACTGTTCATTCATTTTTCTTCGGCTTAGTACCTTATTTATCAGGTGTTGCCACAGGGGAATGAACTGCCAACTGTTCCAGCTTATGTCTTATGCAGCGGACACACTCTTGCATTCACACACACTCATACGCTCTGGCCAATTTAGTCCATCCAATTCACCTAGCACCCAGAGGAAACCCACGTAAACACAGGGAGAAGATGCAAACTCCACACAGAAATCTTAACTGACCCAGCCGGAACTCGAACCAGGGACCTTCTTGCTGTGAGGCGACAGTGCTAACCACTGAGCCACCGTGTTGCCCAAACAAGTGTGATTATACATAAAATAATATAATAAAAATCAGTTTTGCACCATCATTTTACTGCTAAAAATCAATAGATGTTAACGAGACCAGAAGTCTAGGGTCAAACAGTTTCCAATAGCTGTAAGGTCAATGCTGCATTCATGTCATGTTGGCACCTGGATTATTAAGAAAACAAAATGCTGTGTTTGCTATAGTTCAAAAACTCAATTCCTGGAGGATCACAGTTCTGCAAAGTTTAGCTCCAACCACTTCCAACTCACACCTGCTGACAGTATTAGTCTCTATAGTAGTCTTGCACACCTTCATTAGCTGAATAAGTTAAGTTTAAGATCTATGCTATAGTAAGTCACAATTACTTTTTGCAAAAGCCATTTAATAATTGTGTAACAAGTGGTGCAAGTCGCTCTCAGAAAACTGCTTATGAAATGAGATTAAGAGCTCTATGGAGACACAAACTATGAGCCTAATATTTATACAAATTAAGCTTGAACATATTTCTATATGCTTCTACCTATTCAGTGCTGCATAGGAGTGGGTGGGCATCAATATTTTGACTTAATGTGTCACATAGTGTTATCGGATTTTAGCTATATTTTATTTATTTATAGATGTAAAAGGAACTAATTTGTTGCTGTTGAAAACTTTTATGACAAAATTATTTAGTATAATGTCTTATACACAGTGAATTGTAGTGAACATTTAATGTTTAAACTTGCTTCCATTTCAAAAAGTGAAACATCTCGAAAACTTAGGTGGATAAGTGTGCAATGTTGCTATGATTTTGTCAGATGCTACCTGTTGCTCATGAAAGTGTTTTTTTATTGAATACAGAGTAATAAAGTTAATGTTAAAGTCTGCGTACACCGGACGTTGCTGAGATTTTTAATTTAGTATGTTGATGTGTTCACCTGAAACAGAATATTGAGTAGGAGCAAAGCTTTTTTGAACATTATTCCATTGTAGCAAACTAACAGTAAAAGGGGTGTGGTTAAAATTATTGTGGCTAAAGCAGCCAAACTGATGTCAACAGAGGGTTGCATCTCCAAACACAGAAGCAAATGATCAGACTTAAAAAAAATAGCAAATTCACATTTTTTTCTTTTAGTTTTAATAGTCAAATAAAATGTGAATTTGGATTTCACACAGACTTTACATTTTATAATGAACATTTAAGGTGTATTTACTTGTATACTGAAGGGTTTATTTCTGCAGGTTTCAACAAGTCAAATTTAAGACTTTTTAAGACCCTTTTAAGACCATTAAGAATGAAATTTTAAACTTATACAGGGCTACCCTCTAATGGTTATTTCTCATGGCCTGATTGGGCCAATGGATTTTTTTCTTGCCACAAACAAAATCAAATGTAATTATTTCTTAGTGACAGTTTAATGTGTCAAAACAAAAAAACTCTGGGTGTATACACTAATTTCAACCTAATATTACTTACTTTTTTTAAAACGACAAGTTTAGCATTGTTATATATATATATATATATATATATATATATATATATATATATATATATATATATATATATATATATATATATATATATATATATTTGGCTTTTGCTCCAAATTGATTCAGTATAAGTTCTATTCAACCTGATGGATTTCTGTTATAATTGCCTTAAAAAGTTTCATACCTATTTCTATATATTATGTCTACTCACCCTTTACTTCTGTAAACAGTTTTTGTATGAATGGAAGATAACGTAAAGGGGTATATTGGATATTGCTCTGTTATTATCATGAGGAATTGTGTAATTATGTTTAGTTTTCTTTCCCAGATTTTATTAGAATGAATTGTAGGTGATTGATGGATATCGGCTTGATCGGCTAGCTTTATTTGTACATTGGAAAATTAAGTCCTGTTTTAACTATTTAAGTTTGAAGAGTTTTTAAGAACTAAAAGTTTGTTTTTGAAATTTAAGACTTTTAAAGATCTTGTGAATACCCTGTATACTGTAAAAAGCAACAGTCGTCCACTTTTTGGCATAAATAATTCAAACCCAGATTTACTAAATAGCGGCTGCACATTTCATTTGTTTATGACAATTTTATTTTAGAATTTTAAACAGGGGTTTATCCAGTAAAAAGCACACATTGTTTCATAGATCAGATATATATTTTTCATGTTAAATGTACAAACATTTGACAATATTAAAAGAAAAAAATATTTCCTTTAAAAGAAAGGTGTCTTTATTTTTTCACCATCTTAGGCTGATCCAGTAAAAAATCTTACAAAAGCATATTTAAAAAACAAAACACTAAATATCACAATATGTAAATAAAAAAAAAAAACATCTTAAAATACTGAGCACATGGTACTGCTTCTTTTAAATGATTTACTTTTCTGTGTGTGACTTTTTGCTATGGATATTCACATTAAATACTCCAGGTTCTTAAGTTTTTCAGTCTGCTCAAACCCACACGCTGCCCTTCCCCTCGCTCTCTCCTGCTCCCTGCTGGCCGCAGCAGCCACCCAGGCCTCGATGACGTGATGCTGGCAGGTTTTTGTAGACGGCACGGCTGTATGGGATGAAGCACAGGCCCAACTGAAGATGGCGTGCCATTCTGCAGTAAGCAGCCAGAGCCAGAACCAGGAGCGGTGCCAGCAGCAGGAAGCCCACCACCAGTAAAGCAACACAGCCTCCATCATCCAGCAGATCTGAACAGTAAAGGGAAGTACCGTGACGCTGAACCTGTGGAACACAGAGGGGAAGAGTGAGAGAATCATTTAGCAAGATTTTACTGCAGAAGCAGGAAGAGGACTGGAATTTGGCAAAGTAAAAAAATTGCCGGCATGTCATCTATTGTGGGATCATGTTTACATTGACCTCTGATAACGGAATGAATAATAACATTCACATATGGTGAAGCAGTGGGAGTTGACGGAGTCGCCTCAGTTGGAGACGGTTAACTGATCACAGTGAAATGATAAAGAGAGGATTATGTGTGTGCGAGAGAGAGATTCCTTTGCTCATCCAGGTGTTTTAAATTAGTTGCATTAAACTCTGAGAAGCTTTGTCATCAGTGCATGGATACTTGGACAATACTGCCATATAAGAGTACGTCTGTGCAAAAAAAGTACTTAAAACAGATAGTTCATCTTAAAATGACAATTTTATCGTTTTCAATGTTTAAAACCTATTTGAGTTTTTGTTAAACACAAAAGAAGATATTTTGAAAAAATGCTGATTGCTGGAACCCATTATCTTCCATACTATTTTCCCCTATTAAGGAAGTCATTGATTTTAAGCATCACAATGTTTAATGGTCAGCAGCACTCTTCAACAGCAGATACTCATAAAACTTATAAGTACCACATTAGAGAGAGGGGTGGTATTATGCCTAAAATATATATGTTGTCAATGCCCCGGCAAATGTGGTCTCAAGTGTCAAATATGCAATACACATTGATAAAAATGAAGACATGCCTGCAGCCACAGCATGTTAACATGATTAATGTTGTACCCCAACGTTGTGGAGATGTTGCATTTTGTTTGGAAATAAAAGTCAGGTTGACGTCAGAACCCCACGTCAATACCCAACACCCAACCTAAAATAAACCTAAAATCAACCAAATATCAACGTTTAATGATATTAAAACTTGACGTTGTGTGGACGTTACCACTAATATTAAAACTTGACGTTGTGTGGACGTTAGACGTATATCAGATTTTGGTTGCCATACCTGATGAATAACTCAGTATTTGACGTCAATATGATGCTGGTTTAAGACAGTGGTTCCCAAAATGGGGGTCGGGACCACCTGGGGGGTCGCTTGGTGATTGCCAAAAGTCAAATAAATTTGATTCAACTATTAGAATTACGATATTTTATCCATAACCTACAGATGATAAAAATAGTAGTTAATACTTACATAAAAAAGCAACAACATGCAAATAAAAAGCCATCAGCCTTTTAATTTCTTTTACATGTGTTAGATTAGATTGTACAGTACATTAGATTAACAAGCTAAAAGCTTTATGGCAATCAAATACATTGAAAATAAATACAGACCACAATTAAACATTGAGATTGATTTCGAATTGTCAGTTTCCAAAATTAAACCAAGAATAGACTATTGCTGAAAACATTGTGCCCACCAGTCTCAATAGATGAGGTTAATATTAAATTAAACAAATTAACAAAGAACTATATAAATTGTTATAGCATATGATTGTTAGACTGTTGCACTTTTTGTGTTGGCAATATGCTTGTGTTTAGGCCTGTTTTTGTGTGTGCAACATTTTTATATTTTTAATCACCTCCAAGGAATGTGGGGGTCGTGAGTCACTGGCATTGTTATTTTGGGGGTCACAGGCTGAAAAGTTTAGGAACCCCTGGTTTAAAGCGTTGGCTCGACAATGGATTTTATTTTTCCAACACAACTTAAAGTCAACCAAATATCAATGTCATTTGATCAAGGGCATAGAATTGGCATGGATGGAGGGGACATGTCCCCACCAGTATCCACTAGTTACTGAAATGTCCCTACCAATAATTTAATCGACTTCAAAATAATTAAATATTATAATTAAATAATTTTCGTTACCCACACATGCAAAAAGTAAAGTTTGCTTCAAGTTTACTGTAATACTATTAACCAAGAATGTGCAATTAATCGAAATTCAGTTTTGATTTTGGCCTTCATGATTATGAGAAACAATAATTGGGATAAAACTGTTAAATTGCGTCACACACCTCTCAAAATTCCTCTACATTCATACTTCCTCAAAGCCCGACTGCAGAAAAATCATGTAAATTGACTTTTGCAGCTTGGGACGTGATTAAGTATTATTAAGTGTTTATTTTATATCATTAAGTACTTTATTCATGTTTTTTAAAGCGCAAAACATAATTTGTGCTGTACAATGCAGCTCTAGGGATGTATGTCCCCTAATGTCAAAAGCAAATCTATGCCCTTGCATTTGATGTTGTTATTGGATGTCAAAATGATGTTGTCCTTGGACACTGGTTGAATTTTGGTTACCTGACGCCACAACCTAAATCTAACCTAATATTAAAGTCTTACGATGTTGTGTGTCTGCTCTGATGAATACTCTGATGAATTTCTGAAGAATCTTGTGATTGTAATGATGTTGCCACAAAAACACTAAAGGAGAAATAACATTGCCCTAAAACTGAACAGTAATATTGTGTTTACTGTATATCTTTTTCCTTGGCATTGGGTAATGTTACTGTAGGCTAGACATTTGATGACCTTTTTCAGAGAAATCTGACTTTTCACAATGTAAACAACGTTTTCTCAATACAGAACACCTTTTGTTCATGAAACCATCAAATAAACAACTTTTATTTTTAAGAGTGTCTACAAACTTTACTATGTTGAGAAATGGGAAATCAGTGTCGCATTCTCACTCCACACATACCGTTGAATGGCAGAGGAAGCCAAAAACGACCATGACGAGCGATGGCAGGAGGATGAGGCCAAAGATGAATCCCGCCAAACCGACATTGAGCGCGGCGATGATCAGATTCTGCGCGGTGACCAGAACAGAACAGGCCCAACAGTCCAGAGAGCCTCTCAGCTCCAGTGGACACTCGTTCCCGGCACTGCCTGCTACTGAGTACGGAGGAGGAACCACGACCCCGGTGCTGGACGCGTTTGCTGGAGTACTGGAGGAGATGGAGCCTGTGTGGTGGAGGCGCGGGTGCGGTGACTCGGGCTCTCCTCGCTCCGCTGGGGTCTGCAGGGACGCGAGCTTCTCCAAAGTACCGTTTCGTGGAAGACTCATCTTGCCGTTCATCAGTCTGGTATGTGAAGGGCCAGTTTTTAGCTGGCGAAAAAAAGTATATTAATAATCTGCCCACAGACAACGACATTTTTATTTTAAGTCATGCATTGGGCTGTGTGTAACCTATATAACCTAGACATTATGCCTATATTAGTTAGCGTACATAAACAAATATTTTGTTAAGAAAGCACGTGCTGACCATATCGTTTTTATGTATGTTTTTTTGGATGTGGAGTGGAAAAATAACTATTAAGTTTATGAAGGCTTTGATTTTTATATTGTCTTTAATATGAAACCCCTTAAAAGTTTTCAAATAAATATTTAAAGAATATTGCAAGGTATATTTTGGTTTGGCAAAGTTTCCAAAGTTGACAAGTTTTCCCAATGAAAAATTGTTAAATGTTTGTGAGTTTGTCAGTGACAAAACAAACCATTTTTATAATTCTAATTTCAACTGTATATAAAAGTGTCAGGTGTTACTGAGCTCTTTAAAAAGTGAATTTTATTAGTGGAAACTAATTAACAGTTGTGGACTGTTTCTCTAAATACTACTGGAGAAATGCAGAGCAAATAAATTGTGATAACCAACAGTGAAGCTGAGGAAATGTAGCCGCTGACCCACCCTGATCTCCAGGATGGCCAAAAAACACAAAACAATAACTGTGGAACGGCTCATCAGGAAACCCTGAACGCTGACCAGGCCACATATACTATAAAACAGAGGAACCCCAAAAGAGCAACATCCTAAAAAAATAAAGCCTCCAGATATAGTCCTTTACAGCTTGTTACTTAGCTTGTTAATAACCACTTAAGCAAGAAAACCAGGGAATGATAATTTTTTTTATTGCTTCTTGATTTGACATCAGTAAAAATAGGAATGAATATGGATGTTAAAGCACAGATCATCATGTTCTCCTATAGGTGTTATATTGTGTTATATTGTGACTTAAGGACTCGGAGGTCACTTGCTAATTCTTTCTAGGAATTGGTCCTCCGTGTAACCTTGTTTATTTGGAGATGGTCCAATTTTAGTGAATACAACAAGTATGATATCACTCAGCCATTAATAGTTCAGATGTTATCAAGGGCTTGATTTAAAAACCTGTCCCCCACAAGCACCTTTTCAACTCTTACTGAAGCAATTTAACATGACCTTGAGGAAGTCTTTAATGGCCTGGACCACTCAAGGGTTTGTTTAATAATGACAATAAATACAAGAATCTGCATGTTTGATCTGTAGTTTAATTCACGTCAGGGCTGTTGTATTTGGCATGGAATGATTTCTCATTTAGCTTATTTTAAAACAAACAAAAATGTAAATAAAATAAATAAATAGTGAACTAATAAACAATTAAAACAAAAAAATAAATAAAAAATAGAATAAATTATTTTATATCATTTATAAATAAAAACATAATAATTTAATTATAAAGTGTTATATTTTATTTTTATTTTACATTTTTTTATTTAAAACTATAGTGACTAAATTACAGTTTTTCTCAATGGCTTTGGTGCATTTCTCAAAACACCATTTACATTTGCACAACAGTAAATGCATTTCCCAAAACAATTAGTACAAACTACAAAACCTAGTTCATAACCTGCAAAAACAGCTCACTTGCTTAAAATGGATAGTTCATTCTTCAAAAGCAAGTATTGATGTCAATAAAAGTGTCAGTGTAATCAAGATGAAAAGTCCTGACACCATAGTTTATGAACAAGATAGTCAAATGACTTTGTCATGTTTTCATTTATGATAGTTCCAATGCAAAAACAAAGAAGTCAGATTTTGGTGACACTTCCTGAAAATGCTCAAGACAGCACTATAAACTATTTGCAAAGCCATTTGAAAACTACAGTAAAGTTAGACATCACTGCATTTAGTGGGGTATCTGAGTACAAGACACTGAACATGTATGTTTCACATTTTTTCTGCATTTGCTCTTTGCAATTGTAGTTGCCAAAGAATAAATACACCCTTATTTACAACAAACATAAACTGCACAGAGCTGTGCACAACTGTAAACAATATTGCAGTACATATTGTAACTGAACCTACAACATACACAGATCTGTAAATCATTCAAGAAATTGTTCATTTTAGATGACATTTTAAGGGGAAAAATGATTTAAATATTTTTAAATAAAATTAGCTTGACAGATTTTGACAGCCAGTTCAATATTTTTGTATGTAATGACTCAAGCAATGAATTGAGGGCTTTTAGTTTTATATGGAATGACTTTTCAACATCCACAAGTTTAGTTAATTTTGACTGACATGATGTAAGCAAATGATAATGTTATAAAACAGCAGAGAGTTGTTTGAAAGATATTGATGTGTCCAAAAGCATTTGCAATATGTTGGAAGGAATGAGAAACTGCTACTATGATGTGCACAAATGACTAATTGTTTTGAGAAATGCATTAACTGTTGTGCAAATGCAAATAGTGTTGTGAGAAATGCACCAAAGCCACTGAGAAAAACTGTAATCCAAACATGACGATTAATTTTTTAAAAATAATTAACATCAGCAATAAATAATTTAACATATTATATTTACATAAACCACTTGAGCAAACAAACCTAAACAAACCCAAAATAATTAGTTAAATTAGAAAATGTAAAATTATTAATTGTACTTTAATATGAAGTGAATAAAACCTACAATTACACAGTCATAGTCCAAAGTGATGGCAAACATATTTTTGATTTTTAAAGTAGAATATTTTATTTATTAATTTATTTGCATCTTATTATTGAAGTAATATGATAAAATTTTATTTAATTTAAATAGAATTGAGTACACCCCCATCACCATGACTAAACTTACATTATGATTCTGGGTTTTGAATATAAGGAAATTCCACAAAATACATAAATATATCAAGGGGAATTTGACAGGAGTTGGACAGTCTATAGGGAATTAAAATCAGTACATGCCAGAAAACAAAACAGGAAATGAGCTCAACTAAACTACAAATTCATTACACTGTATTTGAAACACCTTGTAGATTGACTCCAAATGATGGACTTTTATTGTTTCCAAGCAAACGACTTTTAATTATTAATATTTACATTAGGTTTAACCATTAAATCTATTTTCTATGGAGATTAAAATTTTATACATACTGTATATATAAATCAATATATACACTGTAAAACCCAACAGTCAACTTTATCAAATGAAATGAGTGTAGTTAACTCGAAATTGACTAAAAGTTAATTCGACTCAATCGAAAAGAGTTTTGAACTCAGTGTTGAAGGTAATTAGTTAATTAAATACATCATTACTTCAACTTAAATATGTCACAGTACTCACAGATTCGATTTTTGTAACTCAAATGGTTTGTAGAAATCAGTCTCCTCAAACAGTTTTGTCTTAACTTATTGGGTTTTACAGTACTTAGTTGGTTTGAGTTCATTTATGGGTTTTACTGTGCTCAAATTGTTTTGTTTACTCAAATAGATTAAGTTCACAGTACTCATTAGGATTAGTTTTTGAACTTAAATGGTTTGTTGCAATCGGTTTTCTCAAATAGTTACCTTAACTTTTAGGGCTTTGCAGTGTATATAAAGCACCCGTAACATTAGTGTAATTATATACTTATAAAAATTATACTTACATTTATGTAAAAAAAAAATTTAAATTCCTTTCCTCAGTGAAATATGGGCAGATTCCTCAGACTGGCAGATGATAGCTTTACTCTACAGTTAGTTTGACTTGATTTTTATCCAGTTTTCAGGTCCACCTGTAGTATCTCCTCAGGCTCTGTGAGCTCAATGAGCGTCAGTCTTCTATGTCAGCTCGTTCTCTTCCTTCTTTCCTGCTCTACTCTTTCCTTCTTTTGACGAAGATGTCCTGCCTCAGTAACTCACTCGTATCTCTCCACTCCCACTTCTCCTCCTGGCCTCCCGATCTGGATCAGCCCTTCAGAAATGTGGGGTGTTGGGTTTGCTGGGGGTTTAGTTGTAGACTTTTTATTTTTTTGCACATGCAGTAGGAAAATCTATGACTTGCACTGACTTTAGAGTTACACACTCCACAGTATGTTTTATTTCTGCTCAGAAATTGCTAATACATTTCAGATATACTTACATTATTACTCACTTTTCTTAAAGTAAAATGAAGTAATCTGAATTTTGAAGTACAGAACCTAATCGCTTTTTACAATGTTCAACTTTACTGTAAAGTGTTACAGATACACACACAAACTGACAAAATGTGTAGTTTAGCCAAGATTTCATGGGAAAATGTGCATATTTTAGGTGTTGGGAAAGAAGTTGTTAATTTATATGAATCTTATTGGTAAAACATAATAAAGCTATGAATTGCAAACCCATAAATTTATTTTTATTTTTTTGCTTCTTTGTGAGTAACTGGATTTAATGAAAGAAATAAAACCATGGCAGTTACATAATCCTAGTTCTAACATCACAACCTGTGTGTTTTCATCACACTTTGAGAAAAGAGTCAGAGCCTCAGGTCTCAGATCAGATGTCTCAAACGCAACAGAAGAACTCAAACAAAAATATATATCAAAACATGAAAGAGACTGTCAAAGTCCCTGTGGCACAGAAAGAGAAGTTAACAAATATATAGAGCTATGAAAAGTTAAAGACTTAAAGACGTCTGTACCTCTGAGGGCTCTGTTAAACTTGTTCGTTTGTGTTTCCAGCTCACCTTAAGTTCAGCAGGGAGTCGAGGTCTGGTTTGTGTCTCTCAGGACGTGTCAGATCTGTCAGGATGTTTTCTGAAGGTTTTGGCTCATCGGGGTTGTCGATGTGTGTTTGTAAGGGAGATATCGGAAGACATCAGGGCCAGTGTTGTGCAAGTTACTTCCAAACCGTAATATATTACACATTACTTGTTAATGTTATTTAAAAGTAATTCCTTATAGTGTTTCTGTATAAGAATCTAATTCAGCGACATGGTGACTCAGTGGTTAGCACTGTCGCCTCACAGCAAGAAGGTCACTGGTTTGGGTCAGTTGGCAATTCTGTGTGGAGTTTGCATGTTCTCCCCGTGTTCGCTTGGGTTTCTTAAGAGTGCTCCGGTTTCCCTGACAGTCCAAAGACATGCGGTACATGTGAATTAATTAAGCTAAATTGGCTGTAGTGTATGAGTGTGAATCAGTGTGTAACTGTTGTTTCCCACCCAGTACTAGAGTGCAGCTGGAAAGGCATCCGCTGTGTAAAATATATGTCGGATAAGTTTGCGGTTCATTCTGCTGTGGCGACGCCTGATGAATAAAAGGACTAAGCCAAAGGAAAATGAATCAATGAATTGTAATTCTTACATGCATGCAGGATTCCTGGAGGAATACTATAACAAAAATGTAGGACTCTAAAGCGTCTTGAAGGAAGTGGGAGATATCAAATACTAGAGAGCATTTGATTGGTCAGAAGATTTAATGAGAAATTAAAGTATAAGGAGACATCAAATAATTATTTGATTAATTTGGCTGGAAGTGACAGACCTAAAGAAGAAAATACAAAGCATATGCAAGATCTGTAAGTCTTTTTTGTATGAGAGATTATGGAAGTTGTAATTTAGGCTCATTTCGAAAACGTAGCCCTATATTCGTTTCTGGAGATCTCGTATTACATAGCTAGTAGTACACATGGCTGCATTTCGTCTTTAAAATGAATGCTACAGGGCGGTATGGCGCCGTTCCCTTTTTGCGAGAACCAGCTGACCGCTTACCTGCGTGTGGTCTGCTTTTTCACTTGTACCAGTTAGTCCAGTTAGCTCGCCATGTATGTCAGCGGACTTCAGATGCAGAGAGTAGTTTACCACGACAACGGGTTCGAGTCTGGCAAAGAATAGTGTAAGAAAGCGGGCAAGACAAAAACAGAAGCCAAAAAATAAAATAAAGGAGTAAATAACGGTGAGAATGTGGTATACTGAAAACATGGTAAAATCAGGTGAGGGCTTTTTTTTACTGGATTGCTTTTTAAAACTGTGGTTTGGGTTTAGGGAAGAGGATGGGCGGGTCAGTCGATGCTTTTGAAAATACTATTGGTTGGGTTTAGGGAAGGAGAATTGGGGTTAGACAGTCATTGCCTCAGTCAGTCGAGAGTGGCCTCTGGTAGGGTTGGGTGATGTTGACCAATTTGGCATCGTACGATGTCTAATGTAAAACATTGTGATGGACGATGGCATCGGGTGAATTAATTATTTTTGAATAATTAATTAATTCATAACAAATTAATTATTTGTTGCCTACTGTTTCAACTACCTGACCCGCAAGGTCTGTTTTACCCATAACCAAATCATTAACAAATAGAGATAATTTACTCACTAATTACCACCTGTCAATCGCTTTTTTTCCGTGGGACTCTGGCATGAATAGGCAGCGTGATCTGTGTCATTAATGGCGTCAACAAACTTGGTTGGTAAAAAAAGTTGCACAACCAACAGCAATCAACCAAACAGTATCTGGGGTTTTCACTAAAATTACTAAGTGAAAGCGAAAGATTGAAGCATTGTACTGACGCTGTAACACGTTACCTGATAGTTTATGCTGACTGCCTAGGCTGGAGCTCAGACGATTGCATGACAGTGTGTGTATCTGTGTATCTGTGTGTGTGTGTGGGTGGTCACGTGATGTGCGTGTAGACGGAGGGCTGTTCACAAATGCTAGATGAAACGCCAATGTGGATGTGGATCTTTTTCGTTCTAAAATGCCATTTTAAAACTAGCTGTGTAAATAAGGGCTAAGTGTGTATTTTCCGTGAGTGGGTTTGCGACGAGGGCGGGGCGAAGGATCGAAGGGCGAAGGTGGGCGGTAGACGTCACGATGCTGAGCTGGCATCGCGATCCTCCGCCCATCCTCTGTTGGCATAGTCTATCGACCCAACACTAGCCTCTGGTGGATTTACGCGAGAACAGTAGGCGTGAATGGCACTCACGAGAGAAATTTGAGATCTCAAAAAGCATACATTGTGGCTTTTGGTGGATTTGCGAAAACAAAAACCACAAAAAAGTAGCACCTTGAAAATATTTGGCGCTCTTAAGAAATCTATATAGCGGTACGTTTTCAGAATGAGCCTGGGTTTGTTATATGTTTATATGTAATTAGTTACTGTAATGCATTACTTTTCTAAAGCATTACTCCCAACACTGATCAGACCCAAAACAAATGGCCAAATTGTATAGTGTACAAAAAAAAAAAGAAATTTTATATTATATTACAGCCCTAGTTATTTAGTGAAGTTTATTCATGGAGAACTTTTCATAATCCAAAACAGCATCACTTATATTGCAACAACATTTTACTGTTACAATCAGACAGTATATCAGAGTGAGTTAAAGTAGCTGGGTCTGTATGGCAGTATTATACAACTAATAATGGGTAATTAGTAAATATTTATTTTGGTAAGAAATGGCATTTAGAATAATACTATTTTATTTTTCTATGGAAGAGGCAAATTAAAAAAATGTATGAATTTTAAAATAATTAATAAAATTATTTGTATTGTGTATTTATTGCATTGTTGTACATTTAAAATGTACAATTCAAAGTCAATGTCTAAACTTGTTAGCTAAATAGCCATTGTTTATGAAATGGACTAGCAGTTTCTAGTGAAAACTTGTTTCTACACCAATTTTTATCCGGTTATTTAACTTTAGCAATGTGATTTGTTCTCATCTGTCTGAGAGTTTATCATAAAAGACCTTTGAATGTTTTTCAGGTCACGGCCTGCCAGTTGTGAACGACTGTGATAGAGTCAACAAAACAACATATCGAGTTCATAAGAGTGAAAAACAGGATGGCGACTTTATCTGTAAGTAAATAAGCTATTGACAGTTGTTTATTTATTTACTCACAGCTGTGGGTTATCAGCAGCCACAGATAAAGGGCTGCTGGTGGAACATAAGCGTTAAGTGCAGAGGGACGGTGAAAAACGAGATATATCCTGAGAGTCATAAAAGAGGAAAACCTGCCTTCCTGGCCTTGGAGCCAGGATTTCCGCAGTAAAGTCCTGAGAGAGAGCCGAGGTGTCACCGAAACATTAGTCCTGTCCCATGACCTCTACGAGCCTCACTTCCAGCCCACAGACAGACAGGAGACTGACCATCTGTAACCTTCCTCTAATACACTTCACAATCCACAAATAACTTCCACGTAAACACTCAGAAGCTTTTAGTCTTGTTTTATAGTAATCATTATATCAGGAATAATAACTCAAAAATCACTAAATGTTTTAGATAAATCTGGCTCAGTTCATTATTGTTTTTTCTTTCCTTTTTAAATTTATCTTTAATGTTTTTTTCTCTTTAATATAGTGAAACAGACTGAAAATGGAAATAAGCCTGAAACACACTTCTCTTGGTATCGATGTAACCTTACACTAATACACTTCCACACAATCCAGAAATAACTTCCACATAAATATTTGTGAGTTAGCAGCTTTAAGTTATCATTACATCAAGGATAACGGAAAAATCACCAAATGTTTCCTAATTGTTTTCCCTTCTCTTTTAAATGTACTTTTCTCTTTCAATACAGAAGTATTCAATTATTATTTTAAAATTCAAATAAAAGGCCTGATTTAGACCAATATCTTTTTAAATACTAATGAACAGTTTTACTATCATGATGATAAAAATGTACTGTAAAATGAAACTTTACTCTTGTCTCAAATGTCTTCCAAACCTTTTTTTTCTTGTGTTGATCACAAAAGGAGATATTTTAAAAGAATGTTACAATGGAAAACTATGGTAATTTTATTTTTCAACACAGTGAAATAAAAGAAAAAAAGACAATGAATTAATTTGTTACACATAAAAGTGAATTTAGCAGGTTTTTTTTACTTTAAGTTATCATTATGTCAGGAATAACTGAAAAATCTTTTCTGACACAGTCTGAAATATTTCCTTCATATTTTTAATTTCCCTGTCATTTTCATTTATTTACTTCTCTTTTTTGATACATTAAAAAAAGTGAAAACTTGAAAAATGGACCTGAAACACACTCCTCTTAAGAATTGATGTAACCTTATATTAATACACTTCCACACACAATCCAGAAATACCTTGCACATAAAGACTTTTACACTTAGTAGTTTTTAAAGTTATCATTACATCAAGAATAAGAGAAAAATCCCCAAATTATTTCATATTATTTTCCCTTACTTTTTAAATGTATTTTCTCTTATAATACATGAAAACAAACAGAAATATGGCAATGAAAACACTCTTTAGCTGTCATATTCTTCTTCAGAATACAAATCAATGCACAATCCAGAAACACGCTTACACGAACTTAGCAGAAGCAGATATAATGACATAGTTATTACATCAGGGATAACATACAAACATCACTAATTGTTGTAGATAAATCTGTTTCAGTTGCTTTTTATTGCTTTTTTTTTTTTTTTTACATTTCTTTAAGTTTAATTTAATATTTTTTTAAACAGTAAAAGTCACAGTAAAACAAAGTAAAAGAAGCTCCTCTAGCTAACTAACCTTCCTTTATCCAGAAATTACATGATTTAGCATGATTTAGTTATCATTGTACCAGGATAATATGTATATAATGTTTTATATATATAACACACAAAATGTTTACACAGATCTGGCTCAGTTCTTTAGCTTTTCTTTTTTCTTTCTTTAAATTTATTTTCTTTAATGTTGCTTTTTTATAAAGTTATCTTTATATCCAGAGTAACAGAAAAATAATTAAATAAAAAAACATTTCCTTAATATTATTTATTTCCCTGTCATTTTCATTTATTAAATTTTCTTTTTTTGATACTTTAAACAAAGTGAAAATAGAAATGAACCTGAAAACACACTCCTCTTGCTATCGATGTAAACTTCCTGTAGTACACTTACACACACAATCCAAAAATAACTTATACATAAAGATTTGTGAATTAGCAGTTTTTTAAAGTTATCATTACACAAGGAATAACAGTAAAAATCACCAAATATTTAACCTATTTTACCTCATTTACAAGATGTAAGATAAGACTTTGGTGTCTCCAGAATGTGTCCGTAAAGTTTCAGCTCAAAATACCCATCAGATTATTTATTATAGCCTCCAGAATCTGCCCATTTTGGTGTCTGAGTACAGTGTAGCTGTTTTTGTAGCCTGTGCCTTTAAATCCAAATTAACTGCTTCTCCCTGCCCACCGCTCCGATGTGCTGTCTGCTTCTCATGTGCTAAGTCAGATAAACAGTAGTCAGTGACAGAGACAGACGGATGAAGCTGAAATACAGCTCATTTATCAAAAATAGTCAATAGTCAGTGAGTCAAACACAAATGCTGTTTGCAGCACTCACACACACACACTCTCTCTCTCTCACACACACACACACACACACACACACACACACACACACACACACACACACACACACACACACACACACACACACACACACACACACACACACACACACACAGTCTATGATGTATATATATGCACATTTACTGACACCATGTGGCCGTGGGGATTATAGCAGTTAAGAATTACATATAGAAATTTTACTGTTTATTACAAACATGCTCTGTGTTAAAAAAAAGTTTTAAACTTTAATTAGTTATTGATGTGCAGCTGATCACAGAGAGTTTTAACATGTTTTAATCCCAGTTTCTTTGCAAAAAAATTTCTGTGGACATGTGTATACATATTGTGAAGACATGGTGCCTGTCAATCAATTCGGAGGGCGGGGAAAAGCACTCCTAAGTCACAGTGCGTTGGCCTCAAAATGACTGGGATAGTTAAATGGTTGAAAGAGTGTTTAGCTAAGCCTTGTTCAAACCCAAATAATTTGTTCAAAAAATTGGTGGCCTTGAATTTGTATTAAGATGTGATAATGATAGTTTAAAACTTCCTTTGAAGCTGTCTAATTTTCATAAGCAAGCACTACTTTTTTGAAAAATGATATTTACCCATAATTTCCCCCCTCATAAATCAACTCTTTGTAATAATGCTGATAATATTAACAGAAAATCATTGTTAAGAGGCGACTGGTATAGTAAAAGGCATTTTATTTAATAATGATTTGTTAGATGAAAATAGACTGCAACTATCTCATAACAAATTTTTAAATAAATATAGAGTTAGAATAACAGATAAAGGTTATACTAAAATTTTTGAGGCTATACCTATTGCTTTGTTTAGGTTAATTCAAAGTAATTATTTTGATCCCCCATGTACACAACTTCTCTTCTGTTTTTAAAAATATCAAATGTTGATATTTTTGATAGTAAATGTAACAACAAGCTTATTTACAAAGAATTTTAATGCATTATCATGAGTGATTATAAATGTTATCATCTAGGAGTTGTTGAACCCTTAGTAGAGAACCTGTTACCTGAAATATCCTGTAGCCCCTAAGGTTAAGGAAACTCATTACAGAATTTTATTTAGGATATATCCTGTGAATGAGTTTATTCAAAAAAGATTTAACTTTGTTGTTGTCAAGTGTAGCTTCTGCTCAAATCTACCAGAAACACTCGATCACTTATTTTTTTTCTTGTGAATTTACTTATAAATTCTGGTTTGACATCCATACTTGGCTTTCATTAAAGTCCCCCCTATTGTTCTAGAAGATATTTACATTTTTCTTTCTCTGATGTTGTGAACTTTATTTTACTAATGGAAAACTATCATATTCATTGTAAATGGAAAAATTGCAGGCCCTCATTCAGATGTTTTCTTTCTGAGGTAGAGAAAGTGACTCAAAGCTTCAAATACTTCAGAAACCAAAATAAAATAACTCTCTAAAATAAATGCTCTCTGTACTTTATTTTCTGAATATTTATTGTTATAGTGTTTTTTTCCTTTGATGGAGGGATTTTGTACTGCTCCTTGTTGCATTTTAAGTTATTTTATTATAATATAAATAAATATTATTTATTTATTTTTTATTTTAATGGTAAACATGCCTTGCGATGTTGTTTCCTGTTTTGTGATGTAAACTTTTTGCAACAATAAAAAAAAAAAATCACTAGAATTTGGATCCTATTTTAACGTCAGTAAATTAAAAAAAAAAGACTTTTGTGTTTATATCACTCCAATACAACTGGTATCACACTATTCACACAGTTCTGTCCAAACAGCTTCCAAAAGTTGATTTTCATCATAGGTGCCATTTAAAACACAGAAATATGTCTTAGAAAACACTTCTCTAGTTATCATATTCTTCAACCCAATACAATTCAACACACACTCCAGAAATAACTTACACACGTGCACACTAGTGAATTTATCAGAAGGTTTTATTCTTTTTTTATAGTTATTATTATATCAGGAATAACACACAAAAATCACAAAATGTTTTAGACAAGTCTGGCTCAGTTCCTTAATCTTTTTCTTTTTTAATTTTCTTTTCTTTTAATACAGTAAAACAAACAGAAAAAATGGCAATGAACCTGAAAACACACTCCGAGAGGTATCGCTGAAACGCATCTCCTCAATAATCTGAAATTCGTCAATAATGATCATAAATCAGAAAGACTGTAATAATCATAACAGCTAGGATGACAGAAATCGTACATGTGTCACAATATCCTGTACCTCATATGTAAAGCAAACAATTTTTCATGTGTTAAATATACAGTACAAAGACATTCAGTTCATAAAAGTGTACTGACTCTGTTCTAAGCACCAACTTGTGAGATTAAATTCATGTTTTCAAACCTACAGAGTTTATACAGACAGAAAGAGAGAGATAGAGATAGAGAAAGACCCGGGAGGGAGGGGGATCAGCACCATTGTTGAATCAGACGTTCCCCCTAAAAGCCTCACCACATCAGCACAACAGAAAGATTTACAAAATACGCATGTCTCGGAAAAGAGAAGCATCACGGACAATCAATAAATACAAAAGGAAAAGAAAGGTAAATAAATAAAGAACAAAATACGCAAAACAGAAGTATTCAGTTATGATATTGTAATTCAAATAATAGGATAAAAGGCCCGTTTACACCAAGGGTGATAATGCTACTTTTTAAGAATATTAATGAACAGAGTTTTACTATAATCATGATACAAATATTGTTTAAAGGGATAGTTCACCATATAATTAAATTTTATTCCAAACCTTTTTGATCACAAAAGGAGATACTTTGAAGAATGGTACAATGGAAAACTTTACTTTGGAAAAAAAAACAGTATGGAAATCAATGACTACCGGTTTGCAACATTTCACAATAAATCATTTATGGTTAACAGAAGAATAAAAAAATGACATCCAATGATACAAATCAGAATCTATCCTGCTTTAAAAAGAGTAATAAGGGTACGTTTACACCACAGTGATGTATTAAAATGTTCACGTTAGACTGACTTAGTTACACTAAGCGAATTTTCCCAAAACAAACATGCCTGTAAAGGCTGATTTATACTTTTGCGTCGAGTGATCACCATGACCCATGGTGCATGTCCTGCGCGTAGTGGTGCATTTTTCTTTCTATGTGCTGTTTGTGTTGCTCTGCAATAAAACCTCCGAAACGCTAGCTGACAGCGAAATTTTTATTTTCCTCTGTGTCAAGTTTGTTCATGGGTAATTAGTTTTTTCTGAATGCTACCCTAATGTACAAGTAGCTAAAACTTGCTCATTTAGAGGCGGGAACCGGCGGACATACAACAACTTTAATCACAAGGTAAACAAAACAAAAGTTTCTAACTGGAGCCTCTTTATAGGACTTAACACTTGCTTAATCGGGCTCACTGCACTTATCACCATCCACACTTATCACCGCTACCAAGCCAACCAATCACATTGTGTCTTGACAATGTGTAGTTACATTTTTTTGCCTCGCCCCTTTTTGATAGTTAAAACAGATAATAGACACGCCCCTTTATGATAGCTAAAACAGCTAATAGACATGCTCCATCAAGATAGTTAAAAAATTTACTAGACACACCCCTTTTCGATATACAGAACAGTTACTAGACACGTCCCTTACTGCTGTTTTTAGACTTTGTCCGACATTGTGGCGAAAAGTGTTTTACAAATATTGCTTAGTTTCCTTTATTGGAAAGTTGTGTACATCCAGCAACATTGTCTACTCATTCACACAGATCTACAAAAATGACTCGAAATGCTGTATTACACACGCAGATTAGTAGATGCCATTTTGCTATCTTGAAACACTACACGTCTTCATGAAGCTTTAAACCTTTACAAATCTATTGTTTAAATCAGTGCCTCAGAGCACATATCGAATGAGGTTTCATCATAATATTTTTTAAAAATGTGTCAGTTTAAAGTTTCTCCAATGGGGACAAATCCGCATGATTTGGTTAACAAAGATCTCCCTCTAGTGGTGAATCACTGAACAAGCGTTCATTTTTTTTTCTGATTTTAATGTTTGTATAATTGAAAGAAATTTTAGTTGTTAAAAGTCTCTTATTAGCCTAGCGGAGCCCACAATGGAACAAGAGAAACGAGCAACGGCAATATTATGCAGACACTTAATATTTAAATATATTTGATTAGCTATTACATTTGATAGATTATACCTTCAGCAAAACATTTGATCTTTATTTGTAAAAGCTGTTTAAAACGGATGTTTAGCCTGGGTTTTTGTTGCATTCACACAGTTTTGATTGTGATGTTGCAAACACTTTGTAACAGTGAAATGTTTTGCAAGGCAGTTGGTCAAGTGGATTCAAAGCTGTTTCTCCCGTGTGCTTATAGATTAGACACATAATACACATGTGCAAGATGGCACCATTTCTATGAAATCACATTTTTGTAGTTAACACAGAGACAGTATAGTTTTTAAATACTCTGAAACACGTTTTCAAAGGTTGCACCAACTCGGCAGCTAATATTGTTAGAATGTTGTTATCAATCCTGGTGTGAACGGGCCACTCGGATTAAGAAATGCATCAAAAACCACAAGTTCGCAGGAATGCTTTTTTTTGTTTGAGTTATACAAAAAAGTTTCACAACACACACAAGGTTTTCCAGACAAATGCAATCAAATAAGTTTCGATTAAACCCGTATCGTTTGGAATCATTGTTACATATACTGTACCTCACGTGAAACTTTAATGCTCTAAGAAAGTCATTACTGACTTAATCAAATACCATGAAATCATCTTTTGTCTAAATGCGTATCACAAGGCCCAAACGGTGTTAGTCTAGACTGTTGTTAAAAAAGCTTTTTTTATTGTTTTTTTTCTTTCTGAAAACCTTCGAGAAATTAAAAAAATAGCACCCGGTCAAATATGCAAATACCATTTACAAAGATCAGACTTGTAGTAAATATGACACGCCTGAAATGGGAAAAACAACTAAACAAACCTAAAACAAAACGAAACAAACTAAGAATAAATGTAATGCCACTGCAATGGTCATCAGCGCCAAGAGAAATGAATCCCCTGCTGTTTTTATATACGTTGTATCAAAGCACCACTCAGATAAACCAGAGACATAGAGTATAACTGGACTGGTGAAATCGTCTTCCGTTTGCATAAAAAAGTAAACTACATCAGTACCTGAATTAATGCACGTGTTCGGCAAGTTGACAATTGTTTTTTTTTTCTCCATTTTTTTCATTTTAAAAAGGAAAATCACAGCAGTTATCCGTTGTGGATGAGTGACCTGATAGCCAAGTTACAAGATTATTGTTCGAGTCCAATGATGTAGCACCACTCTAGTCTTTCTAGACTCAGATGTCCCGTCAGTTTCTGGCTGAGGGAAGACGACATCTGCTGATAGGATTGTAAACAATGTGAAGTAAACAGCGGTTTGATCTGCTGTTCCGTAAGTCTGCAGTAGTGGTTTTGGTAGGAAATGAAAATAAAATAAAGGAGAACAGAAGGTTTGTGCCGCTGCTTTGGGGCAGGAGGGTGGGAGATTTGGTTATGGCTGTGTAATTTCAGACATCAAGCTCACCTACAGCATGGAACTGCAGACTGGAGAGAAAAATGCATAATGGTTGGGAAACTAATTTAACATTTATTATAGTACATTTATAACATGTACATTTCATGGTAAAACTTTTATTGACAGATTAGATTATAGTCCAAGGGTCCGTACTTCGTACCTCGTTTAAGTAATCTAAGATGATTTGACAGATCCTTGATCTTTTAATCTTAATTACTGCTCTCTGGATAATTTGGTTCTTCAAACAAGTTTGTGAATCAGATTAAAATGTCTGGATGAACAACTCTCAGATGAGTTTTGAAGAATGAAATGATCCTGGATCGTGTCAAATCATCAGTAACAAAATCCAGCTAACTGAGTAATCTACATACGAAGAACAAACCCCAGGTCATATTTCAGAAAAAATTTCCATAATACAAATGAAAACATTCTGGATTTGGCATTTTTGCATTAATTTAAAATTGCAAAAAAAATGCATATTTTATTGAAGCATTCCCAGGTCCTACCTCACAAAATTACATTCATTTTTCTTTTTTTATACTGAAATATGAAGAGTAATAAAAGAATGAAAGATACAAATCCAATTACATTTTATATAAATGCTGTTTTTAAAAAAAACAATGCAATAAACATCGGATAAATGTTATGAAATTAGATTGATAATGTTAAAATATTCGAAATCAGTCTAAGATAATAAAAAAATAAATAGAAAAACATCAAAAATGTAATTACGTATTTAATGCTATACATGTCTAAGTCTCTCTCTCTCTCTCTCTCTCTCTCTTACACACACACACACACACACACACACACACACACACAAACACACAAACATACACACACATTATATAAATTATTAAATTTTTTTGAATAATGATTATAAAGCATGAATACTAATTTAAAAATGAAACTATAATGTTTTGGTTGTTTACATAACTGTATTCCATTATTATTAATAATTTCATTGCTAAAACCAGAAGATTTTATTATGCATTTCACATTTCACAAAAGTACTTACTGTTATTCAAGCACCTGCTTAATAAAATAAATAAATAAAATGAAACTATATAATATAATATAAGTTATTATTAATACTATATAATATAATATAACAATATAATATAATATAATATAATATAATATAATATAATATAATATAATATAATATAATATGATATAATATAATATAAGTTATTATTAATACTATATAATATAATTTAATATAATATAATATAATATAATATAAGTTATTATTAATACTATATAATTTAATATAATATAATATAATATAATGTAATATAATATAATATCATATAATATCATATAATATCATATAAGTTATTATTAATACTATATAATATAATATAATATAATATAATATAATATAATATAATATAATATAATATAATATAATATAATATAATATAATATAATATCAGACTTGTGTATTAGAGTGAATAAGAGTATTTGTCTTACCAGGGTAAAGTTATCATACATGTTCATCAGCTCATCGATGCGGTACTGCTCCAGCACCACCACCCCGTTCAGACCGGGGCTTCGTTCCCGAGCGCAGTCCTCACAGTGAACCACATATGTTTTCCTACTGCTGTTCTCACTAGTCACAAACAGCAGGTCAAACACCTCCAACTGTTCAACACACATACACATATGCACATATGCACACTCACATAAAACGAATCATTACACAATATCATATGCCTTCAGTATACTTAATGTTCCTCACATCACACTCATTGCAGTAATACGCCGGTTCATCCTTCACCCTACTCTGATAGGAGATCTTCTTCCCTGCAGACACCAGCTGGTCCCTCAAGATCTGAATGTGTTTGATGGACTGCATGAGACAATGTCTGAAAGAGAAGATGAGGAGGAGGAGCTGGAATGCCATAGTACAGTAAAATAGGTGTCGAAAACTTGAATACCTCAACACTGCACTCACTTGATCATCTTGAATGTGTTTGGGTCTGTGATTTTGATTGTGCGGGCAACGTTCCAGGACACGTGAATCATAGGGACGATTGATTTGACCTTCTTGACCTCGTTCCATTCAAAGCGCTCAAGAGCTAGCTGGTATTGATAGGCTGGGAAGAAATAATGAACACAACATCATGTACACTCACAAAACACTTTACTAGGTACACCTTACTAGCACCAGTTCGGATCATTAGGAAACCCGATAGTGGAAAAGTGTCTACAGATTCAACAAAGTACCAATTCTTCAGAGATTTTCATCAAAAATGACAGATTTCTGAGCTAAAAAAATCCATGATGCAACTCGATCATTCCAGCACATTCCAAAACTGCCTTATTGGATTGAGATTTGGTGACTGTGAGGATATTTGAGTATGCTAGCTAGGTTTGGATCTCTCTCTGTAAATGGGCATTTTGCAGGAAATTACCTAATTTAGAAAAAAATTGTTTATTTGGATTTTGGTGCAGTTATGTGAATCTTGGGAGATGGAAACACATGTTAAATTAACTGACGTAGTGAACATTTCACCCACTTGACTCCATCATGTTTGCCTTGTTTACTATAGGTTACTAGGTTATAGGAATGATTCACCGTGAGCTGGTTGAAAATCATGTCACGATTCAAACCGTTACACTTGTTGAATGAATCGTGATACCTGTTTTGAACAGTGGGGGCGCTGTGTACAGGCGCAAATACGCTTTACCTGCACATGAGTGGCGAGGAAGAGGTGGGGCGGCAAACAAACAGCCATTGGCTGTGTTAAAAACCGCCTACTAATCAGTAGGTACTGCATTTGACTTTAAGTGTACAACTCGGTTGTTAGAAAAGTACGTTCTATACAGTATGAATGTGAGCTACTACATCTACCATTTTGTCATGGTCATGTGACCTACTCTCGTTGGTTTATACCCATTCATGAATTCTCTCGCGGGGCATCCCAGGACAGCACAGCGTGCATGGGATGCGCACTACAGAATCTCGCTAGAAGTAGGAGGTCATCCGGGTACTTCTCACATACTGATTTTCGAATTCTATGAATTTGGACATACTACTCGGCTCGCATACTGTTTTTAGCGAACTATATAGTATTGAAAGTATGCGATTTCGGACGCAGCCAAACTGCAAATACTGCAAACATACGTTTACTTACACTAACAGAACAGCGAATATGATGCACATAAACCATCAGCACCGTGAAAACCTACTGTCACAGATGTCTATACATAAAAATTTATTAATAGACCAAACCACGCTGACCGGAGGATTAGCAGCTCTGTTTGCTCTGATGCGTGCTACGGTGATCACACGCATCCGTGTTTTCATAGCGAAAGTGTGAAGAAGTTTTTTAGACTGAAAGATAAAGTTGTGTTGTTACCAGTCTATGTCAGTTACAGAACCATGTATTAGATTGTTCCTTTTTTACTCACTGTTTTTCAATATAGTTTATGCATATTTTTATAGTTTGCTTATTATATATTATAATTAATTTTATGCCAGTGGCCAGTCCCCTGGAGCAGAGGGCCTATTGACTAACTCTTTACACCCTGCTCACCCTGATCTCATTTCCCCCCAAAGTTTTGGTTTATTTTTTAGAGTCTCCTTAAGTTTTTATTTACTTTTTTATTTGGATTTTGTTTTAAAATTCCAATGTAGTTATTGCAGAAAAGATTTTATTTGGTAAAAAAAAAGGTGCAGCATTTGTGGAAAAATGAAAGGGCTCTTGTTCACATTAAATTAGTCTCAAATAAAATCGTGAGTCAGGGGAATCTTTACATCCCTACTAGGTTATAAGCTATCAAAATGTTAGAGCGGCTGACTGTAGTATTGGTATACCAATACTACATTTGACTGTAATTGACTGTAATTGACTGTAGTATACCAATACTACAGTCAGCTGCTCTAACATTCTGATGTAAATGCACCTCATTCACATTTAAAATCGTTTGCAAACTTTCAAAAGATTTGCTTCATGTTAAGATGAAAACCCCCTGACTGTCATGTTCAGCAAACCAGCTTGAGCAGATTTGAGGTTTGTGACATAGTGTGTTATCCTGCTCGAAGTAGACATTCTACGATTGGTTCACGGGTGATAAATGGTCAGGGCTAGGAAACTATCAACAATACACTATCAACAATAATGTGCCAAAACACTATCCACCCACACTATTACATCAACAGCACCAGTATGAACCATTGATACAATGGATCCATGCTGTTACTGTTTACACTAAATTTTGAATCTACCATTGAAATTTGCATTAGAGATTGAGACTCTTCAGTCAGGCAAGCTGTTTACAGTCTTTTGTGGGCCAAAGCAAATTACAACCTCATTTTTCTTTACTTAGCCAATAGGAGTGGCACCTGGTGCACTCATCTGAGATTCAAGAGTTGATGCTTCAAGAGTTGATGTGTTTTGTCCAGAGATTCTACTTTTCTGCAGAACACAGTTGTAACACAGTTTTAGACCTATTCTCCTCTGTTATCAAAATGCCATTTATTACACAAAACTGCTGCTCATTTGACAATCTCTTTTTCAGTCCTTGAAAGTTCATTCAGTTCATTCTGTGTAAACCCTAGAGATGGACATCTACCATATGCGTGAAAAATTCAAGTAAATGAGCAGTTTCTGAAATACTCAGACAAGCCAGTTTGGCAGCAAAAACCATGTTCACAGTCACTTAAATCACTCCCTTCCCCATTCTAATGCTCAGTTTGAACTTCTGCGTGTCTAAATGCAGTAAGTATCTACCATGTGATTGGCTGATTAGATATTTGCATTAACAAACTGGTGAACCTAATTAGGTGTCTGGTAAAATGTAAAGAATTAATGTCTTTGGCGCCCCCTATTGTCAGACTTACCATTTAAAGGGCCCACATTCCAGGCGATGTTGTTGCACCAGCCCACAGCCTGGACCCAGTGCACAGTGCCAGCGTTGATCCACACCAGGTCACCTGGCCTCTGAATGAAGCGGTACACAGGGATGTTGGAACGGTAAAGGTCCTCCAGAACCGGCCACCATGACCCTGTCAGATAGTCCACGCCATGCCTAACACACAGAGGCAGCTTTAAATTTGAGCACTTTTATCATAAATAAATTTATCTAAAATAATGTAATAAGTCTTGAAAAAAGGCTGAAATAGTTTGATCTGATCTAAAACATACTTTTCACAGAAGTCACTGATGGCTTTCCAGTAGTGTTCATGGACAGCAAACCATTCACAGTCACCAGGGCCAATATTGATATTCACTGAACAGAAGTTATTATTTTCCTGATGTCCTAGAGAGAGAAAGTCATATTTGTTAGATTTTATTGTATTTTTATTTTAAAAATCTAGACCACAATTAACAAATAATGAATATATCCAAATAAAACCAGTCCTATTTTGATCAGGTACAGTTCAATTTGAACAAAAGAATACAGTTGAAGTTAGAATTATTAAACCCCTTTGAATTTTTTTCTTTTTTAAGTATTTATCAAATGATGTTTAACAGCAAGGAAATTTTCACAGTATGTCTGATAATATTTTTTTCTGGAGAAAGTTTATTTGTTTCATTTTTGGCTAGAATAAAAGCAGTTTTTAATAAAAAAAAAAAATCTCCATAAGGTAAATAATGTAATCCCGTCTTATTTGAAATCTAAATAAGTTAGTGGGAGTTAGAGAAGTTTTAAATACATTAAAATATTTTGTGTGTGTGGACTGACCTGGTGTGCGGCTGCCAGGGACCTTCATATAAAGCTGAACAGTGTTCATGCCCAGTATAGTGTGGCCAACATGACTCAGCATGTTTGCGGTGGAGGACACACGCATGAACGCAGGCAACTTCAACAGCTCCTGCAACTGCGCCTTCCACCTGAAGACAAACACACTCAGTCCTTTACTCACACCAGGACAACTAACAGTAGCATTGATACTTTTTTTTACTGAATTTCCCTGTCCAGTACTATTTATCAACAAACATTTCTCACCGTTTTGGGTCAGATAAGTCAATGTTGGTTCCAAATTTAATAATTTTCCCAACAGCTTTCTGCTTTGAGCTGTAAAAAAGAGAGTACATTTTCACAAATATAATTTCTTACATTTAAAAAAAAATCTACTAAAGAATAAAAATGAAAATCTGAAAAAAAAATCTTAAATTTGAATGATCTATGATGTTTTTTAACCTGGTTGTGGTTGAAGTTGTCCCAATGTTGTTTTGTGAGTTGGATTTTGCCTCATTTTTTTCCTTTGATTTGTCTTCCTCATCTTCATCTTCACTGTCTTTCTCTTCCTAAAATATAAACAGGTAACTGACTTTAATTATGATTATTTTTTGGTATGTATACATTTGTTTGATTGTGACTTCATTGGATCAGACAGTTCTTACACTGAATATGTCCCTACCATAGACAGTGACTGCATTTAACACATTTAACAAATAGTGTTGTTTCTTATTCCACTACAGCACTCTTTGTAACACTTTCTTACTTGTAGGCTCTCCTGGAAACTGGATGCTTGATACTGTGCGTATTTAGCAATGGTGGTGTGAGATCTGCTACTTTCGCAGGGCCAAGTCTGGGCGGATCCTGAATGGTTCCAGTTCTCATCTGCAGGCTGCTGCACCTGGGTCCTCACCTCCACTGCATGCTCAGAGTTGGCTTCCACCAGAGATTTTGTGGAGAACAAACCCAGATCTGTCCAGAAAGGCAAAAAAATCATAGTCAAATAAGATCCCTCATAATTGTTAATAATGTTCGTTTCTAATATGATAAAACATGCCCTGTATTATTCCAGAACAACAACTGCTGGAAAGACAATATATTATCTTATTGAGTGATGAGTATACTTTATGGCTATATTCAAATTGGGAATTTTCAGTACATGTCTTTTAGGCTTACAGGGTTCGATAAAGAAACTGAAATGTCAGGTTTTAGACCACAATTTTTCATTATTATGCTGTCTTTTGGGCCAATACTTCATCAATTTGTCTTGGGGTAACAGATACAAGTCCTGCACGTTGGAGTGCCTAGGGATTGCCATAATATGGCAGCCCAAACCATCATTGATCCACCCCCATGCTTCACTTTGGGCATGTAAGAGTCTGGGTGGTGTGCTTCTTTGGGGCTTCTTCACATTGCAACTCTCCCAGATGTGGGAAAGACAGGGAAGGTGGGCTCATCAGAGAACAATACATGTTTCTCATTGTCTATAGCACAAGATTTTTGCTGTGCACCATTGAAACTGACATTTGGCATTGGCATGAGTGACAAAAGGTTACGTCATAGCAGCCTGTGGACCATGTGGAGTTCCCGACGAACAGTTTTGGTGGAAACAGAAGAGCTGAGGTGCACATTTAATTCTGCAGTGAGTTGGGCAGCTGTTGTTTTATGTTTTTTGGATACAATCCAGGTAAGTACCCAGAAATTCCTTTCAGACAGCTTCCTTTTGCGTCCACAGTTACTCCTGTTGGATGTGGTTTGTCCTTTTTCGTGGTATGCTGACATTACTCTGGATATTGTGGCACTTGATAAATCACAAGACTTGCTGTCTTGGTCACAGATTCACTGGCGAGACATGCACCAACAATTTGTCCTCTTTTGAACTCTGATGTGTCACCCATAATCTTGTGTGCATTGCAATATTTTAAGCAAAACTGCTAATTAAACTTTCACACTCTGCTTTTAATCAAAAAAGGCTGGCCACCAGGCTGGTCAAAGCTAGCCATGAAACCTTGAATGCTAAATTGGGCAGGGGTTTGGCAGCTATATCACCCTGTAGCCTAAGACCGGTTACTCACTTAGTTTAAGCAGGGCTGAGCCTGGTCAGTACCTGGATGGGAAAGCACATGGGAACACTAGGTTGCTGTTGGAAGTGGTGTTAGTGAGACCAGCAGAGGGAGCTCAGCCTGCAATCTGTGTGAGTCTTAACACCCCAGTACTGTAAAGGAGAGCCAGTGAGCACAGTCTTCTGGATGAGATGTTAAACTAAGGTCCTGGCTCTCTGTGGTCATTAAAAATCCCATGGAACTTCTCATAAAGAGTAGGGGTGTAACCCCGGGGTTCTGGCCAAATTACCTCTAATGGCCTTTACTGATTATGTCCTCCCAATCATTCACATCCACTGAATTGGCTCTATCACTATCTACCCACTCCACCAAAAGCTGGTGTGTGGTGAGCACACGCACTGGCGCCGTTGTCCTGTGGCTGCCGACACATCATCCAAGTGGATGCTTCACCCTGGTGATGCTGTGGAGAGACCCCCTTCATGATTGAAAAGCTCATTGGGTGTATGGCCATACACGATAAATGCTCTATATAAATACTTACTTAAGTTACATTGTCCAACCCCTGTAGACTAGGTTAATAGGTCAATAGTTTCAACAAGTAAAATCATGATTTTGTACACAAAACCATACACTGATTGTGATTAGCTTGTATGCAGGGCCACACTTTTCATTTTTTATTAATTAATGTACCCTTGGTGAGTATGAGATAATCAAAAACTCTAACCTCTTAGAAATTGTACTGACCCATTTTTGTAGTCAGTAGTCTTCATTATTTAATTCTGCTGTTTGCTTAAATGTTTCCAAAACAGCTGTTTGCTATGATGGTGACTGATAAGTTGCTGTCTGAAAGTCCTTCCTGCTTTCCTCTAACTGTTCTTAGACTGTAAATAACTGTGTGTTTGTGAGATTGTGTTTTCTCACTGAGACGGAGGGATCCAGCCAGTCCTCTGATTACAGTAACTGCATTTTTAGAGTCCGTGCAGAACTGCAGGAGCACGGGAGAGAAAGCATCCCTTTTACTCTCCAGCTAAAAATACAAATACATACAGTCAGAACAGCACCTATGGCACAATCAAACAGACAACTTATTGCTTGTTTTGCTCAGATGAACATACTAATTTATCCACATTTGTAAAAAGAGCATACAGTAGGAATGAATGGGCCTGAACTCACATAAATGCTTGGTGTAGGAGGGTTCAGTTTATCTCTGGGAATTGGGGTCCTGCATGACAGGTCAGGTTTCACTGAAAGCGACGGGAGCAGGTATGATTCACGAAACTTGTTCTTGATGTCTGCCCCTCTGTCACAGAAATAGAGATGGTGTTTGTGTTAATGTGGAGGAAAGTAAATGGTGAAAAGCTAGTTTCTGCTGGTTAAATCTGCTGTAGTGCTGGTAATTTGCTGGTATACAGAAGTTGGCCCTTTTCCACCAACACATTTTGAGTGCTGATTCAGAGCCTGAGCCTAGATCCAAATTGGTTCTTTGTCCTTTGACACCATAGCACACATTCTCTGAATCAGGAAAAGTTTTAAGTACCATATTTGAAATAGCAACAGCACAAAATGGGCTGATGTAGGTTTACAAAATTAACATTAATAGAAATTGACTGTTAATGTTATGTTTGTAATTGACGCTTCCACGTTTGTGTTTCGGGAAGATTAGACATATGCAGTGACATCAGACATGGCTCTATGGTGGCTTTTAGAATGTGGAACAGCAGAAGGCTTGCCAGATGAACCAGCTCAAAACCAGCAAAAACACTAGCTCTGAATTAGCACATATGTTTTTTGCTGGTGGAATAACACTGACAATACTGATATTGGGGACTCACATCTAAGCCTCTCAAGACGGTCCAATAATGCAAATGTACCACTAGCAAAAAACCCACAACTGCTTTTAAGATATGGTTCAGGACCATTTAATGTCAATCCAAATGATTAAACCTTTTAGCTATTTAGCCTTAGTGAACACCACTTATAAATAAAACAATTAGAATCAGTTGAGGTCACTCACTTGCAAGCTCGTATGACCTCGGCTGCATTGTTTCTGATGTTGATGGCATCAAGTGGAATGCTTTTCTCCTCAATCTCTGAGGCTCTGAAAGTCTGCCGACCTCTGCTCTCAATCTTGACCAAACAGATCTTTAGTTCTTTTAAGGGAATTTTAGAGAGCTCGTGTTGATTTCGGAGATTTACCCGCTCCAGCATTGGTGGTCTGGTGAAGAGAGTCATAGTACTAGAGGATTGCAGGTTAGTTGTGCAAGATGTACATCCTGTAGCGGATGAATCAGCCTTAATAGCGTCTTCTTTTATGGCATCTTTTTTAACATCTGTCTCTTTTTCTCTCTTAATTTTATGAGATTCGGTTTTTCCAACTTTGATTTCAATTTGTTGGTTTTCTGGGACAACTTGTTTGGTCCTGATTTCCACCAATTGCTTCTGTGCATCTTCAGAAGACAAAGAAGAAGAATTTGTCTCAGCCTTATCTTTCATTATGTCCTTTTTATTCTCTCCTCTGTCACCTTTTTTATGATGTTTTGCTTTAATGCTTCTACCAACACAAGTTTCAGGTTCTTCTTCTTTCATGGTCCTAATCGCTTTTCTTGGAGTCTTCAACTGATCTTTCTGTCTGTCTCCTTCATTTTCTCTCTGATCAGACTTGGATCCACTGACTTTCATGACCTTTGACACTGGGCTGGAGTTTTGATTGAGCAGTAGTTCACAGCTGTGTACAAGTTTAGCTTGAACAGTGGCTGGAGACATCACAGATTCTTTCTCTTCCAGTGATGTGCTGGCTGGGTCTTTAGTTGGTTCGGCTAATTTTACCTCCATTTGTTCATCCATCTTCTGTACCTTAGTTTCCTCTCCTTTTACTTCTATTTTGTCCTCTTTTGCCCCAGTTTTCATTATTTCTTCTTCTGTTTCACTTTCTTTGTCCTTGTCTGTGGGCTGGATCAGCGAATGTATAACCTGATCTGGAATCTCTGTGGTTGGGGATGAGGCAGGTGGACTCTGCTGGTCTGGTGGGTGGATCTCAGGACCCAAGGACAGAGATGAGGAGTATTTGACCCCAACTAAAGCACTAGGGGGTGGCCGACCAAATGGCCCACCCCTATAAGTATATCTATGGCTGGCCATTGCTGAGGATGGAGATTTGAATGTGTCCATTTGGTGCAAATGTGGTTTGTTGGTCTCAGAACTTCCTGATGCATCAGGACTACCATCTTTTTGCTCCCCATCTGTCTTTTCTTCATCCTCCTCCTCAGTGTCCATTGCTTTAGAGGACTCAGGAAGTCCATACAACTTGGCCAGGTCACTGTGGCAATAATCAACCCCAGTGCTGATTTCAATTGCTTCTCTAAGTGGAGATGAGTGTGTGGGACTAGGTTGAAGCACTGGCCTTCTCAACACTCCAATCATATCTTCTTCTTTCACATCCTCATCATCATCACCCAAGTCTAAAACAGGAGAACCCTGCCAGCTTAAAACAGGTGGGCTTGTAGGTGGGTCCAACCTTAGGAGTTCCTCGCTATAGGTGCAGTGAGCCGGTAGGAGGTCTGGAGCAGTATGCAACCCTGGGACAACCTCCTTGCATCTGATGGGTTCTTCTTCAGAGACATGTGTATTAAGAAGAGAGGGATTGGATCCACTAACATCATGGGTTCCTACACTGTCATCATCGCTAGTGTCTACATGGTCAGGCTCAGAATCTGACTTTTCATCAACCTCCAAGACTTTAGTATTGATTTCAAGGGTTGATTGGCATGGAGAACAATGGTTATTGTTGACAGGAGATTTACAAGGTAGGATGAACCCTGAGGTATGTTGAGAGAACTCGTTCTCTTCCTCTATGTAACTGAGATGAAGTGGATCAGCCAGCAGGTCATCCAAGAGAGGATCAGAATCACTGGGATACAAAGTTCCCAAATTAGGAGATGCTGTTTTTGAAATGGATGTCTCACTTTTTCTGTCTCCTTGTTTTCTTTCCTCTTTTGCTCTTTTTTTAACCTGCCCTAACTTTCTCCCACTTTTATGTATGGTTTTCTTATCATGGCCTTTTCTTCCTTCCCTCGTCTTTTTCTTTTTCCTTTCTTCTATTTTTTTCTCTATCCGTTCCTTTGTGTCTTCTGTCAGTTCTCCTTCCTCCTTTTTCTGCTTCCTCCTCAAACGCTCCTTGTGCCTCTTCTTGGCCTGAATGTGTTTCAAGAGTTCAGAGTCCAGCTTGCTGAGGGCACTCTTGTGGGTGGATTTTAATTTATTCTGGTGTTTAGAGTGCCTGCTTTTCTTCATTTCTGACCTCTGTGCCCTCTGACCTCTTTCTGAGGTTTGAGTGGTAGGCTCAGAAGGAGAGTCTGAGTCTTTCTGGTCATGTTTCTTTAACCCAGTCTCTGGGTTCCTCCATTCAGTACAATCTCTGACTCTACCCTCAGCACTGTTGTATGGTTGGATAGGACTTCGTTGACGGCTAATGTGTTTGGATCCGCTTGATCGTTTTCTGTCCCCACCCACAGACTGATGGGAGTCCAGTTCATAGGTTGTACGGCCCATCTCCTGTAGAGAAACAAATGACCAAATATGTCACAAGTCTAAACTAATACGAAAAGAACACCCTAATATATGCAATTTGCTTTTTGATTGGTTCATATTCTGACTTTGCAAGTCTTTTGACTTTCCATTGCTAAGTCTTAGAGAATTTCTGGCCAAGAACGCCCACATAGACTGTCTGTGAGTTGAATGTCTGACATACAGTAACACAGAAAGAATAAATTGCTTTATTCTTTCATTCACTCACGCTGTTACTGTGTTTTCCAGAGCGGTTCTGCGTTTTCCAGCCATGCTGTGCTGTGTTGGATCTGGGTTGAGGTACTGAGGTGGCTGGGCTGCTGGAGGGGCCGGTGTGCCTCTGTGGTGGAGGGAGCTGGTGCTGCTGACTGTAAGGCACAGTGAGGTTTGCTGGTGATGGGCAATCCCAGCCCCCTTTTGCCCCGCGGGGAGGGGAGTCTGGATGATCATGGACCGGATGATGGGCGGGCCCTTGTTTGGTGAGTTTCCTGTTGTGGAGGCCCTGGTTTGGGACACTGCTGGGTGGTGATGAGTGGGAATATGGTCTATAGGTGTGATCTCTTGTGACTGAATGACTGGACTCCTTTTAGGAAAAAGGATCAAGAGTGTTACAAAGAATTACATATATTAAGAGCAAATTTCACAATCTTAAAGGAACACTACACTTTTTTTTGGAAATAAGTGAATTTTCTCAAAAGTTCAATAGTTTTACCATTTTTTTAATCCATTCAGACAATCTCCAGTTCTAGCGGGAACATTGTTAGCTTAGCTTAGCTTAGCATAGATCATTGAATCGGATTAAACCAGTGTTTCTCAACCACGTTTCTGGAGGACAACCAACTCTGCACATTTTCGATTTCTCATTAACCCAGGGGTGCCTAAACTTGGCCCTGAAGGGCCAGTGTCCTGCAAAGTTTAGTTCCAACCCCAATCAGACACACTTGAGCTAGCTAATCAAGCTGTTTCTTTTCAGTAACATCCTTGCTGGTGTGTTAAGGGAAGTTGGAGCTAAAATCTGCAGGACACCAGCCCTCCAGGACCGAGTTTGGACACCCCTGACTTAACCAAGTACACCTGATTCAGAATATCAGCTCGTTAGCAGAGACTGAAAGACCTGTAATGGGTGTGACAGAGAAAGGAGACATCCAAAACATGCAGTGTTACTTGGCCTCCAGGAACGTGGTTGAGAAACACTGGATTAAACCGTTAGTATCTTGCTCAAAAAATGTTAAAAATGATTGTAATATTTAAAACTTCTCTAGTTACATTGTGTACTAAGACTGATGGAAAAAGGTTCTATTTTCTAATCCAATATGCAGCCATGCTACATCAGCAAAGTTCCTTGATTTTTACGCCACAGTTATTACACCATGTTTAGATTTGTCATTGGTCTTGGTACAAAATAAAACTACAGAAAGCTCAAGGTTTAAATTTGTAAATAATCTAAACTCTAAAATGCTAATGGTCTAATCCAATTCAATGATCTATGCTAATAAAAGTGCTCCTATAGAACTCAACTATAGAACTCTATGGGAGTTGTACAACGAGCTTGTTTCCAAAAAAAGTGGTGCATTCCTTTAATTCACATATCTTTTTATAAAATAATAAAAATTTCTAGAGCAGCTACTATCTTTCAGACAAATAGAGAAAATCGACTGTACTAAAAACACAACTGAAAGCCCTGGCCAACCTGAAAGCGGGAGGGGGAGGACCTCTTCTCAGACAGGCTCCAGGACATTGAGCTTTTGTATGCTGGGCTCCAGGGACGAGGTGGATGAGATGGAGGTGGACGGTTGATGAAATATTTGTCTCTAGGGTGGAAATTCTGCAGAATTGATCGAGAGTTAAGCATTGCATGTTACATCAGATTGTTCTCATTCTGAACAGCAGAGGGTGCTTAAAGACAACTGGGCCCTTAATAGTGTTCTGACCAAATGCCTGACTGACATTTAGCTTTACAAACAGACCCTTGTAACTGCAAATACTAATAGTCTTTCCACATTAATTAAAAAAAGAACATGACTGACCTGGTGTGAGTTGATGCTCCTACTCCTCTTGCTAGGACAGTCATCTCGTGAAGGGGACGGTTCACGGAGGGGTTGTGAGAGATTGTGAGGAGGTACTGGACGTTTGAGAGAGGGCCCTTGGAAAGACCTGGATTGAGCTGAATGTGTCCACTTCTCTCCCTGGGTCTGTGGGGGGCGCCCAGTGGAACGCTGCTGCTGGTGCGGACCCCCATACTAAGACAGGAAATAACATCAAGTCACTCAGGAAATGAAGAGTCTTTCATTTATTATTTGCTCATCTCTGATAACACTGTGACTATACACATATAGAGTCTCTCACCCTGTGTGGCTGGTTGCCATGATTGTTACTGCTAGAGAGGTGTCCTTCATACCCTGAGCTGTAGTTTAGGGTAGAGCGTTCTGGGTTGTGGTGCTGGTTCTGGGTTGGTCCACAGCTCCTAGGAACCCTCTGCTCCTTTCCATTGCCTCGGTCTCTGGGGTGAGCATGGAGTCTGTCCCTGCTGAAACCTGGAGGTCTGTGCATGAATGAAGAGGAATATAAATCAGGAATGCCACAGATTTGCATATAGCATGTACATAAATATAAATACAAATTTAGTTTGTCAGTTCAAAGTGCTTGGTAAACATGAATTAAAACTTTTGTATTAAACACATACAGCACTGTGTAAAAGTATTGAGCTACAGCTAGCTTTGTTTATTTTGTGTATAAAAGACCACATTTTAAGAACAAAATGGCTTCTTTAGGCAAAAGTCAGTATTTAGTGTGACCTCCCTTGACACTAAACACGCTCTTGGACTACTTTTAGGAGGCTGTTTTGAAGTATGCCACGCTTCATTCAGTGATTTGTCAAGTTCGACTGTAGATTTAAGTGGCTTTAATTATGTATTTTTTTCTCTGTCCTCGTCTTTGTTAAGGTATGGACTCTGTGGAGGCCACTTCATGACTTGTCAGTTGTTTTTCTTTCCAAACATGATTTCACTGTTCGGGTGGAGACTAAAAGATAACTAATTACTGTATGGTCTTTATACTTATGCTAAAACCAAAATCTAAAGGGGGCCTTTTGCATAGTACTGTACAACGTATAAGCTAACCAATTTTATTTGACATTATTCCAAGAACAAAATTATGAATAAAAAGACTAAAATCAATTGATCAAATGTGCCTCAAAAAAGAAAATAAATGCCCATTGTACAGGTAGAAACAATGACAGTAGTTGAGTTGCACAAAAACAGTGGCTACTTGTATTGTATGCAGATTGAGATTCATCAAGCATTGAGTATTATTAGAACAGGAAAGAAGGATTAACCTGTTGTTATAAGCTTTGTTTGGGTAGCTTCTTCCTGCCATGTAGTTTTGTGATGGGGATTGATAGTTCCCTCCGCTGCACATAAAAAATATAAGAATTACTGATACTTATTAAGCATGATTCAAGAGTTCACACTTAGCTGATGGTTGATTATAAAGCTTGTTTGGCATGCTGTAATGGGAGAGAGCCCTGAGCTCATGAGATCCTCGAGCCCAGGGCTCCCTAACGTTTGCAGGGTGAGAGGGGTGTATGAGCTCAGGTAGATCTTGAAAACTCCCCTGCTGTAACTACTTACTAGGAGCATGTCTATGGTACCGATTTGGATTAGTCAATTAACTTAAGCTGCATGTATTTAAATAGTGAGAGGAAACCAGGGAACTCGGGGGAAACCCACGTGAGCATGGTAAGAATGTGTAAACTCCACACAGAAACACTGGCTGGCTTGGTAAGGACTAGAACCAGTGACATTCTTGCTGTGAGGCAACAGTGCTAACCACTGGGCCACCGTCCCACCCTTCTAGGAAAGGAGGAGAAGTAGGGGATTCTTAAAAACAAAGATGGATGTTATATGGAACTTAGGGTATTTATAGTGGCTTAGGAATCATCTGATTGGCGAAACATAAATTGGATCATGCGGGACCAGCCTCAAGCAATCATAAGCACGTGATCCTCTCGAAATTAGTTTATAAATAAACTTCACAAAATAGTAAAGTATACACAATAAAACAGTTATTTAATTAACTGATATTGTGTCTTTATATATATTTGAAGGGTAGACCTGGATGGAGGGGCCCAGTGCCGGTTGTTGCCTGGGGCCCATGGTGCTCGATTCGGCCCAGAAGAGGGGAAGGAGTCCCACGAGTTACGTCCAGAATACTGCTCTGCTATGTGGTACATTCAGCCTGAGGCAAGACAAACACACAGACATACATGAGAAATTACTGTAGCTGTTCACACTTGCTGCACCATATTCTGGAAAGAAAAAAGCATCCCGTGAAAACTCACCACGCTGATGAGTCTGAGAAACCCTCCACTGCAGATCTCAACAGAGATCACTATACTTTCCTTCGCTTTCAGTTCAAGCTTTTCTGCATGAAAAAAAGAGAGAAGGAAAAAAAACAAGGATGAGTGAAAATAATGCCATTCTTTCAAAGGTTGACATAGGTGATAATTATTTTTGGAAAATTAATAGTTGCTAGGGCTTTCTTCATGAATACTAAAAGGACCACCAGAAATGACTTAAGCTCAGCTCACACTGCGATTTTGGCCACAATTTGGCCTTCTGAGACAAAAAAAAGTTTCATATAATCCTAGGCTAAAGTCTGTGCTATTAGCTGGTTAATGAAAATAGCAAGAATAGAAATAGAAAATGAAATTCTGTCAGTGTCAGAAGATTTCAAACACTTTACTGCAGTGTAACTTCTCTTATAATGAGCATCAAAACACTAGCCAATAGGAGCACTAAACCCAATGATGCAATCAGCGAGACAACTTCAATCATTCTCAGCCTATTATTCAGGTTTTATTATCAATCGTTATGTCAACTGAGATCTGAGACCAAGGGGATCATGTTCAGACAAGCTACAAATCATAAAATTCATTCATTCATTCATTTTCTTCTCGGCTTAGTCCCTCATTAATCATAAAAGAATATTCAAATAAATAAATAAAAATTGCACAGTATAAGCCAGGTTTTAGCCTGTTCTACAGTGTAAATCTATGGCATATATTACTCGCTTCTGTCAATTCCCATCACCTTTATTTATCCAATGCTTTAAATAAACTGAACAGAATCAATTATGGATACCTAATACAATTTGAAAAAAAACTTTACTGTAAAGCAACTTTAAATTCTAAAACTCTAAAAATCAATAGTAACATTATACAATAGTATGTTAAGCCAGCACTGATTTTGCATTTCAATAATACCAAGGGTGCCAAACTCAGTTCCTGGATGGAGTTTAGTTCCATTCCTGTCCAACACACAAATTTGTTGGTTTTAAACAAGCCTGAAGGACATAATTAGTTTGTTCAGGTTTTGTTAAATTAAGGTTGAAGCTAAATTGTGGAGCTTTTTGCTTTCTAGGACTAGTGTTAGTCATCACTGTGTGGTTCACCATTTGAGTCCTTGGTTCCTTCTAACTAAAAATATTGCAGAATATCCTGTGGAGTCCACTATGCACTATGGGTTGACCTTTATCAGGCTTGTGTTTCCACTAAACAGGTTTCTGAGTTCATAATAGTCCAAAAGGTGATGATAATAGTTAAACAAGGCAGTTTGTTCATGTTATAGGCTGCTGAAAGAATCGTTTGCTCCTTTGTTTTTTTCAGCTTCTCCTTTGTTTTTTCAAGCTTCACTCTCACGTCTAAGTGAAACGGTTGTCAAACACTACAGTAATCATAAGCATGTTATTATGATCAGCTTAAAAAGTTTGTTTTTTCAAACATAATGCGCACATGAGCGATCGCGAGCTCCCTAGAGAAAGTGAAACCACTCGCACTTTTAGACAGCCTCGTAAAACAAAAACAGGACATGACAGATTTTGTTCTTCTTGGCTTTGTGGCTGTTCATCAAGATGACAAAGAGGTTTGAACCATGGCTCCATGATGTTTCAGCTGTGTATTAAAAAATAGCGCTTTCTCTGTTTTCTTATATTAACTCCTATATTTTGTTTTGCATGGTCACCTGGTATGCATTATAGTCACATGATTATAGCCAGCAAACAATGTTGTGTTTAAAAGGTGTCTTATAGAAATCTAAATGTAGACAGCTTGGCTAAAACAAGGCTAAACTTTAGCCAAGGCCAAGATGACTATCTTTAGACACCTACAAGACATCTATTAGACATCTTTTAACAACAAAAATAGCTTGCTGGGCACTGGCTGTGTTTACATGTAGATCCTGGTTCCCTATAAGAGACCCTATTGCAATGCATTATTTTTCACACTTATTGAGACAGGAAAATGCTTTAGTTGCCTAACACTGAATAATGAAAACAACATTATTTCAGAACATGTTTTACATTAGCTTTTACACACCATCGCAAAGGTTTTGTGCAAATCAGAAATTTGAATCTGCAGATTGATCACTGGGTGATGAGTAACTGCTTTAAATGGTTAACCTCAGTGTTAAGGATGTAAATAAACTCTTAGCATGAGCAATAATAACAGCTATATTTGTTTAACTACATACACACAGGAAGCTACTGTAGCAACATAAAGACAAAGCAAGTAAGGGAGGGGAGAATATATAGGAAATGTTGAGGATGTGCTTTTGTAAATGACGGTTTCCTGAGAGAAAATTCAACATGGCATCATGCTAACTCAATTGCATGTTTGGAGCAACCATGCACAACACAACATCTTTAACTGTCAAAGAAATAAATCTCTTTCTGATCTTCATAACGCCCACTCGCCTAACATATCTTTGAAGACTTTATTGCACCTGACTGACGCTTCCTCTCCATTTGACTGAAGCAATAGATCAAACGCGCAACACTGGAACAAGTTCAAGCTGAAGCATCTACTAAATCCACAGCCTCCTGTTCATCTTATCTGTGCCCCCCACACGCCATCCCACCCACTCCAACTGGCCTTCATATCATAGCATACTGTAACTAGTGTGCGATGTATGCTTAAAAAGGGTATGTGCTCTTTCTGGTCCGCGAATAGATCTGCTCTCATACTGTAAAACTGTGTTTGGGTTCAGACTGGGACAGAGCAACTGCAGGCTCTTTGTGTTTGCTAAAGGCTGTTTCACCTCATATCTGCAGCTCTTAATAGCACATTTAACACAAACGCTTTAAACACACACACTTGAACTTTGACGTTGTGCCAGATAATGGTGAGCATTTACAAGTTTTTCCACACACAGAGACAGAGGCGTCTTTTATAGTGAGAGATTCTCATAGGCAGTAGCTTTAGGAGATTAATTGGAAAACACACAAAGACTTGCATATAAAAGTCACATTAGATAGAGTTTTAATAGAAACTTAAAAGTGAACGCCTTTCAAGTCGTTTTTATACAATTTCTTCATTATTGCATGACAAATAGTAGTATTTGTAAAATGTCCACTTTTTTCTTTCAAATTAGGCTAATTTTACTCTTTTAAGTCACATAAGAGGAAAATGGTGGAGTTTTGCCATGTTTGAACCCATTCAGCTTTTAGCTTAGCTTAGCATAAATCATTAAATTAGATTAGAGCAGTAGCATCTCGTTTAAAAAAACAAACAAAAAAAAAAACAGACAAGTCCTATTTAAATTTTGACTCTTCTGTAGTTACATTGTTTACTAAGACCAATGGAAACTGGATATTTTCTAGGCTGATATGACTTAGAACTATAATAGTCAACATTTGAAGGTTTTCAAAATTGTTTTATGACAAATATGTGTGTTTTTAAAACAGTTTTAGGGCAAATTTGATCCACTTCAAATGTTGGCTACTGTATAGTGTTATTTGGATGGAATCAAGGAATTTTGCTGCTGTACCATGGCTGGAGCAGGTGCAATGATATTTGCAAGTTTGATATGGAAAACAAACTCCAGATGACACATCGGGTAAATCTTCAAAGGGAACAGAGTAGGCTAGTTTATAACGTCATTCACATCACCCTGGCTACATTGTTTCACAATCTTACCAGTAAAATTAAAACATTATATAAGAAACTGTCTATTTTTATTTTGATATTAACTTAACAGACACTAATAATATTAAGGCCTTATGTAGCTACATATTTATACGAGCGTCATCTTCACTGTGTGCATATTTATAGCAAAAACAGAGCCTGCAACATAACTACCTCCTTTTATTTTCATAGAAAAATACTAAACATACCCTCTCGTTTGCTGAATATCAGTTTTATTAATGAATAATGGCCATTATAAAAGTACAACATACAATGTTTAAACAATACAGGAAATAAAGACAAGCAATCAGTTAAATGTGCACAATCAGTGTACGTGGTTGCACAAATTAATATATGAAGAGATCTGTCGCAAAAACCTCTAAATGCCATCTGAAATTTTCCTCTAAAACGAGCATTTTTATCAGGCTCCTGTGTGTAAGTTCAGTAATATCACTTTTATGGCAAAGAATAAGTTTTTTTTGGGCTTTAAACTGGAATATCTCAAAATAAACAAAGGAAGGTGAGAAAAATGTTTGTTTTTGATTGAAATTTTAGACGGCATTTGGGGGTTTTGCATCTGAACTCCTCATATTAACTTATCTTTCCGCTCAGCCAAAACACGTTACCCGAGAACAAGTAATAGATTCAAAAGACCATTAGATAGAGACAAGATTAATTAAATATCAAGTTTAACAACTATAGTGAGATGAAATCCAGCGGAAGATTTTTGATGAACTGTCTGACGCGCGCTGCTCTCATCTGGGGAGCTGTGCTCAAAGCACCTGCTGACTGCCTGGAACTCAGACATGCGCATTTGCTGCAGTGCATGCCAGAGTGTGTGTGTGATCACGTCATGTGCGTTATCAGCAGTGTAGTGTGGACGGAGATCTTTTCATAAAACGCAGGGTGAAACGCCAGTCTGAACATGGATTGTTTTCATTCTGAAATGCTATTTTAAAAATAAAGCGTATTAGTGTAAACAGGGCCTTAACTGTAGGCCCTGGGTAATATTATTGTGCCTGCAGTCAAGGTATTGCAGCAAAGTCCCTTGATTGTTATGCTGTAATGACAGTATAGTTCCTAGTAACTATACTCAATGTAACTATATCACATTTGTAAAATTTTTAAATGATCAACATTATTCATAATTAAAATGCCAAGCAAACTCTACTTTGTTTACTGTTTGTTCATCTGCAGCCCTAGTTTCGATTTCTTTTTTTAAATGACAAAAATAACCTATTGACATGTGCTCATACAGACAGTTATTTCCTCTCTCTTCCTGCTAGTTGGCCATTGGCTGCAGTCTTTGCGGTGTGTTCAAACACAACTCTTTGACTCAGATGCAATGTGACGCCACAGTTGTTTTTCGTTGCCAAATGAGAACTACATTAAGTCCCCTGAGCTATAAAAGTGCAGTTCTTTGTTCCAGAGCTCACATGAGCATCCTGTCCTATTGTAATCA